ATAAACTGGAAAAAACGACAATTGTCTCAATTTGCATCATATATTAAGAGAAGCTATAATACCAAACTATCCATGCGAACCCACGGAAAGTAAATTCCCTTCCCTCGTTTTGCCGCCTTCACACTTTAATACTGCAACGTAGGTACACGACGTGTGGCTACCACAAGACGCAGGGCCACAGACACCCGGACTGGCGCACGTGCCCGCACATGGAGTGCGTCAAGCAGCGCGAGAACCGGTCGGACCCGCGCGGCGGCGGCGGCGGCGGGCGGAGCTGGTATGCGACCAACGGCTTCAACGCGACGCCGATGCTCGCGTCCGACATTCCCAAAGGCAGCATGCTCACCGGCAAGTGCGCGGCGTGCCCGCGGCGCATCGCCGACGGCTGGGACAACGTGGCGATGACCAAGAACGGGACGCTGTGCACGGTCTGCGGCAAAGTGCCGCCTGGCGCGCCCCCGGGCGGCGTGTCATTCCAACTGCGCTAGCGGTGCGAGAACCTCGAGCCTCTCGACAACCTCCATCCGACTATCCGTCTATCCGACTATCCAATAATCCAACCATCCAATAATCCAACAATCCAACATCCAACCATCCAACAACCACGAAAACCACAAACACGATATCGGGACAAGCACGCGTCCCGAGTCTCGTGGCGTTATTACGGGTGCTCCATGATGCCACGTGTCTTAGTCTCGGGCAGCCACTTGTAAAAGACGACCAAGCAGATCGCATACGTCAAGCCGTAGCCACCAAAGGTCGCGCCGACACCAATGCCCTCAAAGAGCGAGAGCATGGTGCCGTTGATGAGCAGCGAGAACGCCGACATGGCAAACGTGCAGTAGCTCATGTAGCGCGCGCGGACTGCGCCGTGGCCAAACATCTCGGACACAATCAGGACAAAGAGGAGGCCCGGGCCGCACGTTTGAAAGACGACGAGCATCGCGAGTGCTAGAATGAGCACGTTCGAGGCCGCCGAGTGCGGCGTGTCGATCGCGGGCACAAATTCAAAGAGCACAAAGCACGCGAGGAAGGCGACGACGACGACCGTGTGGGTCACGAGGTAGATCTGGCGCCGCGAGTACTTGGTGACGAGGAACACCATGGCGACAACGACTGCCAGCACCGAGAGGAGGCAAAAGCCCATGCCCACGACGTTCGAGTCATGGCGCGAGAACGACGATGACGATTTCGACACAATTTGCGGCCCGTAAAAAGCGACGCGTCGATCGAGTTGTTGGAGTACGCGAGGAGGATACCAATCCAGAGCTCCCGCACCGAGTGCGGGCTCCCGACATCCGGCGTCAGCGGCGTCGCATCGTCGGCGTCCAATCGCGCCTCGAGCGCAGTCGTCGCGGCGAGGTCGTTCTTGTAGCCGCGCCACGCCTGGCTCTCCTTGAAGAGGCCTGTGAGAAAGCTGGTCGCAATGCAGGCCGCAGGCAGACAGCCCAGCAGCATCGTGAGGAGCCAGCTCTCCGAGAGCAAAATCACAACGTACGGCAGCACGGTGCCCGAGAGCACGCTAGCGATAGGAGTCGAGACGACGATACAAGAGGAAGCAGCGCTTACCCGAGCTGATAAAAGGCGACGGCCATGCCACGCGTCGCCGTGTCCGTGCCCTCGGCAATGTACATGGGCAAAATCAGGATCGAGAGCCCGTTGCCAACGCCGGTGCACAGCCGCCAAAAGAGGAACGCGCCAAAGTTGCTGTGCCACGCAGCCGACCCGATGGCGCCAAGCATCGTCATGGCGCACGCGAGCAGGGCGACCTTGCGCCGGCCAAAGCTGTCGGCGAGCCGCCCGCCGATCAGCATGGCGGCCGCGTCACTCAGCGTCGCGGATGCACTCGCCATCTCTTGATGCGACGTCGAGAGGTTCTATAAGAGAGGACATATGAGCGGCCGGTCGACATGGCATGGTGCATACGAGGCTGTCGGCGATGTAGGGCAGCGACGGCGCAATGCTATTCCATGGCGGGCTGGAGCGTTGGAAGAGAATGTGGCGCGTCTACCTGACGTTGTAGCCGTAGATCATGCCGCCGATGAGGCTGAAGGCGAACCATAGCGGCGGCGCAAGATGGTACTTGTGCATGGCGGGCGACGAGAGTAAGTGTTGGCGCTCGCTGCTCATCGTCGTCGCTCCTTACCTGGGTGATGGCGGGCAACCACAATAAGATCTGCATTTCAGCCAATGGCCTCACGCGCGAGCTGTTGACACGACGGTATTTTAGCCAATCACGGATGAGATTTTGAGGCTGGCCTTTCCGTGTCGGTTTGAAGTTGGGTATCTTTGCGCATCAACTCGCCACGCAGACAGGTCGATATTTATCCATGCGCATGATAGTGTAGTATTCAAGGAGCATTTACAGCCGCTTGCGCAGCACGTACGCGACCGCTGGCAGCAGCACCAAGGCGGCGGCGGCCACAAGGAGCGACGTCGGGACGCCGTTGGTGGCCGGCGGCGTTGGAATGCCCCGCGTCGACGCCTTCTTGCCCGCGCCGCTCTTGGGCGCACGGGACGTGGCACCGAGGTCTTCGATATCGCGCTGGACCGGCTTCTACACGCATGGATACATCGTCGGAGGCCACCGCGTAGAATCGCCTACCTTGTTGGTCTTGGGGAGCGCGTCGTCGAGCTTCTTGACCGCGAGCTGGCCGCACGCGCCGTCAATGTCCATGCCATGGTTCTCGCGCACCGTGACCTTGATGTTGTACTCCGTGCGGAGGATGCCGTGGAAGGCCATGATCTCTTCCTTCGTCGGCGACTGATACTCGGCGTCGACGTCGGTCGCATTGTACGGGATCAAGTTGACGTGCTACCCATCATGTCCATCACGATGAAGCAGCATGCCAAGTGCGTACCACCGACCGACCAGCAAGCAGCCGACCGAGGTCGTGCGCGGTCTCGAGTGCGTCGTTGACGCCGCGCAGCATGATGTATTCCATCATGACCATGCGGTTCTCGCGGTCCTTGAGGTGGTCGTCGATGGCTGCCATGAGCTTATCGAGTGGGTATGCCTTGGCCGTCGGTACAATCTTGACGCGGATCTCCTGCGTCGGCGCGTGCAGCGAGAGCGCAAGGCGGACCAGCGGCGCATCCTACCGCACGGGAGTTGATGTGAGATGACGGATATGCTGATGGAAGCCGACCTCCTTGAGCTGGCGAATGCGGTGGATGACACCGACCGTCGAGAGCGTAATGTACTTGGGCGCGAGGCCAAACACAGACGTCATGGCCTTGATCGCGCCAAGGACTGCGTCGTAGTTGTTGAGCGGCTCGCCCATGCCCATGAACACCACGTTGCGGATCGGCGCGACGCAGAACGCGTGCGCGAGCTGCTCGAGGATCTCGCCGGCCGCCAAGTCGGCAATGATGCCCATGGTGCCCGTCGCGCAAAAGGTGCAGCCCATTTGACAGCCCACCTGGCTCGAGACGCAGAGCGTGTTGCGGCCCGAGTGCTTCATGATGACGGCCTCGACGTTGTGGCCATCCTGAAGCGTCACGAGGAGCTTCACAGTGCCATCGCGCGACACGTGCTTCTCGGCGATCGTCGTCGAGAAGATGCGAAAGTTGGCTTCGAGGAGCGGGTAGAGCTCCTTCGGGAGCTGCGGGATGTCGCGGATCGAGACGTTGGCGTTCTGCGCCTGGACCTGCGACGCAATGTACTTCCAGATCTTCTGCGCATGCACCTGCTTCATGCCATGGGCCTCGAGGAACTCGGGCAGCAGCTTCGGGTCCAGCAGCGGCGCCGGCGACAGGACACGCTTCTTGACCATACCGGTTGATTTTTCGATTGGACCAACCACCAATCGACCAATCGCGGCAGAGGTCGCGCTGTGATTGGTTGAAACTATACCGTCGGACGGCAGCCATCGTCGCCGGTGCCACGTGGGGGATAGCGGAGGGCTTGAAGTCTTGTCCGGGGCTTTTACACGCAACGTCCACGTGCCAGCGAACCGCCGTCGGAGCGCAGGAGTGCATTAGCAGGTGGTAGTACAACCATAATGATTAAATCATCATGGTACACGAGATGGGAATTTTCTATCTCCATCTCCTGATCGCGGTTAGGTGTCGGGAGTATAAACGCGCGCCCTCGTCTTGCGAGTCCTCGTCGACGGTGGCACGAGTAGCCACGCTGTCCCTAACGGCACTGCTGCGCTGACTATTATGCTCTAGCTCCAACGTATTCGCTTCCCATGACTGCATGCCCGAGTATGTGCACCACACGACCTTCCGCGGCACCAGGGGCTAGGTGACCCTGCCAAGGGCAAACGTAAAGTACCTGATTTCCTAGCCGGTGGCGTCGGTCGAACTCTTGAAGGCGCACTACATCGGCAAGCGACAGCTGTGGTTTATATTAAATAAGGCTGTGCTATCAGAGTCGTTGTGCACCCATGTCTCTACTCGTTGTCGTCGTGGTTTACCGCGAGAGGCCAACCGATGGCTGTTGCTTGGGCACAAAGGCGGGCGACTCGAGCTTGAGACTCGACTCGACACCCGACGGTACAAACACGGGCGCACTCGCGTTCGGCACTTTGGAGGCCTTGGGCGCTTCGGGTTTTGGCGCCTTCTTTCGGCGCGAACACTTGTGCTTCTACGCCATCGCTGAGCGCTCGTATCCATTATTGGATCGTCCATGATCACACCTTTTTGTTTTGCTCGCACGTCGCTCGGTTTTCATCCAACAGATGACTAGACATCAAGACGTCCATCCGACCCATGGACAAAGCATGTCCACACTACATACCTTTGCACGTACACCTTGGGGTTGAACGGGTGGTCGTCGGAAATGAGAAAGTCGGCCGGGTATTGCTCAAGGAACTTTTTGAGACCGCCAAACTGCTCCTTGAGAGCGACCGAGAGCGTCGAGTTGGCCGTGGCGTCCTGGAGACACTTGCCGATTTCGCCAATCGGCAGCGGACCCTTCTCGTTGAGAATCGCAACCGTCTTGGTAAAGACAGCGTGGGGCGTCACATGCCCATTGAGCAAAAAGTCGCACATGAGCACGTGGCACCTATGCAAGAGCGTAAGCGTGCAGCTCGGGGATCGAGCAGCGAGGTACCGCAGCGCATCTTCGTCGCCGCAGAGCGGGTCGACGCTCTCTTCCGACTCTGGTGCCGCGGTCGCGGGGGCACCGAGGCCGAGCGACGCGAGACTCATCATGACGTCGTTCGAGATCGCGCTGTCGGTCGTTTCCAAGTTGGTCGCGGCGCTGTCGGGTCGCCACCCGCACTGAAATCGCTTCCAAATGTTTGGAAAACACGTATCGAGGAGCGACACACTACGACAGATCATGAGTCTCTCGACACGACCATATTGATGACGAGACCTCGAGCTGGACCCAAGCGACGTCGAGATCGACGAGCTCATTTCTTTTTGAGCGCCAGAAGCACTTGGTGAATCTTGCTCGCGCCTTGGTCGAACGCGGTGCGGATCGTCGTGGCTCTATATACCGTCCGTCAGTTTGACTCGAATATCTCAACAATGCCCCAACAAATCACGTACTCTTTTGCGGTGACGTTGCCACCGAGGTTCGAAGCGGGGTCCAATGGGTCCATGACGTTGAACGACTTGACCTACATGTCGATCGTACATGCATGCGTTGGTCGAAGCAGAACGGCTCGGCGTACCTCAAACCGCAGCATCTTGTTTTGCATCTCGGCGTCATAGTCGTCTGGCGCAGTCGTCGCGAGATGGCAGGACCGAAACTCTTGCAGCGTCGCGGGCTGCAAGAGCAAATCGCGGGCGTGGCACGGCGGCTTGGGCGCCTTGAGAAGGCACGAGAGGTCGCGCGGCCCATCGATCGAGACGCAGAAATCGTCCCACGGAAACGAGCTGTACGTGCCAAAGAAGCGACCGACGGCCTGGAGCGGGTGGTGCAGCGACGTGTGGAAGAGGTTGAAGACGTAGAGCATGAGGACGGCGACCGTGTGCGTCGAGAGCAGCGCCGAGAGCTTGTAGTCGGTGATCGAGACGTTCGTGCCGCTCTCGTAGACGAGCCAGCCTTGCGCAAGGAGGACACTGCGCTTGAAGAGGTGGTTCTTCCCAATGAGACGGTCCATGGCTTCGAGAAAGCACGCATTGCGCACGTCATGGACGGCGCCATAGTCGATCAGCACCGAGACCTTCCCGACGCAGCAGCGGAGCTTGGGCGCACTCGTGTCGTGGACCAGCTCGACGTTGCGAATCATGAGGTCGTCGGCGCACGGCGCACTCGACGACGCGACGCAGAGCGCTTCGTTGAGCTTCATGTACCACAGCGGCTTGTCACTTGGCGTCGTATTGCTGCTACTGCTACTGTGCGGCGGCGGTAAGAAGACACTCATCTTGAGCTGGCAGTCGGGCAAGAACATGCGCGCCGCCGACACGCCCGTCACGAACGCCTGGGCTCCCAGGACACGCTTGACCATGGACGCGACGACGTTGCACGCTTTGAATCGGTGGCACACGGCGCTGGGTGTCGGCGCAAGCATCGACACGATGCGTCCGAGACGCATGTCCACGGCGCACGGAAGCGTGTTGGCCGGGACCCACGCGCACGCCGCGGTCGCTGCACACGCTGCCATCGACGTCGACGGCCCATGTGTCGAGTGCCGGGATGCGGAGAAGAGCCCGTTGGTGGTGTTTTCCCAGACAGCGCATGACGAGTACGTGTCGCCGTTCGACGGCAGCAATAGCGACGGAAAGGCGCCCGACTCGAACGCGCTAAACGACTTGGTCGCGGTCGCGGGCTTGGAGCTGGAGAGCGTATGGATCAGCGTCGACTGCCGGCCCACGGTCGCTTCGAGCTGCTTGAGCTGCGCGGTGAGCGCCGCGATCGTTGTCGCGCTCCCATCCAATCGGTCGTGCAAGGCTTTGGTGTTCGTCAAGAGCGCGAGGTAGCCCAGGCTATTGTCAAAGAAGGTCGTAAAGTCGGCGTGCGCCCAGGGCCCAGACGCCCGCACGACGCGTTGCAAAATGCCGTTGAGCTCGTCGTGGACGTCGACGAGTCGTGCGTGCTCGAGGCGGACGCCCGCGAAGGGCGGCAGGTCCATGCTCTCACGCGCCTAATGGGATTGCACTTGAGATCACGGCGTCCTATGCGAGAGGAGGTAGGGACAATTGTTTTACCTTGGCGTACATGCGGGCAAACTGGCCAATGCAGCGCTGGATGGTCCAGGTCGTGTCGCGGAGCGTAATGCAGAGTCCAAACGTGAGCCGCGGCATGTCGTCCCGCATCGCCTCGTCTGTGGTTGACGGCGGCTGCAGCACAACTGAGATGTCTCTTGCGAGTTCCTTGGCGACGTCCATCTCGAGCAACTGCTGCGCGAGGACGGCCTTGGACGGCATAGAGCACGCGACCTCTGTGGGCGGCGCGCGGAGGCTGTACCAGCCGTCGCTTATGTCCGAGACGAGCTGTGCGCGCACAAGATGGTTGAGCAGGATCGGCGGCGGCGACCGCTTGACCGCCAACGACACGGGAAGCGCGTGCATGTACTGGAGGACCCACGCGACGAACGCATCGCGCTGAAAGCAGAACGCATGGCCAGCGCGGTCGACAAGAGCCATGGATGGCGGGCGCATGCCATGGCTCGGCGTCGTCGCTGGCGAGAGGTGGTCGACGAACAATTTGAGGTCGGCCACCGACGGCGCGTCGTCGGCGTCGCCGATCGAGAGACCGGGCGGGCCGGCAGAGAGCGTGCGCGGCTGCAGAAAGGGCGGCGGCGCCGACGAGGACGAGGTCGCGCGCGGCTTGGCCTTGGAGCGCATCTTGTCGCGCTCGGCGAGGAGCCGGCGGCGCTGCGCCTCGAGCGCGGACGTCGCTGTCGAGGCCATGCGACTGATGTGTTATGCGTCCCTCTGCCGTGATTGGCCAAAAGCGCGTAATCTGAAGAGCTGCGAATTCCGAAGTCCGAAGGTGACTTCAGAGATGGCCGCAGTGTCCCAGGACTGAGCTGCGAGCGACGAGTTGAGTTGATCGATGGCAATTACGCGCCCGTCCTTTGAGTCCTCACTGTTCCCGGGAGGTGCTGAGAGCCACCGACAGACTATTAGTAAAAACAACAGCACCATGACGCCACCGCTTCTAATAGCCAACAGAAAATGATCGGTGGCACGGAATCGGAATGAGGTCCACCACACGCCAGCATACCCCGCTAGTGTACGAGTGGCTCGCTTCCACCATCGCAGGCAGGGTGCATGACCGCGCTAGTCTCACAAAACTGACTGTCCGAACGGTTTGGATGCTGGTACCACCTTCGTTCATGACGTTCATACGGTAGGCGGCCGTTGAAGGCGATTCCCGTTGCGTTAATGCGCGAAGTAGTCGTGTTGGAGGTTCGGAGGTTCGGAGGTTGCAGCGCGCAGCACCGTGCCACTGGCGCCGCCACCCTACACTGCGGACTGGTCCACGGCGTCCTTGTCACCCGAGCTCCGTGCCAAGAACAACGCTTGATGGTTCCGATGCCAACGCCAATGGGAAAGAGACGAAAGGGACAGCACCTGCGGGGCTCGACTTCTGCACCTCGTGTGTGCGAAAGCAGGAAGGACTGGACAAAAGGTGGTCGACTGAGTGCCATCTGTATCTGGACCTCCGAGGCGTTCACGAGCCACGACATTCCCGCACCAACGACACCTCACGCTCATCGATTGCTTGCACTGCAGGACCCTCGTCGAGCGAGGGCGTAGAAACCCTAGCCCTCGCTTGGGGTTTGAAATAGATGGGGACGTTTCGCAACCCGTCGTTGATGCTGGCCACGGCGTGGAGCCAGCGCGTCCACGTGTGCGACCGCGTCGTGTACGTCGAGTGGCGGCAGCGGCCGCCGGCGTCGTGGTGGCCGTTGCGCCGCCTCGTGCCGTACGAGCTCCAGCTCCCTAATTCGCTGAGCCTTAGCTACGTGGTGCGCACCGCTGGCGCTGTCGACACGGCATCCAAGGCGCTGCCACGCGACCACTCGCTCTGCATTTCGCTGATGGTCGACGCGCAGGCGCGCCGGGCCATGGCCATTTGCATCATCGGAGCGTGGCGCGTCCTGTATCACAGCGCGACGGCGGCCGTCGCCCACGCGCCATTCGACCATTTGCACTTGCCGCCCGACCCGTTTTCGTCGACGCCAACGTTTCCACTGCATGCGCTCGACTGGCTACGGGGCCTCGAGAAGGCGGCCAGTCTCGGCTTTGTCTCGGCGAGCCTCGATGTCGACGAGTACGAGCGCTGCGCGAGCGCTGCGAATGGCGCCATCACGTGGTCGTGCAAGAAACTGGCCGTCTTCCAGCCGTCGTCGCCCGCGTTAAGCCCGTACGTTCCCTATTTTCAAAAGCACAATACTCGCGTCGTGATTGCGCTGGAGCGGCCGACGTGCGTCGACGTTGTCGGCGTCGAGCAGTACCTCGACATGACGTGCGAAGGCGAGTCGTGGGACTCGCTCTTCAACCGGTTCCTCGAGGCGGTCGAGAGCAGTCACGGCACGGTCGCGATCCACTGCAGCTCGGGCTTGCACCGGTCGCAGACGTGCGTCGGCGGCTTCCTCATGCGCACCTACGGCTTCTCGGCGCGCCAAGCGATTGCATGGATACGCCTCGTGCGCCCGGGCTCGCTCGCGCCATCCCACGTGCACGCGCTCGAGGCGTGGGAGCGCGTCTGGTCGGGCAAGTCGCCGCCGGAAATGGAGTCGGCGCTCACCGTGCACATTGGCTCGATGACGCTCGGCACGAGTCTCTTTGCCAAGGACGGTGGCAAAACCAAGAAGCGGCGGGACTCGATGAAGCCACTCACGCCCCTCGAGAGCTCCGACTTGGTGGCACCGCGCTCGATTGTACGCATCGGGTCAACGCCGAATCGGTCCCGACTGCGCTTATGACCAAGTCTGTCATCCATTTTCCGTACTAGTAGCATATATTTTGCCTGAATAAAGTGGATGCATCGACGCGACTGTTAACTTTGTCTGGCTGACGTGCAGAAAGGACAATCCTGATCCGATGCAAGTCGAGCGAACGCTTGCTGGTGCCAAGTCAACGCTCGCGAGGCGTTTATTAATAGCGAGGCCCGAGAGCAGCAGCAGCATGGACCGACGCCCGGCCAAGTCGATGTTTGATGCCGGTGCGTTGTGGCCTTTTGGATCCAGAAGCAAAGGAGCGTAGGCATCTCGTCCAAGTTCTCGCGCCAGTACATTGGCGCTCTCTACGAAGACACGACGCTCAACGCAGCGACAGCGGCCCGCGTCCGCGCCGAGCGCAAGCTCCAGGCCCAAGAGGACGCGATCGAGCGCCAGCGGCTCAAGATCGACCTCGAGGTGCGACGAGCTCTGCGACGCATATCATGATCGAACGCATGCAGATTCAAAAGATTCAAGACGCGAAGAAGACCATCCAGCGGAAAAAGCTTCGCGAGGCCAAACGCGTCGAAGCGCGCTGCCACAATGCGGCGGCCGTGCTGCAAGCCGCGGCGCGGCGCTTTCTAGAGCGACGGCATCGACGACAGGCCGTGGCCGCGACAACCATCGCGAGCGTCTGGCGCATGCGCCTCTCGATCGCCGCACGACACGTGCGCGCGACCGCGGCCGCCACGATCACGCACGCACTTGTGCACCACGTGCGGCATCGGCGGCGACACCTGGCGGCGCGTTGCCTCCAGACAGCGTGGCGCTGCTACCGCGCCTTGCAAGGCGCGAAGCTCGCGCGGCAGGCGCACTGGCAGCAGCGGCAAGTGGCGGCGACGAAGATTCAAAGCGTGTACCGCATGTATGTCGTCCGTGAGACCTTCTTGGACGTTGTCGACGCTGTCATTCGGTTCCAAGCGCTCTACCGCGGGTTCGTCGTGCGTCGCCTGCTTCCACCTGCAGAGCCTCAAGTCGACGAGCCTGACACTGTCGTTGCGCCATCGCCGCGCCCGCTGCCATCGCCGTGGACCCCAGGAAAGCGCGAGATACCGACCACAGCTGCCATACTGGATTATGCCGAGCTACCGGGCAGCCCTATGAACAAAGTCGTGCTTCCGAGCCTGCTCAAGCCATCGACCGCGCGCCGCGAGGTCCCGGAGGCGCGCGCCATCGTGCCACCCAAGCAGCTCCGGCAACGCCGCAAGACGATCGCGGTGACGCTGAGCCCGATGCCGTACCAGACCGTGCTCATCCAGCGCGCCGAGTCGGCGACCGCCTCGCCCGATGAGGACGAACTCAAGCGGAGGATGGCACATGCTGCGCTGCGGCGAAAAGTGCTGCAGCAACAATGCGAAGAAAAACAACGGCAAATGGAAAAGCGCATCAAGCAGTCGCAGCTCGAGGTACAAAGACGATCGTCTTGTTGTCTTGACATGCTAACCACGCGCCTTGCGTGTAGCGAGAAGCGCTCGAGCGCAGCGTCATGCAGCGTGAAGAGCGGCGATGTCGCGTTCTCGCCAAGACCGACGTTCGGCATCGGGTCGCCGCGGCGCGGCGAGCCGCCGACGCCGACCGCCAGGTACCCTATCCCTCTTCCCACGAACCCCAACCCTAGCGTGCGCGTAGATCGCCGAGCGAGAGACGGCGGGCATGGAGAAGGAGGAGCGCCAGAGTCGGCTTGCGTCCAAGTGGCTCTTGCGTGTCAAGACGATCTCGAACAAGCCGCGCAGCATGACTTCCAACAACCAAGTCGACGAGCCCAAGGTAGCCGCTCGAAAGCAGCGCCCACCCCAGCAGCCCAAACGCCCCAAACAAAAGACTCTGCGCAAACGCCAGAGTGCCGAGCGAGACGAATCGGATGCACTTTGGGCCGACGACGCCTTCGACGACCTTGTCGACGAGACGCAGCTCAATGGCTTGCTCGTGCTCTGAGCCTCCTTGTGTTGTTGTAGCTGCTCGACACACAAAAAATAAAAATAAAGAGATGGAAGAGGTGTCTTAGTGCTTGCGCTCAAAGAGGTAGATAAAGCCGGCGCCAAACGGCGGCGTGTCCGAGACGGCCACCTTGGCATCGTTGAAGAAGACCCACTGGCCGTCCTTCTTGATGTGCGCGACGTAGTGGCCGCTGTGGGTGTTGGGGCCCATGTGACTCACAAAGCCCAAGAGCTCGTACTCGTCGCAGTTGGTGCTCTCCATCGGGTTGCTTTGGGTGCTCTCAAAGGCCTGCACGTGCATCTCGAGGTCGTCCATGTGGCTAAAGAGCCACTCGGCCGCGCGGTCCGCATCGTTCTTTGCATGGTGCAGCGCACAGGCCGCTTGCGCCGGCGTAAACCCCATGGCCACGAGGTTCTCGGTCGACGGTGCGCTCGTCGCCGACGACGCCTTGGGCGTCGGCGGGCTGTTAAAGTTGGCGTCGTCCATGTGGGCAAAGATCCACTCCATCGCCGCCTCGGCCGACCCGTTGTTGGTGGCGAGGGCCGCGCGTTTGCAGCCATTTTCCGAAAAGCCCATGGCCATGAGCTCGCTCACGAGGCGCATGTCGGGCTCGGGGCCGACGACGCCGGCGTCTTCCGGCAGCAGCTCTTCATTGTCCTGGAGGCCCGTGCTGCGGTACGCGCCGAGGCGGATCGTTTGCGGCATCTGCACGCTCACGTCCATCTTCTTGGGCGACCAGTCGTCCGCGACATAGTATCGCTTCATCTGCACGAGGAGGTACTTGGGGAACGTCTTGAACCGAATGCACTTGGCGGCCTGGCCCTTCTTGCCGAGCGCGGGCGAGAAGAAGCCGTCGATAATCTCGGACGCAAACGTCATGTCGAGGCAGGACGCGAACGGCACGTCGGCCACAATCTGCTTTTGCGGCACCTCTTCGCTCTCGATGCTCGCGAGGCGCTGGCGCTTGTTTTCCTGGACCTCCGACTCGTTCACGGCCGCATCGAGCGGGATTTGCAGCTGCAGCACATTGTCGTGGCGGGTCACGTACTTGACCTTGCGCGACCCAAGACACTCGAGGCGGTCTTCAAAGGTAAAGTCAAAGAGCGACGACGTCGGGAGGCGACCGAGCGGACCCGCGTCGAGCCGCGACGGCGACGTCGACTTCTCTTTCGTCGTGAGCAGCTCGAGAAAATGCTGGATGTACTCCATCGCATCTTGCTGCCGGTTGGAGCTAAATTCGGGATGGTTCTCGCCCACGAGGCTGCGCAGCATGAGCGGGCGCAGCTCCTCCGAGATATATCGGTCCGAGTAGATGCCGCGAACAACCTTGGAGAGCTGCAACGGGAGATCCTTGGCCGGCGATGGCGGTACGGGCGTGTACAAAGACGGCGAGAGGTACCGCGCTTGGACAGCGGGAATCGCGACGAGCAGCTGCAGCACCGAGTTGACGTAGCAGCTGTTGCCGAGGTTCGTGAGCCCCATGAAACCCTTGCCCGTGATCGGCACAAGCGTCTTGCCTTCCTCCATGATCGAGTCAAAATCCCAGTTCTTGTTGAGCTCGACTTCGAGCTCGCTCATCGTCTTGTCCGTCTTGGTGAGCTCGTCGACGCGGATGCCGAAATGACGCAAATGGTCGGCAAGGTACGGGTCCATGACCATGTCGTCTTCGGGGTAGCTGTAGATGTCGCCGCCGCCCGACGCGGTGATCGTGCCCAGCTTGACCGCGAGCGGGAAGACCTTGCCCGTCTCTTCGTAGTGGCGCAGCGCCTCGCCGCAGCCGCCCGTGCCGTCAAAGTTCTGCCGCCCGCAGCCCACAAAGCCGTCTGAGAGGTTCATCCACAGGTTCTCCTTCTTGTCGCACGTCTCGCTCGAGCAGACCCAATGCGCGGGGTTGGGCGACACGAGCTTGCAGTCGTCCTTGGGCAGTTGCACGAGCTCGAGCGCATACACGGACGTTTGCAGCTCGTGCTGCCAGCTCTTGACCTGCTCCTTGACGTAGTTGCCTTGGTGGTTGAGCACCGCCTCGATCGCGTCGCGCACGCGCGCCGGCAGCTCCGGGTCCGAGAGCTGGTACCCCGTCTTCTCGGCGCCATTGAAGAGCACCGCCGTGTACGTTTTCTGGATCTCGACCTTGTCTTCCTGGAAACCGCCTTCGACGCCGATCGCGAGCTTGGTCACCTCGCCTTGCGGCTGCTTGACGATGCCAATGCGCACGTACTTTTGATGCAGATAGGCCTTCTGGCCCGTCTTGGCTGCGTCCTGCTCGACCCAGTCCTCGCCAAAGGACTCGAAGCTGCTGAGGTTCGTGTAGAGGCCGCCGGGCAGGAACGGCGTGTCGAACGAGATCATGCACTCGTCCTTGTACACGGACGTGGCCTCGGTCGCGATCGCTACGGGTCCGAACGCGTCCATGCTGCTGCTGTTGTCGTCAAATGAGCTTTTTCGAACCCACTTTGCATCCGGATACGCTGCCCCTTGCCCCGCAGCGTATCCGGGCAGCCCGTGCAACGTTCAACGCGTTTAAACAAGATTGCGTTCAATGTCTGTATCCGGATACAGAATGGATTGTGCCACGATGAGCCCGCCACAAATTACTCGATCACGTCAAATAGGTTATGCCAGTTGGACAGCCGGTTTTATTGAAATGGACGCGTTTTTATACAATGCCACCACCGACGCTTGCAATGGCCCGTCGTCCGCAAAGGGCACTGTCCCGTTAACGGTATAGGATGTGGTTGCCCCAGCGCAAGGTGGCGGAGGCGTTGTGCGGCCGCCTCCGAGGAGCCCTTGGACGCCACGTGTCCGACTTCAACGACCAACACTCGCGCCCCGGACCTGCACTCACTTTGCCGCTTGTTCGCGATCTTGAAGGGTCTCGCATGCGCTTCCAGGACGGCCATGGCGGCGGCTGCTCGTTCCGGAGCAAGGCAGCAGTCAAGAAGGTTGGCGTCGACGCGAGCTCCGAGACGCCGGGCGTCGAGTTTGTCTCGGCCGACACGCAGACCGCGATCGCCGCTGACAGCTCATGCCAGACGGAGCCGATCGAGTCGTCGAGCACCAAGGTGGCCGTCGACGACGCGCGAGTCAAGGCCTTTCTAAACGACGTCGGTGGTCTCATGCTGCGCGAGATGCAGGCAAGCGCCAAGTCGCTGGCCTTTGACGGTACGTCGCTCCACGGCATCCGCCGACGCTGACGGCAGCGCAGACTTTTCGGTCGAGGAGGCCGATGCGGAGGACGCCGACGTCACGCGCCTCTTTACGCTCTCGTTCGACTTTTTCACGCACTTTAAAGCGCCGGCCGAGAGTCGTCGCTTTTCCGAAAGGCCCACTCACCTCACTGGCTTTGTAGTAGGTGCTGGCGGGCGCCCCTCGACGCTTCAGTTGCAGTGCACGGCCGTCTCGTGGAACGCAACGGGGTCGGTCCTCGCCGTCGCGTACGGTCGGTTCGATCACTCGGGGTGGTGCAACTACCGGTCCGCGCTCTGTCTTTGGAACATCTTCCACCCCGACTTTAACGTGGCCAAGCCCAGCCTTGTCCTCGAGACCTCGGTAGCATCGCCTACCCTCTTGTGGACCTCGTATACGACGAGGATGGTTAGAGCGGTCTCATGTGCGTGGCACACCACCCGACGATGCCCGCTGTCATCGCCGCGGGCTCGTTCAACGGCGAAGTGCTGGTCTGGAACACGTCCTTGGAAGAGACGCTCGTCGCATCGTCTGGCATCGGCGACTACTTTCATCGCGAGCCTATTGCCAAGGTAGCTGTCCCACCCGATGCGCCCATGGCGTCATGTGGGGTAGGTGTCTTGGGTCTACGATCCGGTCGCACGCGATTACAATGTACACGCATGCTTTGTGGAGGAAGACGCATTGCCCTGTAGATTGCCAGTGTGAGCGGCGACGGCAAGGTGCTCGTGTGGCAGCTCAAAGACAAGCTCGCCTACCCCGTGGAAGGGTACCTATTGGGCGCCAAGACGCGACTCAAGCCGAGTAAAGGCACGCCGGTGTCGTTCTTTGGCGGTAGGGACCGCGGGGGCAGAGATCACACACATCCATCCACCGGCTCTAGGGGTCGCGCTCGCGTTTCGCACGAACGACCGGACGAACCGCAGCTTTGTCATCGGCTCGGAAGCCGGGTCGATGACGCGTTGCTTTGCCAACAAGGGGACCAAGATGACGGCCAAAGGCGGTGCGGCGCGCTCCCTTCTCAACCCACTTCTACATCTCTCGATAGAGCTCAAGTGGTCCAACAACGCCCTCCGCCTCGCGAGCATGGCGCCGCAGCCGGCGGAGCTGCGACGCCACGTCGAAGCCTATGCCAAGGAAAAGAAGCTCCGGGATGTCCGCGTCAGCGCCGTCTTTGACGCCAAGCCCGACCTCGGCGCCTTGTACCCGAGCGCGCTCGACTTTGGCTTTGAAGCGCACGGCGGTCCGGTGTACGACATGGCGTTCTCGCCGTTCCACGGCAGCCTCTTCCTCTCGTGCTCGTCCGATGGCAGCGTGCGGCTGTACCACTACCTCCAGGTGCGACCGCGTCCTTCACGGTAGGTTGCAAGGGAAGCGTAGCGCGACCCGCTGCTCGTCTTTCAAGTCGGCACGAGCTACCTGTACGCGGTCGCGTGGTCCAAGACGCGCCCGCTGGTGTTTGCCGTCGCAAGCGAAGATGGCAATGCGTACGTCTACGATCTGCAGGTGGGCGCACGTCCTGCACATCGCCGTTGCAACGGGACTGAAATCAGGTGAACCGGCTCAGCCCCGTCGCGACCTTGTCGCTGCCCGAGGGCAAGCAGCGCGCGGTGGCACTGTACGCAGTCGAGTTCAACCCGCGCCAGCGCAACTTTCTGGCCGCCGGCGACGGCAACGGGCTCGCATACGTGTGGAAGCTGAACTGGCGGCTCTCGAATGTGCGCCCGGACGAACGCGCCGTGCTCGATGACATCGCCGAGCTCCGGTCGTCCAACCAAGCCACCGACGCGCATGCCTAGGTCGTACTAGCTGTTTTTCGGTTCTATACTAGCATTACGCGACGAGGGTGCACTTGGAGAGACAGTAGGACACGAGCTGCACGCCGTAGATGACAATGTTGCAGCTCACGACGAGTACGACGACGAGCTGGACGCCGGCGAGAGCGCCGTTCAGTGCCAACATGGCGGCGCGCAGGTTCTCGGGCGATTGGAACGTCGCGTGGAGCGTCGAGCTCCCGGATGTCCAAGCGACGGCACTCGCGTCCCTACACCATAGTACACGCGATGCGCCTCACGCCGTGTGAAGCAGCCACGTACGCGGCGGTGGCGACCATGTGCAGGCAGAGAGAGGCGAGCACAAAGTGGCTCGCGGCGGCTGTCGCCGACACGATGGCGTGGAGGAGCCGCGGCGACGGCAGCAGCGCCAGTGCGAGCAGAAGCGTCGCTGACGCGAGCGAGACGCCAAAGATCGCGCTTGGCACACCCGGTGCAAAGAGGAGGGGGCTATGCGCGCCGGGGCACACGCCCAAGAAGAGACACTGCAGCTGGAGACTCGCCACCTACGCCGTTTACCAGAGCGTCCAGCAGCAGGGCGTTGTACTACGTACGATGACGACGGGCACGCAGAGATGGTAGTAGGCGACCACGTCGTCCTTGAACGCCATCGTCGGTCGCGCTCGGTGAAAACGGTTGTCGATGGGACGAAAGCGCGGCGCGGTCCAGCGGCGCTTTGACGATGCGCTTCTGCGGCACGACATGGAGCTCGTCATCTGGATGATCGACTCGGGCGAGGTCCACGTCGACGCGGAAGCAGCGAATGGCGACTCGCCGCTGCTACACGCCGTCGCCCGCAACCAAATCGACGTGCTCGACTTGCTCCTCGACCGGTAGACAACGGCGATCGTGCCAACGTGCTGACGATGGCTAGTGGCGTCAATGTCAATGCCGTCAACCGGCACGGCAAGACCGCGCTCATGAAGGCCGCCGCGACGACCGAGGTCGACACGACGGACGCGGTGAGCATTCTCCTCCGGCGCGGCGCCGACATCTTCGCGCGGGATCCGAGTGGCAAGACAGCGCTCGACTGGGCGCGACGCACCAACAACGTGAGCGTCGCGCGTCGGCTTGAGCTGGCCGTGCAAGCCCACATCGTGGCGCACCGGGTGACGGCGGCGAACCAAGAAGCTGCGCAGCGGCACGACGAGATCGCGCAGACCAACGACGCGCTCAAAACGCAGCTCCACGCGCTGTTTTCGCCGTTCGCACCGCGCCAAGTACGGTAGCCAGGTACTGGGTAGCGCGGATATGTTATCGCATGCGGGCGTAGATGCTCTCGCTTCTGGCGTCGGCCGCCATCTCGCACGACACGTATACGGCCGCGTTCCCTCACGGGCCGCCGTACTATGTGAACGCAGAGAGCGCGCAGGGGTGGACGGCGTTGACCAAAGCCGCATCGGTCGACGACGTGGACGTCTTGCGTAGTCTGCTGCAGCACGGCGCGCTCGTGGACTATGAAACCAAGCTGCGCCACACGGCGCTCACGTGGTATGCCAATGGGCGGTGCGGCGATGTCGACATGCTTTATAGGGCGAGCTACTCGGGCCACACGAACGCCGTGCAGGTGCTCTTGCAACACAACGCACAAGTCGAGTATGCGACGCGGGAGAAGATGACAGCGCTGAGTCACGCCTCTCGGAACGGCAAGACACAGGTGGTTGCGCTCCTTCTAAGCAAGTGTCGCGAAGTGTTCCTGCCGCAAAGCAGCCAGCCCGATTACGTCTCGAACGAAGGTCGCGAGTGGCACACGCGCTTCTTGAACCATGTTCTCGCCGAGTACGTCCATCGCGGAGCTGCGAGCTGTCACCATGACATACGCGCATGGTAGAGAAGCTTTGGGCAAGTCCGCCTTGGCGTATGCTGCGGCCGGTGGGCACACCGACGTCGTGGCGCTGCTCCAAGCCGCGTGTGACCAGGCGCGCGCGCACGAGACGCATGTCCAGACTCTGGAGGCCAAGACGCGCGTCGTGGCGTGCGCTCTTGGTTGTGGCATAACAAACGCGCACGACCTCATCGGGTATCACCAAGCCCACAAGTGTCCTCTTCGCGACGTCGCTTGCGAAAAGTGCAAGGAGCACATGCAGAGCCAACACCTCGCGGAGCATGAAGTTCGTGCACCTGCACGTGCCTCGCTAACGCTCGCGCGTAGAGGCGAACGTGTACCTACCGCGATGTCACGTGCGTGAACCTCCAGTTCGGGTACGTTGCGGTATATCATGCTACCTTGTCTCGAACCGCCGACACAGATGCACCGCCGTGCTGCCGTGGCACACCATGCAGCTGCATCAGTCGGACCACTGCCACTACCGGTCGGTCGAGTGCCGTCTCGAGTGCGGCAAGGTGCTGCAGTGGCAAGCGCGGCCCCATCACGAGGTAGCAGAAAGGTGTCAGAGCATCCGGTATGACCGACGGCATGCAGGCCAGCGAGTGCCCGCAGCGCACGATCTCGTGCCCCGCCTGTGGACACCCCATGCGCGGACAGGACCTGAAGAAGCACAATCGCAGTGTGTGCCCCAAGCGCTTAGTCGAATGCAAGCTCTACGGCGGCTGCGGCGAGATCCACGCCTCGGAAGACACAGCTTTCCACGCCGAAAGCCTTTGCAGTCGCCGCAAACGTCCGTGCCACTGGGTCAGTCATGGCTGTGACGCAGTCCTCGGGCCACCCGAGGCGCGTCTCATCCACGAAGAGACGACGTGCCCGTTTCGCACCGTCACGTGCCGGAATGGCTGCGGTGTGGCCGATCTCGTGCGTCCTCTCTCCTTCCTCGCCCCTATGCACGAGGCGTTGCGACGTAGATTGCAGCGTTTCTCGATGAACACTTGGCGTGGGACTGTCCCAAAGAGATCAAGCACTGTCCGCTGGAATGCGGCCTCCGCATGGAAGCGCAGTTCATCTACGGCCATTGCGAGCCCAACTGCGGCGACTGCCCGAACCGCGTCACCCGGTGCCCGTATGGTAGGCGAGCGGCCGACGCCGTCCTGTCTCTCTGATGCACGGTAGACATGTGCGGCAAGAAAATGTGCTTCTATGGTGACACGCGCTGGGACGCGGACGAGACGACGCTGGCACGGTCCGACGTGGCGGGCGTTGACGTGACCCGCAACGGCGTTCTCGCCCGCCTTGGACACCTCGACACGTACCTCAACGAGAAGGTGTCGTCCTTCGCCCTTGTGCAGGCGCACGCGTACCTCCATACGTGGCTCCTGGCGCGCAAAGCGTCGCTGCTACAGGCGTACCAAGCGCGGGACTTGGACCGCGTCGAGCTCGGCATGGTGGTCAAGTACGACCCGGAGACCACCCAGCACTACGTGAGCTTCCGCGGACGCGTCGTTTGGCTCAACCTCAATCGTGTCTACCATGCGCTCGACCCCGCCGTACTCGCCACCGACTGGCTCTGCCCGTCCATGGCAGCAACGGCGCGGCCCGACCACGTTGCGACCGTGTGTCCGCTGCACAGCGTGGCTTGCCCCAACGCGTGCGGCCAGCGCTGTCCCAAGTTCCAGCTCGAACACCACTTGAAAGAGCGGTGTGCGAAGCGCATGCTCGTGTGTCGTCTCGGGTGCCACAAGGCCTTGACAATGGAAGCGCTTTTGGAGCACGAAGAGTCCGAGTGCCCCAAGAGGTATGGATGGATGTAGGACATGCAGTATGAAAACGCACCGTAGCCAGCGGTTTTGCCCGCACTGTCACGCGCCGTGTCTGCTCGAGGCCCTCGAGGGCCACGTGCGCACGATGTGCTTGCAGTTTCCTCGCAACTGTCGGCTCACGTGTGGCGCGCAGGTTCCCCGTGCGTCGTTTGAGGAGCACGAGGTAGGTTGCGGCGGCGAAGGCATCGACACGTCATGGCGCATAGGCCACGGTCTGCCCCAAGCGTCTCGTGCCATGCCCTCGCTGCCACACACAAGTGTTTGCCTGCGATCTGTCGTCGCACGAGAGCGACGAGTGTCCCAAACGACCGTTTGGTTTGTGCGAGCTCGGTTGTGGCACGCAGTTGTGCGTCAATAACGTCCAGAAGCACGTCCTTCAAGAGTGCCCCCACGTGTGTGCCATCATCACCTCATGCTCTGCACTCTCGCGCTCACATTGTGGAGTTCCTAGCGGATGGTGCCATGTCCGCAGTGCGCGACCAGCATTCCGTGTTCAATCTTTGACCACCACGTGAAGTTGGACTGCCCGCAGCGGCAGCTCTTTTGCCACAAGGGATGTGGCACACGGCTACGTGAGTGCGACGTTGCCAGCCATGATCTGGAAGACTGCATCCATCGACCGACGTTCTGTCCGCTGCAATGCGGCCTCGAGCTCGCCATGTCGCAGCTGCCACGTCACATGCACGCCGACTGTGTACGACGTCGCGTTGCGTGCCCCAACCGATGCGGCGTCAAGGTGCCAGGTATTCAGCTCCCCGGCCATCTTCGAAGCTGCGACCACCGCAAGGTGCCGTGTGGCGCGGGCAGCGTTGCGTGTGCGAGGCCGCTCAAAGCGTGGATCGTGCGCGAGCGACTCGTGCCGTGCTTGAAGCACCGGCTGCATGGTTTCATGTGGGCGCTCAAGTGCGGCGACATGGACGTCATGCTCGGCTTCCTCAGCAAAATCGCACGCGACGAAGTCGATGCCGAGTTTGACACGGGCTACACGCCGCTCGTGCTCGCATGTGCCAAAGGCGATGTCCTTCTCGTCCGTGCCCTCTTGGAGCACGGCGCCAACGTCAACACCGAGTCGTCGCGGGGCCGCACGCCGCTCGGCGAAGCCATTCTCAACAAGCAGGCGCATTTGATCCCACTTCTTCTGGAGTACCGTGCGATCGTGTCGCATGTCAACCGGCACGGCCTCTCGACGCTCTCGATGGCCGAGCAAATGGGTGACGCGACCATCTTGGACGTCCTCGCCAAGCGTGCGAAACTGGAGCAGGTGGGTTGCTCTCTCAGCGTGACATGTCGATATAGGAAACCGTAGGATCAGCGCCGGCTCTTTGTAGCGATTGGCGCGTCGGACTATGACACGATCGAAGAAGTCGTCGCGGGTGGCGAAATGACGTACCGCGACAGCCATGGGTGGCACTTGGCGCGGGAGCTCGAAGCGAGTCGAGACGTCCTCGCCCGCGCCCGCGCCGACTTGACCGAACACATTGCGATCATGAACGCGACGATCGCCGATACGGAAGCCAAGCAGATGCGCGTCGTGCACCTCCTCGACTCGATGGAGTACAACAAAGGCCAGCTCGCCCAGGTGCAAACCAAGGAAACCAAGCTCGATGCTGTCCGCGTGCACACGGAAACCACGGTCCGCGACATTGTCCGGAAAATCACCGCGCAAGACATCATCAACATCATCAGTCGGCCCAACCCACCGGAGGACATCGTGGTCGTGCTCAAAGCCATGGCGCTCTTCCAGGGCATTCTTCCCAAACCCAAGCGACTCAACGAAACGGGCGCGTTCTCCACGCACGAGTGGTGGGAGACAGCGCAAGCCATGCTCATGGACCGCGGCTTCTTACGGCGTCTTCTTGATATCCGCGAGCTCGCGATCGAGCCCGACGTGCTTTTCAAGGTTCGGCGCGAATGCTTGAAGCATGACGCGTTTCGGGAGATTGGTGCCGCCGAGTTGGCCGTACCTGATGCGCTCGACGCCGCGCCGGCCGTACCCAAGCAGCGCCACGGCCGTCGCAATGCGATCACCAATTCGACGGTCGATGCGCTCGGCACGTGGGTCAAAGGTGTCGAGATCAACCAAAAGGCGCGCGCCGAAGCCAAAGTGCTTCAAGAACGACGCGAAAGCGTCCTTGCCGAGATCCAGCAGCTCGATGTCGAGTTGGCGACGGCCAGCTTTGAGATGAAGACGGCCCATCGGTGCTTGCCGTCGCGCCAAGAGGAGCTGGATCGCGTCGTTGTCATCGAGCAGCGCGCCGAGGCCGATTTTCACCTCAAGACGCGTCGCGTCCTTGTGTGCGAGCTCTTGGCGTTTACGAGTTTGAACGGACACACGCCACTGAGCTACGCGGCGGCGGTCGGCAACGAGCGCGCCGTGCGAATTCTTCTGAGCCGCGGCGCCAACAGCGGGCACTCGGTACGACGTGGCATGTCATCATGACAGATCATCCTCACACGTGATCGTCTAGGACACGGAGCGGTCGTTGGCCGCCAAGTTGCTTCAAACCGCCGTGCGCTTTTACGTGCAGCAAGCCACGTACGCGGATGCGACGCGCGACGCCGAAGTCTTTCGCATTGTGCGGTACATGACCATGCGCCCGATCTACAAGGCGCTTCGACGCTGCCGGCAAACGCAGCGCGTGCCGCTGCACGAAGCCGCGTACAATGGACACACGGACGTGTTGCCGCTGCTGGTCGACGTCGGGCACGCGCCCGTGTGGCAGACCACGTACGTCGAGCCGACAGCCATGATGCCAGGCCAAATCGCCTTTGGTCCGTCGCGCCGCAAAGACGTGGGCCTGCACGCGTGGCAAGTGGTGCTGCCACCGTCGCGCTTGTCGCTCGACGAGTCGTGCCGCTTGGGGCAATCGCGCTTCGCCTACATGCCGTACCGTGACGGGCGTGGCTGGGACCGCAATGGTTCGTCGATCTATGACGCAACGATCAACGAAGTGGCGGCCATCGTCGTCGCAAGCCACGAGCACCAGCACGCGACGCGTCTCGAGCAAATGAATCGCAAGACGATCTTGCGCCAGACGCGGCACATGCGCCACCTGCACGACCAGCTCGAAGCGGCCATCTTGGCCAAAGACTATGTCGCGGCCAGTGCGCTCTTGGACGTTGGTGCGTTCCCGGATTACGCGACACCCGCGGGCATGACGCTCCTCATGCAGGTACATACGTCGACAAGCACATGCGAGATGGCACGGGCGGTGTCGTAGGCGGCCAGCGAAGAGCGTTTCCTTACAAACAAGGACGGCGCCGTCGTCCTCGTGGTCGAGTTTCTTCTGGATCGCAAGATGGGCCGGCCGTCGCCCAACGTTATCAGCACGTCGCTCGATGGCTCGTTTTGTCACACGGCGCTCTCGGTCGCAGCGCATTACGGCACGACCATGTGCGGCCGCAGCCTTGTACGCGAAACGATCCAATAGGTTCACAGACGCGCGTGGCGACTAGGTGGACCGCGGGGCTGACGTCAACATTCAAGACCCGCGCTTTGGCCTGACCGCGCTCATGCACGCGGCACGAAACAACAAGCACGACTTTGTGCGCTTCTTGCTCGAGCAAAAGGCCAGCGTTCACCTCAAGGTGCCTTGAGTAGTAGGCGACATATCGTGCGAGAATGATGCGTAGGACGTCCACGGCCGATCGGCGTTTACATTTGCCACCGAGCGACGCAATGAAACCATGCTGGGGCTCCTCTCGGCCGCTGCTGCCGACATGCACCAGACGCTCGAGATCTACGATCGGTTGGCGGTGTACGGACTCTGCCGGTGGGGATGTGGCTTTGTCGAGTTACGCACGGCGCCCGTCGTCGAGGCCGGGCAAGGACTTGTCGTTGCTATGCGAAACCCCTTGCAAGGTCGAGATGCCTTCTTTCTTCTTCTAGATTGGAACCAATGCAGCATGTAGAACACGAGCTGCACGCGTGTCCTAAACGCGTTCTTGCCTGTCCGCTCGGCTGCGACCAGCCGGATCTTTGGAGCCAAGAGGTGGCCGACCACGTGGCACGGGAGTGCCCCCACCGGCCGCTACCCTGCACGAATCCCAAGTGTGACATGATGGTCGCTGCAAGTGCCCTGCGCCAGCACACGCAGCACGACTGCATGCATCGCACGGTCGCCTGTCCGCTCTGTGGCGAAGGCAGCCTCGCGCACAAGCTCGAGGCCCACACAAAGTGTTGTCGTCTTCGCTTGGTCCCATGTCCGCTCTGCGCGAATGAGCTCCGGGCCCTCGATGTGAGCAATCATGTCAAGTTTGAGTGCGACTGCCGCGACGTGCGCTGTCGCCTCGGTTGTGGCTTTGTGCGGCTTTGCGACCGCACGTCACACGAAGCCGACGTCTGCGTCAAGCGATCGATTCCGTGTGTCTTTGCATGCGTCGACGGCACAACACCCGAGACGCAAGCCGACCACGAACAGATCTGCGACTTCCGCCCGATGGTGTGTCCGAATCGCTGCGGCCAAACGGTCCGCGCCATCGACGTCGACAGTCACCTGAGCGAGTGTACCTACCGGTTCGTGCCATGCACCATCGGCTGCGGACGGCGCGTCCGGGAGTGCGACATGGTCGAACACGTCAGTAGTCTCTGCACCAAGCGCACCGTGCCGTGTGAGTGGTGTGGCACGCAAGGCATTGTCGCAACCCTCTTGGAGCTCCACCAGCGCACCGAGTGTCTGCATCGCATCCAGGCCTGTGGTGCGTGTGGTGACGGCGGTATCCTCGCGCTCGATATGACGACCCACAAGACAGCAAAGTGCCGCATGCGGCCGGTCGAGTGCGTCTTTCGACAGGACGGCTGCATGAAGACACCGCTGCTGGCCCATGAAAAGACGCAGCACGAAGCGTTCGAATGCAAGTACCGAACGATCTGGTGCCCACTGGGCTGCAACGAGCACCTCGTGGCGCGCCACCTCAAGGCGCACGAAGCCACGTGCCCGATGCGCTTCGTGGTCTGCACCTTGGGCTGCGGCGCCGAGTTGCGTGAGAAGGACCGGTTTGAGCACGAAGCGTACGCGTGTAGTTACAACAACAAAAAGTGACACTCGTGAATCGACAAGCGCGTTTGAAAGACCCTGTGCACGCAACAGCGTGGAGGGTCGCAGCCTGTCGAGGCGTCTGATCCAAATCGACTCTGCGTTGGTCCTCGCCTCGAGCGCTGCTCGGCGATGTTGCTGGGTGCATTTTGTGACTTCTCTCAAAAGTCAAAATGAGATTTGGGCAAAAGCAAGTAAGATGCTGGTAGGATGATGGGGGCTTGCGTGAATGAAGACTTTCTATCCATCCTGCCAAGTAGTGACGCTGGGCAGGTCCATCGGACGGAAGCTTAGCGCATCCAACATACAAGTGCGAGGACGAGGCTAGGCACGTTGACGTCGAGACGGCTCGCGGGCGACGAGAGCAAGAACGGATAGAAGACGTCGCTGGGCAGCGTAAACCAAATGTCGGGCGCCGGTAAAATGAGGTCCGTTGGCACTGCCGACGCCACCTCTCGAAACGTCAGCGTCGTCGATAGCAGAAGGGACATGGTGTCCGAGGCCTTGAAGAGTGGAAACGCCACGTTCTCTTTGGCGTAGCTCACGAGAACCGACGTGACCTTGCGCTGCGGCGCTTGCACGTCGCCCGTCATGGCATACGAGACGAAGATGTGGGCGCTTGTGATCTACGCACAATATTTGTATCAGAACATACGGTACGACCGTGCAGCAGGACAAGAACTCGGTACGAGGTTGGTGCACACGCCGTTGGAGTAGACGCCACCGGACGTTGCATTGGCCGGTGCTGTGACGGCCACCCAGTCGCTGACCTTGAACGGATCGGCGTTGCCGTAGGCGGCGACGTGCGTTGTGGTCACCTGCAGCGCCGGTGGCACCGCGCTCGAGAGACAAAACGCTTTGAAATCGGTCAGCGACAGCCGTAGAGAGCACGAGACGAGCATGTCGCGGCCAAATTTGGCGCCACTCGCCGAGCCATTGGCGCACGGACCGGCTTGCAGTAGTGGAAAACCACCGGTACTCTCCGCGATGGCTTGCACCGAGCCATTGGCGCGAAGAACACCGGCGCGCAGAGGCAAGTGGTCGAGGTACCCGGGGTTCCCGGACCGTTCGTACGAGATCAAGTTGGCCAAGGCTTGCGATCGCAGCACGGAGCTCGTGCTGACGAACTGGACGTGGAATGTTTGGGGTAGCGACGTCGCAGTCAACGGCACCGAGCCAAGGACCACAGACGCTTGGACACTGAGGATCGTGCCGTTGCCGTCGTGCGTGATCGTGTACGTGAGCTACGACAACGCCACGTCGGTTCCAAGCATCCACATCGACGCTTCCATGCGCACCTCTTGCAAGACATTTGTGCACACTTTCGCGTCGACAGACGGCACACACGCCGATGCATTCCGCGTCACGTCGACCACGTCAGTCGCCGTTTGCAGCTTCACTTCGGTCTACAGGATGCTGGTCAACGACTGTTGGGATCGATGCCATGGCCACGCACAAGTGTCACGGCCACTAGCGTCGTGGCACGCGGGGTTGTCGCCACCGAGAGGCTTTGAACAAAGGGCGACATGCCCAGCGCCGTGCACGACGCAGTGAGGTTGGTGACGGACAGGCGACAGCGCGAGGTTTCGGTGCCACCCCCCACGGTATACGCAATCGGATTGACGGAGAAGCACGTCGACGAGCTCAGCGACGCGGCTGGGAGCATGAGAAACCCGTTGCCGTTCGGCGTCGCAGTCGATCCGTTGATGTAGGCCTGCGCGAGAATGGTTGCAACTCAAAAACACAGGTTTTAGACCAACCTGCACAAAGTCTCCTTGGCGGTAAATTGTGGAAAACACCGTTGACGTCGACTGCACCACGAGCGACTAGAGACGCGTCCGGTGGATCGGTCGGTGCTTGGATACAAGTGCTACCTGCTGATAGGACGGATCCGACGTCGTTGACGCGACGGCGCCGGGGGCTGGCTGGGCAAAGTACGTGCCGCTGACATCGCTGTTGGCCACGTATACGCACATGGCTCCGCTGCTTGCATCGGGCATGTCGAGCATCCTACACATCGAGTAAGGAGGTGTAGAGGGAGGTAGCGTGTGGAGACCCATATTTGGTGTTGAAGGCCACCAGCGAGGCGTCGCAGTAGGGAATGGCAAAGGGTACGTCGATTGCGACGCAGCTGCCTTGCATGGCAGCGACTTGAGCCGGCGAGCACTACAGAAGCCCGTGCATTGAGTTGGAAGCGGCTTGACGATGCAGGGACTTCGGGGTCGCAGCAGCAGCGCGCGTCGCAGACGCCGGCCGTCACATCGCACGCGCAGGCGCACGTAAAGCTGCTGCACACGCCCGTGCTACTTTATATGAGCGACAATATGTAGCACAAGGACGAACACTGGTGCAGGCTGCTTGCAGGTGCAGCCGAGAGGTGTCGTCGTCACGACCGACGTCGCATTTGGCGGTACGAGCGACCAGTCGACGGTGGCAGCCACCGCTACACCGAGACAAAGTCCTCGCCACATGGATCGCATCGCGTCGTCTGTCGACCCAAGCTACCAACGCCGTTTCAAAGGTACTGAGGTTGCGGTACTCGATCGTTGGATATATCTATAGTTGGATCGTTGGATAGATAGGTGTAGATAAGCGTCGCAATCTATTGTCCTATATGGCTAAGAGCTCCTTACCTGCCCGAGCCGGCGCAGTCGGCGGCAGAAACCATCGACGCGCGACCTGTTCATGCCATGCACGTACAGAACGCGAGCGTCTACATGGCCATGAGCTATCTGAATATCTCAAATGCGGCAGGGTATCGAACTATCTATCTGTACGTCGATCTATCTTGAGGATAGAAAAAGAGTGTGTCATTGCGGTGGGCGATGGGAAGACGACGAGATGTACTGCGTTGCCCTGTTACTGCCTTAGCGTTTTTGTTTGTTGTCCTAACCCTAAACGAAGATCCATTGCTGGCTTACATGCCACGCGGCTTGGGACCGCCAGCCGCCTTGGCCATAATAATCTACGAGAATCGCATGAGGCCAAACGAATGCGATCGCGAGAATCGATACCTGGTCTACTCGGAGGACCGTGATGGCCACGTCCGCGCCGAGACGAAGCGCCGACTTCTTCGTCTCCAAATGGTCCAGGACCTTGGCGCCCAGCATGTTTTCAACGACGCCCGTCTCGCTCTCGCACTCGACATCGACGCCGGCGTTGGCCTTGCCCGCGCCGTGGGCCGCGTACAGGCTCGAGATGACCTGCGTCGCCATCTGACCGGCGTTCTCGGCCAGCGTCCGGGGCACAATTTCCAGCGCCTCGGCAAACTTCTTGATCGCGTACTGGTCGAGGCCCGGCGTCGTGTTGCCATACGCTTCAATCTGACGCGCAATCTCGATTTCGGTCGCGCCACCGCCGGCGACGAACCGCGTGTCCTTGCACGCGGCCTTGACCGTGTTGACACCGTCGTCTACAAGCATAGAGCGATGAGATCGATCGCGTCGACGTAGGTGACGCACCGATCGCACGCTCGAGGTCGTTCAGCACGTTGTCGGTCGACGCGCGGAGGATGATCGTCGACATCTTGGCGTCCTCTTCGTCCTGGCGGAAGATCGTGATCTTCTTGCCGCCGATTTCGTGAACGCCGACAAAGTCGCAAAAGCCCATCTCTTCGGGCGTCGGCGCGCCGAGGCGCACGAGCGCCGTCGCGTTGACCGCGCGGCAGAGGCGGCGCAGCTCCCACTTGCTCTGGATGCGGATCGAGAGGAGCTTGTACTTTTCGAGAAAGTGCAGCGCCATCTCCGAGATCGAGCCACCGGCAATGACGACCTTGGCGCCCGACTCGGCAATGCTGCGGATGGCTTCATCGAGGCGCTCTTCCTCGCCCTTGTTGTAGTTCATGAGCTCGTCCGCCGACTTGATGAGCACCGTCGACTTGGCTTCGGTCGACGAGACCTCAATGCCGCAGCCAAAGACCGCAATCTTGGCGGCCTCGACCTTCTTGACCGAGCCTTCCGTGTCGCGCTGGATGACCATGCCCTTGACAACCTTGGAGTCAAACACGTTGCCGCCCATGATTTTGGTCACGCGGATGTTATCGACGTTGATCTTGGGCGCCTTGGGCTTGTTGGGCATGACGTTCAAGCACGCATCCGCAATGAGCGTCGCGAGGAGGTCTTCGTAGCCGTACTGCTTGGCACCAACGACGGGGCGGATGATCGTCTCGAGCTGCGCCTGGTCGCGGAGGTCTGTGATGCGGTGGACCTCGAGCGACTCCAAGATCGAAAGCGCCTTCTCGTACGCCTTCTTGTAGCCCGTGACAATCTCCGAGGCGTGCAAACCCATGCGAAGGAGGTGCGCGGCCTGCATGAGGAGCTCGCCGGCAATGCTAACGACCAAGTTGGTCGCGTCGCCGTGCTCCGTCTGCTGCATCTTGGCCGCCATGACCACCATCTTGGCCGCCGGGTGCACGACTTCGAGCTCCTACAATCGACATCATGAGTATCCATAGGCCATGCGACGCGAAATCTCTACCTGCACGATCGTAGCCGTGTCGGACGTGACAAAGATCTTCTCGAGGTGGTTGATCACGAGCTTGCGCATGCCGTTGGGCCCAAGCGACGTGCGCGAGATGTCGGCGAGCTGCTTGACGGCCTCGATGTTCTTGGCGACGGCCTCATCGACGCCCTCGAAGTGCTTGTGGCCGTCCTTGAGGAGGCCCGAGAGGCCCGCGGCCGGGTTGAAGCCCATGGATTTCGCCATCGTCGAAGTCGGTAGTCTGTGTGAGCCGCTGGAAAGCGCAAATGCCCCACACACCACTCTTCTGGTGGCCTTTCTTTTTTATTACATACGTTCCATACGCTTTTGCCAGTATTTTTATACATCGAATCAATATCCGTTGCTACAGGTAATATCGATTGATAGAGGCTCTCGACCGACTACCATTACGACTAAACGACTAACAACACCACACCGACCAAGGTGACACTTTCGCAGACCTCCATCGCAGGCAAGTGACGCACGTCGTAGGCTGATGGTACCTGCGCGCATACGATAGTATAGCTGCGAACGCGAATGCACTTGGTATAGTTGTGAATATGTTGTTACGGCTGCTTGATCAAGCGCTGTGGGCGGGTACGCTGAAGCAGATGAGAAAGCACGGGATGACATGGAGAGCTGCTAGCACGCATGGGCTCGCAAGTGGACCTAGTAGCGTCATTGATTGTGTTGATGACTTTGTGGGAGAATAGAGTCGCGACCTGGAGGTACAAGACCACGTCGTCGGGATGCGAGAGATATGGGAAGCGCCCCGAGGCCTTGAGAAGTGCCTACACGCTATCGTCAGCTCAACTGGGCGCAGGAAGATCGCATGGGTCGACCTTTTTAGCGTCACGGAACCGCTCATACATGACTTCGCGTTGGTCCGAATCCGCAGCGTTGTTGGAGCCATAACTCTAGTCGGTGGTTTAGTCGATAGTCGTTCTCGATGGACAAGATCTGCATACGTCAAGGAGGGTGACGCGATTGTACGGAATGTGGAGGTCCCGTGCAGGACCACTGCTGCTCGATAGGCCTCCCAACGTCAAGCGCGATGCGAGCTGCGCCTGGCTCAAACTTTCGAGCTACATCAATGGCCATGAGCCACACGCGAGCTGCAGCAGTGGACCTGCTGCCGCAGGAAGTCCGATGCGGCGTTCACAGCGACATCCTCTGACGTGTCGAGCTCCTTGAGCATAAGTCTACGCACAAACAGTATAAGAGTGTCGGCGATTTGCCTCGAAGCACGGATTCGATCTACTTTTTCAGCTGGAAACGGGGCATGACGGAAAGCCTGTGTACTTATTGACCCAAGTATCTTGTGCAAATCGGTACGTACATCTTTAGGTAGCGAGTGCCGATAGCCATGCCACTGTTATAGCCGCGTGTGAGCACGAGCGAGCGCACACGATGCGGAAAAGCCGAGCAGAACCGCTAGTTCCCAGCGACGCTTCATGTCTCGTACTTGCAGAGAGAGTACCTGTGCTAACGTAGCTCCGAGACTCGCGCCATACAAATGTACCTACAAAGCAATCCCGCACGAGCGTTGTGAGATGCCCGTACCGACGCGAGGTTGAGGGCGTCGAGGAACCGGTCCAAGCTGTGGACCAGCTCATCGTGGGTCCACACGACCGGACAGTGCACCTAGCGAGAGAGAGGCTCGTGAGTCAGTGCTTGCATTGCCAGTCATCGCGCACAGCGAGGGCTCGGTAGCCGGCGGCGGCGAGCGCAGGCAAAAGCGCGTGGTAGGCGATCGCCGAGCCAATGGCGTCTGGAAGCAGCACGATGGTCGTGGCCGAGCGCGGGCCAACGTCAAAGTACTCCCACGTCTTCGCGTCGTATGTCGTGAGACGCTGCTTGGCGGTCGTCGCCAAGAACGTCCGCGCCGAGCACGTTGGATCCGACATGGCCTTTCTGAGATTGCTGTTCCAGTATCTTTTGCCGGATACCACCGTGGCATCCGGATACTGTGTCGCAATTGGCAGCGTTGGCGGCAGAGTGATCCATCAACTGTAGGTGCGGCGCAGTCTACCGTGGCGGCTCACGGCTTGTCTAGGTGACACCATGGAACCCATCTCTGTGCAAGGCCAGCTCGTCCATCAGCGCAAGCTTTCGTACGCATCTCTGCAAGGAATAGCACACAAGCCTATGACGATATCGTACTAGGCGCAAGTGCTCCTTCTTCGACCTCGTTGTCGGCAGCGCGCGTGTCGAAGCCATTCTCAAGATCCAAGACGACATGTCTGTCGACGACGTGAAGGCCCTTCGCAGCCGCCTCGTGCTTGGCGACGTGATCCAAGTGGATGGCGTCCTCGAGACGCTCCCGGCGGCAACGTAATCGCGTGCTGGACCATGGACCATGGTGATGAGGATGCTGCTATGGTGTAGCCAGCCGTTTAGCGAGTCGCCTACGGGCTACCTCTTGCACGCTAGAGACATCACGGTGCTCACGCCATGGAAGGAAGCGCAGCCTGGTACTCATGGCACACCTCGGTCCACGCTTACCGCGCAGTAGGCAAGACGTTCACGCCGCTGCCCGCAACAACAGTGGCGACAACAACAACATCGATGTCAAAAGCAACGCCGCTTGTGTCCAAGGAGACGCAGGCAACTGTGCCGTGCAAGTTTTGGATCAACACGGGGCGGTGCCACAAGGGCGCGGCGTGCCCCATGCGCCACGACGACGTCAAGGAGCTCAAGGCGCTTCGGAAGGCCTGGCTCGCCGACCGCCTGCACAAGAAACGACTCGTCGCCCACCAAGCCGACGACCCGACCGATCCCCACGGTGCCGCCCTCTTGCGTAAAATCCACCTGTACGAAGAGCGCGTCTGTAGCCAAGCAAAGCAAGCACTGCCGGGCCGGCATTTTCGCAAAGTGGCTCGTCGACACGTTTGGCGTCGACGTCCTTCAGAGTGGCTCTGGCGTCATGGACGTGGCAGGAGGACGCGGCGGCGTCTGCTTTGAGCTCTGGCATCAGCACAAGGTCCCGACAACGCTCGTCGATCCGGTACGCCTCTTGCATCCACTGCTATCCAAAGCTGCGTTCGTGTAGCGGCCAATGAAGTACACGAAGCGGCAGCACCAGTACCTCCAAGCCCATCCCAACGAAGCCCACGTCACCCAGGTAGTCCATGATTGACATGATTTTGGATCAGCATTTTGAATCGGTAGTGGCTCGAGCTCTTCGAGCACGCATCGTATGTCGGCGACGCAGCGGACGACGTCAAAGTCCAGCACATGCGTCACGTGTCGCTGGTCCTCGGGATGCACCCGGACGAAGCCACGGACGTGATCGTCGACGTCGCCCTCGCCTACAACAAGCCGTTTGCGATCGTGCCCTGCTGCGTCTTTGCCGATCAATTCCCGCACCGACGCACGCCCGGCGGCGACGTCGTCACGACCTACGACGAGCTCGTCGCGTACCTCGTCGCCAAGCATCCGGGCATTCAAACGACGTTCCTTCCATTCGATGGTCGGAATCGCGTCGTCTATTACCGGCCGTCGACTTAAACAGCAACGTTTTCAACCTTGCACTCGGTGCCGACTGGCAACACGACTTTACAAAACGTTTCTTGGTCGTCGAGCACGAGTAGCATCGCAGTGGCCTTTTCTTCCGATGGAAGACGCGCAAGGAACGCGGGAGCTTGCGGTGTCGACATGGGCGTGAGGGCCGACGACGCCAAGGCCATCGCGTAGAGCAGGGGCGCCGTCGAGCCCGCGAGGAGAACCGCCGTCTCCGTCATATGCAGCGACGTGATTGGAAACGGAACCTAGCGCGACGACGCTCCATGACCCATGGCATCAACCTGCGACGTACGGTGGCGAGGTTGCACAGCTGCAAGGCGAGCGCGGAACCCTTGCCGACGCTGAGAAGCTCATACAGTGTCCTATGCATGGAATCGCTGTAGCGACACCAAGGAAGTCGCATGTACCCATTGGAGCCGCCGCAGAAAATGCGGCTGCCATCGTCGGTCATCGCGATCGACGTAATGGCGGTGGTGGTTGGGAGGCGACAAAGCACGTGACCTTCGTGCGTCAGAAGAAGCTCCAAGCCGCCCAAGCTACGCATATCCGTTGCACATGGCGTTGGTGGTATTGGGTACTGATACCTCATCGCGACGTAGGCGCAGAGCTGATTCTCGGCGTCGCGCAGTCGCACCGAGGCCATGCTCTGCACTACCAGCCATTGTAAGTCACGAGGAAGCTCATGTCGACGTGGTACCGTGTCCGGGTGCGCCGCCCATGTCCATGCGCTTCTTCCAGCGAAGACGGAACTTGTCGACGCCATAGACATTGCCGACGTGGTCGCTCACGACAAACACCTTGTGGTGCCAAGTGGCTGCTACGACGGCGCCCTCCATGGCGTACCGCCGGAGCTCGACGCCCGTGTCGGCGTCCAAGAGCACCACTGTACCATCCGCGTCGCCTACCAGCACCTCGCTGCCAGCCTTGGCCACGCACTAGAAATCGCGTTCACGCACGAAGCCTTGGCGACAGCGTCGTACCGTGATGGCAGCCAGCGTCGCATGGTGCTTCCACTCGACGCAGTCGAAGAGGTCGACGACGTCCGTTGCCGTCGGCGCAAAGTAGTTGGCGCAGAGCACTTCGCCGGCAGCCGTGCCCACGAGGACGCGGTCGTCGCCGCTTGCCAGCGCTGTGATCATGGTTCGTGTCCGGATAACTTGACCGGACAAAAATCCAATGTCCGTTCTTTTAATACGTAAAAGATCATAAAAGAACGACGCGCGGTTTCTTTTATTCAGGGCTATGCGCTCCCCGCTGCGAGAGCGTCCCGCCGAGCAATCCGTTGCCCGCCAGTGCTGCATCTGAAGAAAGGCGTCCCTGCCAACGCTGCCGCCGCCCAAGGATCCAGGTTTTTGAGGCCGCACCAAAATCACCTTGCCGATCGTCCTGCACCGCGACCTCCAGTCGCTCCTCCGTCGCTGGCGTCTCTCGAGGACCTCGACAAACTGCGTAGCTCTGCCGTCGATCGAGACGCCTGGAAGTACTTCACAGAGCTTGTCATCATGGCCCTCGCCCGTGGCCGCAAGCGCCACCGCCTGCGACACCACTGCCAGAAGAAGGAGAGATCCGACGTCGTCGTAACAACCAAACAAAACGCATTCATATACATAGGGCGATGGGTTGTGCTCGAGGTGAAAGGCATCTCGCCTTCGCATAATCGTCTGTGGGCAGAGTCCCTTTATTGTAGAGTATCCCGTTAGTACAGAGAAACCTATGACGTGGCAAATGTGGCTTCGTCACTGCGCGGGCTCGGCGGTCGGGGGGTCATTGTATCCGCGCCAGTGTGTTGTCGCTGGGCCATGGCCACCCGTGGGGCTCGGTCGCGTCTTGCGCGGACTCGTGGATGCTCGTCGAGGCGTGATCAGATCCTTTCGCTTGACCTTGACGTTGTGAGAGAAGCTTGCGGTGCCAAACGACGAGGTCGGGTGGTAGTAGGCACCCGGTCCTGGTGCCACATCCCCTAGTACATTCCATCAGGATGATGGTATACCGAAACACGACGGCCCGCTACGGTACCGGTGCGCATGAGCATGATTTCACGGCCCGAGTTTTTGCGAATGTTGCCCGAAAGCCAGCAGCTGCGACTGCTCAAATTGGTGTCGGGGCCGCGTACCTCGTCGTGCTTGGGGGGGCTCGTCGCGCGAGGGGCCGGTGCGAGCCGCCCCCCGGACGGCGCAGGCTTGTGCGGCGTGTAGATTGGTCCCGGCGAAAACTCGCCCATGTTTTCACGCACGTGGCGTGACGAGATGAATTGGACGCGGCTCATGCCCGCCGTCGCTTGGTCTTTCCGGGGGTTCTCACGCAAACCAAAGCGGGGCGCAGTCCCAAAGTTGGACGATTGCGGCCGCGACTCCTATCCCGTCGACGGCATCAGGGTCTCTTACCAACACATCGTTCCACAATGTATCCTACATGGTGCTGGTTGCGTTCATCGGCGAGGCTGGGGGGCGGGGGGTCCATCTCGGGGGGCTGCACCGCGGGGGGTAAGACAAAGAGACCTTTCCGATGGATGACCGAGAGCCACGACTCGCGGTGACTAGTAGATCGTTGCATCATAAAACGCAGTGGGGGCGGTCTATATCCAACCTTTTCACAGGACTCCCGACGCGGACGGGGTTGACTTGGCCTTTTGAGAACGAGTACTTCGGCGCCGTCGATCGGAACGTAGTCGCCTCGACATTGTACTTCGGACCCGGGCTGTCGGACGTGATAAGTTCTCGCTGGTGGTGCTTGTCCGTCATGCACACTATAGACCGACGCATCCGATGATCCCTCGACTTCTATCTTGGCGCCAGAAAACGGCTACCTTTTTGCGACAAGAAGCGCTCCGACTTGGGAAAGCTCACGGCCGGGACGCGCGATTTCACGACTTCGTAGTTGGCTTCATACAGGTTCGGGGCCACGTGCACGCCTACATGCAAACGTCAATCGTTGGTGGCCGTGGATTGGTCTCGACCGTGGTCGTGCACGGAGATGCTCGGCGAAAATTGATCTACTCTTTCACGTCGCGATGGTTCCGAGTCCGCGTAGACGTACTTTTGATCCAGCTGTCGCGATGGCCCACCGGCGCGTCAAGGGCGGCGGTGGCCGCTGCATAATCTGGCCGGAACAAGACGCCGCCCTTCTTTTTTGGCGACCGCTCGAGGTTGTCGGTGACGCTGAGGTAAATGGGCCCGGGTGACCGCGCTACCAAACCACTCACTTCGAACGGCCTCCTCGGTGGCGAGACGTACCCGCATCGGCCACGAAGCGGTCCGAGCTGCCAAAGATGGACATGGCGCGGCGACGGAAATCTCCAACTGCGCCTGTCTCACTATAAATAGCGTTCCAAGCGGTTAGCTCTAACCGGGTAGCTGACGTGTGCGAGTCGGCTATCGTGTCGCCAAGGGCTAACCGATCCATTCGGGCGACGCGGGCAGCACCCCGACGCCGAAAAGTGTCAAAGGGATGAGCCATGATAGGCGGCAAGACCCACCACGAAGCTTTCTACTTGCGTGCCCTATCGACTACCCGACCCCTAGCGTCGATGAACAAAATACAGAAAACACGCGCGCGTGGTTATATAAGCTAATACACTCTACTTAGCGGACCATGTCGTTGAGCTCCTTCCCGACAAGGTACCGTTCGTCCCGCACCGAGTCGTGGAGTGTCTGGACCCACCGGCCCACGTACGGTTTCGCGAGGACGACGCCAGCGCCCACGAGCTGCGTCGCAAACGCGAGCCGGTACAAGATGCGTTCGGGCAGGTGGCTCCACGCAAGCAGCGCGTCGACCTTGCAGACGAGCCAGGGCAGCACGAGACACATGAAGAACCCGTAGGCGAGCGGTCGCACCACCTTGTTGCGGAACAAAACCCCGTCAAAACACTTGGCGCTCAAGTCGTCCATTGCGCCGTCAATACCGTCTTGGTGCGCGCGCACGTGGAAGCAGAGTTGCTCGTACGCGAGCCGCAGCGACGTGACGATGCTCGGCGGCGCCCGCGACAACTCGTCCCACCGGTCCACCATGGGCACATTGTCGCCGTCGTCATTGTTGTTGTTGCGGCGCGGCTTCTTGAGCTCCAAGCAGCACACGGCCCATGCACCCGCGTGCAGCGTGACGAAGCCAAATCCGAGCATCTAATGCAAGTACTACGTTAAGCACACCAATAGGAATTAGGCAACAAAGCACATACCTCGAAAAGCGTCGGCCATTGCGACGCGAGCGGCGTCATCCAGAGCGCACTCAGTAGCCCGAGCATGAGCGGCAATACGATGGCCCACGAAAGCACAAGGCTGACGAGCGAGCTGCGAGTCGATGGGGGCACCCGGTACCCGCTGTTTTGAAGCCGCGGGTGGACATCCCGGTCCGGAATGCGGAGGATGTGCAGCGCCTTGTAGCCGCTGAGAAGTACATACATCACAAAGATGCCGGTGGCGAATGCGAGCGAGTCGTGCTGGACGCCACAGAACCGCTCGAGCAGTGCGATCGACGTGCGTCCGACGAAAAGTGGACCGAGCGTCGCCGTGCCAATGATGACGACGGTCGTCAACCAACACGAAAGCACGAGGAGACCGAGGCGGATCGGCACGTTGGCGGGGAACTGACGCGGCAGCAAGTTATACTCCATCACGGTCGGGTCCACAAGGCCTTCTTCGGGCCACGGAAGGTACCGCGCGCCATAGTAGCGCTGCTCGGCCGCCGGTGCGTCGTGGTTCGGGTTGAACGTCAACGGCGGCACCGTGAGCACGATCGCATCGACGCCAGAACCTGGCAGCGCCGGTACGCGCGGCAGCAAGTACTCGGTGAGCCCGAGGCGTGCGCACATGCGCAGCATGTACTTGTACTGGAACGTGCCAATCTCGTTCTTGTACGTCTCGAGGACCGCGAGAATCGTCATGTGTGCAAGGACGAGCTCGAGCGGCACTTGGAGCGGAGCAAAGATGTGGTAAAAGCGCAGCTGCAGCGGAAAGAGCGAGGGCAGTACGCTGTACGCGGCGCGCACGGGCAAGTGCACCAGCAAAAGGAGGAGTGCGGCGTAGATCGCAAGCGACAGCAGCATGCGCCGCGCGTGCTTGACGCTCTTCTCGCTCAAAAGCGCTTTGAGAATGTCCGGGTTGGCCTCTTGGGGCCGGATCGTGGCCGCGAGAATGTCTGGGTGCAGCACCTCGCGCATCTGGAGGACCGCGACGGTCACAAAGAGCATGAACGTGATGCCGAGCACCCAGTGCACGAGGAGCGTCGCCAGCATGTGTTCCATGCAGTAGCTCAGTCGGTCCCACGGGTCGACAAGGAAGAGCTGGAGGGTCGCGACGTCCATGCCAATGCCAAGGAGGATCGGGAGCAAAATCATCTTGAGCAAAAGCAGTGTCGATACTTTGACGACTGCGTTGAGGCACGAGAGGAACCAGAGCAGGCCCGCGAGCAACGGTCGATGGTTGTAGCTCGAGATGGTCGAGACGAGCACGCGCCAGAGCACGATGGTGCCGCAAAAGCTAAAGTACCCGAGCGCACACGTGCCAAGATCGACGAGCTGGAGGCAGTCGCCGTGGAGCCGCGCGTTCTCGGTCGTGTTGAGGACCAAGCCAATCATGCGGTAGAGCGGCGGCATGGCCTCGAGGACGGGGCTTTCGAGGATCGACGGATCGAGCGGCGGCAAGGCAAATGAAAACTTGGCCACGGTCGACACGATCGTGCTCCCGAGCGTGTACGGGATGAATGCAAAGATGCCAAGGTAAGCGCCGTTGAACGCGAGGAACCACGAGACGTTGCGCACGAGGAGGTACAGCGGCCCGCGAAAGCCAACGAGCTCGTCCATCGCAATGTTGATCTCCATGTGGTCCATGTCGTCGTCCCACGGGTCTTGCAGCGGCGGCTCATTGTTGTTGTTGTTGTTGACAGGGCGGCGCGGAGGCACGGCGCCGCGACGCCGGCGGTTGCCGCGGTTGGCGGCCTCGGCGATGCGTGGGTCCGGGCGGATATTGCGCGCGACGTGTGGCCGAAAGACAGCGGCATGCGGGATCTGCTGGATCGCCTCTTCGAAGAGCGGAAGGTTGTCGTCTTCGCGGACACGAACGACGCGCCGCGGTGGCACGAGCGGCTGTCCGCGCGGCAGGTTGAGGTGCGGGAGGTGGGCGGCCGGACGCACGTGGCGGCGGCGTGGCTGGATCTCGTCGTCCGAGTCGTCGTCGGACGAGTTGTCGTCGTCCTCCTCCGAGTCGTCGTCGTCGTCTGAGTGGTCGCCGCGGTGGCCGCGCTCGGGGATCCACTCGTCGACGCCGTCGACGCGCTCGATGAGCCGCATAAAGTTGTCGCCGCGATGGTTGCCGTCAGCATTATCTTGGAGCCCATGCATCTCGAGTTCTTGGGCGACGAGCATCGCGCGCTGGCGAAGATGGACCTCTTCCGGCACATCGGCGTCGGCGTCCAGCTCGTCCTGGATCTGGTCCATGTTGAAGCGGAGAAAGTCGGCAAGGCTCATGAGCGAGAGGAACGAGCAGACGACGACGACGATGAGGATCAAACCGGAGAAGACGTCGTCAAAGAGCACCTCGATTGTCTGGATGCGGTCGTTAAAGTTGACCGATCCCATGGTCGCGGCGCGGAGTAGCCAGAGGCGGTAGAGCCAGCTCGTGCACCATGGCGCGACGAGGGCCCACGCAATGACAACGAGGATCGCGCGGATGGCCAGCGGCAGCCACTTCTTTAGCGCCACGATCGCCAGCGACAAGAAGAGCTCGCCGGCCGGCAGCGTCTCGGGGCAGCCGTCGGCGTACAACGGGCGGAACGAGAACGTGTAGCCGCAGAGCTCGCACACTTCCTTCTTGGAGATGGCCAGCCACTCGGCCAAGCAGTCCGAGTGCACGTAGCGGATCGAGCCGCTGCATCTGCAGGGCGCGAAGAGGCGACGGCCTTCTTCCTACGAGTTCCATGAGCCATCGCCATGGCGTCCGACGCTACGTACCGCTTCGCCACGGCAGACCCGACATTCTTCTTCGTCGTACTCCATCGCTCGAGTAAGGAGGTTTATGGCTGCCCCTTCAATTGGGTGAAACGAAGATTTTCCATGTTCGTTTTTATTTGCCCATTTTGGCCTTATACTTGTATATTGTATGGTTGATGCAAGCAGTGGCATTAAAAGAGGATGTGGTCGGCTCCCACATTGCTGGGCAAAAGCCTTGGGACAAACCTCGCCAAAGAAACCTCACGACGTCCGCGTATTTAAATGCATCTATTTTTATGCAATCTCTCTATTTGTATTGAAAGCCATCAAATATAAAAAGAGGAGATGACGCTGCTGACGCCGACTCTCGAAGTTCGAAGGTGTGCGCCAGACCGTGTATGATAAACAGGTTGAAGTACGTTAAAGTACGTTGAAAGCTGTTTTACTCAATGCGGATGCACTCGGCACCAGCTCTCTAAACTCGACTGCAAGCGCGCAACCAACGCACGCAAAGGGCATTCCACTTGCTCGGACGATACATGTCTTCTATGTGTCTTTAGATCGATCTAAATCAGTTCTTGAAACGACTTATGTCCTAGTACACGCTCTCATGTCGCCAATCGAAGGCAATGGACCAGGCGATACCGCAACACGACTCCTCGCTGTAGCCGTCTACTGCGAGTAGATTCGTCTAGTCGTTAGGGCCTACTAGAGCGCATCATATCGTGCATCGTGCTCAATGTCAATAGTATATCAAGTCGGTGGTGTAACTGCCGCGTTTAACGCATCCTCGGTGACGTTTTAATCAGCAGTTTCGCGCAGCCCGTCGCGGCAGCGGATGAAGATGCTGCTTCCGACGCTGTCGGCCGACCCGGCCGAGGCTGCGCTCCGGCAGCTGCTCGCGAGCGCGGCCGACCTTCTTGCGGCCAACGAGATACCCGAGGCGCGCACACTCTATCTCGAGGCGCGCCAGAGCTACGCGCGTCTCAAGCTCCATGTGTTTGGTGGCGAGCCACAGCAAGACGACGCAACGTCACCGCACCGGTCGTCGCTGCTTCAGGCGCTGCCACCGCCGTGCGAAAGCCTCGGCGAGAAGCTCCAGGCGCTTGGCGTCGCGCTCGGCAGTGCATCCTGGACAGCGCTGCAAGCGGCCATCGAGGCCAAGACGTGGGACATTGCACAGCTCGCCGAGTGCCTTCTCTACATGCCGACGCCAGAGGTGTGGACGCTCTACGTGGAGAAGCGGTCGCGCATGGCCGCGGCGCTCGTCTCGGGCTTGAACCCGACCTTGACGCAGTACACGGACGCCGTCGCGGCCTTTCTCCGCGCCGACGTGGACGCCGTCGCGATCCCTTGCGGCGACGACGGGACGACGTTCGTGAGCGCATTTGCCGGCGCCACGTCGCCGACCGCCGACGTCAGCGACCGCCTGCGTCACCTCGTCGCCACCGCGTATGCGCCGCCGCTGCAGGAGCTCATCGAGACGGCCGTGACATACTTGACAAGTGACGTGAACGCGTGGATGATGGTCAAAGACACCGTGTCGTCGTCCGTTGTGCATTTCGGCGACGTGCGCTTCCATTATGGCAAGAAGCGGGCGTTCGAGTACCGGTATGCCAACGCGGCGCAGGTCGTGCCGCCGCCAACGCCGACGTCACTCCGGACATCCATGTCGTCGTCCTTGGCCCGCATCAACGTCCGTCTCAGCTCCATCACAGGGTCCCGTCCGTCGTTTACGATGCCAATGGCCCAGACCGCCAAAGTCAAGGTGCTCCTCGCCGACCCATGTGTGCATGGCGTGTGGCGCTTTGTGCACATCGACCGGGGCGGGTTCTCGGGCCAGCCGATACCGACGAGCTTGCGCCGCTGTCTCTTTGTGTACTTTGACGAGCTCGATATGGTCGCATCGCACTGCAAGCGGAAAGGCAAGCTCGAGTTTTGCATCGGGTGGCCCGTCCTCGCGTGCATCGCGACGCCGACCGAGGCCATTTGGGTCAACGCGGTCATCGACGCGGTCCAAAGCGACGCCAACACGTGTACGGTAGTCGATGCAACGACCAAGAAGCGCTACGACGAATGCCTCCCCATGGACACGCACATACGCCTTGCGCCAACGGACCCGAAATGCAGGATACACTCGGGCCAGCGCTGGCTCAACCTCATGGACGATGTCACGCAGGCCGTGTCGGCGCTCGTAAAGGCGCTTCCGAGTAGTGTCGACCTCGGCGCGCTCCATCGGCAGCTCTGGTCGGCCCTCGCACCGCCGATGCGCGTCGCCGACTACATCTTTTCTCGCTACCTGCGCACTGTGCTGCATGCGGCCCGCACGACGTCGTCCCCCGGCGTCTCGAGTGCCGTGATCCTCGGGTCCTTTGATACCACGGGCTTTTACTCGACGGCGATTCTCAGTACGTCGGCGCTCGACGAGTACACGCTGCGCGCGCAGGCCGAGACGCTTGCGTTGATTGTACATGACATCACCGAGAGCTTGAGTCCGTGCATTCAAACCGGTGGGTTTGCCGAGGTCCTTCGCTTGTACGCCCAAGTCGTACACGAAGAGGTGACGGCGTTCGCCCATGCGCTGCAGTTGCTCCTCGCCGAGCACGCGCTCTCAATGGACGCGGTGCTCGAAGGCGGCGTCGGGCTGATCGTGTTACTGGATACGTGGCGGCTCTCACGCACGCAGCTGCGGCCGCCCATGGACCGCAGCGCGGCCGCCATGCACTGGACGATCGAGACGCTCGACAAGATCGAACGCGTCATCAGTGATCTCGTTGCCACGTCGCTCCACTATGTCCACTCGTTTGTACGTCCTTATTTGAATGGTGATATAGTTGCAGACATGTTGTCGTAGGTCCTTCACGAGTGTGCGTGCATCTACATGCCCAGCATCGTCGCGCAGGAGTGGGACGCGATCAAGCCGTACTTTAACAATACGCGCATCTCGGCCGGCCTTCAAGCCATGGGCCTTCGCTTCACGCGCCTCCTTCTCAAGCTCAAGGCCAGCGCAGCCGGACTGGGTCACTCAAGGCAGCTCGCCCTCGATATGCTTGGCAGCCTCAGCGTCCACATGGTTCAGTCAGTGCTCGAGCTCTACGCGACGCTGACACCATCGCGCGGCCGCTTGGACCAGTTCCGCATCGACGGCCTCTACTTTGTGCTCGGCTTTTTCAGTAGTTTGCGCGCGTGCGTCCTCGACCTCGGCGTCGCCGCCGACACGTCGTGTACAACGACCTCTGCCGCACACTGTATGTACCTTGACGTGTTACGTAGGGCTTCGGCTGAGCGCGGAGGGTCTCGTCGCGTTCTTGCGTCGCTTGGCGCTACTGTTGGGCCCCATCAGCACGATCGAGCTCTACGCCACGAAAACCAAGTCGTTCAAACGGACGCTGCCCGGTATTTCAGGCGCGTACGACGTCTTGGATCGGTTCGTCACACCCGTTCTCTTGACGCTCAAGTGCAATCTCAGCGAACACGTGTCGTCCAAATACGTACGGTCTACAAAAGAAGAAGAAGAAAGATCTGTCATCCTGACGTCGTGCGTAGCCATGGCATCTGCACGCGCTCGTGCCCGACATTGCCGCGCTTCGGACGCTGGACCTCGACGTATGCTGCGCAAACCATTGACATGTACAACATGTCGTCGTCTAGTGGGCCGGCATTCTGGGCGAGTGCAGCGTCTCCAAGTGGGAAGCGGTGACATGGCTAAAGAAACGGCGTGAAATGATCGACGGTACGTACCCAGCGCTGACGCCCGACGAGTGTGCGACCAAGGCGCGTCTCCACACCGTACGTACCGCCTTTCTCAGTGTGTTCAGGGCTTCACTTTGAACGTAGCTGCTCGGCGAGCCGCCAGCATAAGAAGCACAAACCGCATCTATCTGTCCTATTTAACCCTCTAACGTCGGAACTTTTGTCGTCGATGTTGGTGAAGGGAGTGTTGAGGACCTCTGTACGAAGGTTCGAGTAGTTGAAAGACATCAACTCCGACCTTTGGTGTGACGAAACCCCCCGCCAAAAGTGTTGCCGTCAACGACGGACTACTGTCAACCCCGTTGCGATGGCTCTCACACGTGCAGTGCTGCCATCGCAAAGAAAAATAGTCTCCGGAAGGGGTGCATCGCCCCAATGGATAATCGCGCTTTCTGTCAAGAGAGCCCCTGCAGAGGCTTGTCCGCCGACGTAAAGATCACGACTCTTACATCGCCGCCCGGTTGTTGTGGTTGTGTCCTGCCCTCTCATGGCGGCTTTCCCACTCGAGGTTAGGGGTGTCCCTCCTCTTGAAGGTTTTCCGTCCGCCTCGTTGGCAGCGCGGACGTTACGCGTGTCAAAAAAATCAGCAAGGAGCAATGATGGTCCTGCAATCCTGCAATGGCGGTCCGGCAGGAGGCCGCCATCTTGGTCGTCGGCGTTCAAAAGCTATAGATAAGTCGTCACTCTACAGCGTGCGCAGGAGGCCTCGCGTCAGGATGCGCTCCGCTGTTGCGCTCGTGCTACTTGGTGCGTCACGATCCTATCGCGTCAGCGAACGTGAAGGTTGATTCTGCAGGTGCTACGCTGGCCTCGACGACGACGACGACGACCGCTACTCCATGGACGCGCGTGTGGCGCTTCAGTGCCAAGGAGGATGAACCGACGCCCCGTGCCGCCCACAGCATGGTACTCTGCGGCAACGAGACGCTGGTCGTCTATGGCGGCATCGGCGACGAAGAAGATAGCGCCAAGGACGACGCATGGGCGGTACGATCGATGGAGGCCATAACCTCGAGCTGAGTGGGCGTAGTTTAACCTGACGTCGAATGCGTGGACAAAAGTCGGGGTCGACGGTCCTCGCCCGCACAAGCGGTTCCATCACGCGGCGGTACATTGGGATTGGCTTGGCGAGCATCGACAGGAAAGTGTCGTAGGCCGCGCGGCGCTCGCCGGCAAGAGAAGTGTACATCTTTGGTGGCATGTCGGTGTGGCAAGCGCTACCGTCGCCCGTGCTGCACTACGCGCAGACGCAAGACCTCTGGCGCCTCCAACTCGATGCGACACCGCCGGCTTGGGTGCTCGAACCCGCGCCCAACGGCCCGAGCAACCGCAGCGAGGCGACCGCGATCACGTTCAACGACCGCATGTATCTCTTTGGTGGCATCGAGTACGACACGACGTCGACGAGCCGTGGGCACTCGCGCTGCTTCAACGACATTTGGACGTTTGACTACACGACCAAGGTGTGGACGCAGCTGCCTTTGCCGGCCAAGCACGCCAAGCACGTGCCGTCTCCGCGCTTCTCGCACGCCGCAAGCACCATCACTGGTACGTTGTAGCTGCTCATATGTGTGTGTCCATATTGCAATGGTACAGTCGACGGCGTCACGTCCATGGTGATCTTTGGCGGCCGACAGCTGACCAAAGACGATGGCTGGGCGCTGCTGGACGACATTTGGCTCTTTTCGTTCGAGGTTCACGTATCCATTGATGGAGAATATTGTCATATCTCGTGTAGACCCATGCGTGGACACAAGTGCACAGCACGCCCGCGTTCAAGCGCGCGTACACGACCATGGTGACAGTCGACAACGACATGTGGCTCTTTGGCGGCTACTTCAAGTCGGACTACAGCACGAACGGCTACGTCTACGACGACACGGTCCACACGCGGCTGTCGGGCACGCACACGCAATTTTCCAAAAACAACGAGACCGATACGATGGACGAGGTATCCATTGCGCATCTTGCCGTATCGCAAACGACATGGATACTAGGGATACCCGAGCGTCCGGTATTTGCACCGCGCCGTGGCGTGGCAAGGGAAAATGGTCGTCTTTGGCGGCCGCTTCCAGCACACGCTGGGTGACATGTGGGTGCAGGACCTCAACGCGAGCTTGCTGCATCCCGTCACGGACGTGCACGAGCTCGAGCGCAGCGACATGAACTCGCTCTACGTCGCGTGCGTGCTTTTTGCGATTTTCACCGTGTTTTTCGTCCTCACGCTCGTGCGCTTCCGGCTCCACCACGTGCACGTAGGACAACTTGTCTTCTTTTCAAATGACAAGTTGTGTGTAGCCGACGGCGCCGTTGCGCTTGGTGCCGCGCGGCGTCTCGAACCAACGCTTGCTCGAGCTCAAGACGAAAAAGGTATCATTCGGGTCCGAGCGGTGTATTGATGTCTGTGCCAGTACCACGCAGTGGCGTCGACGGAAACCAACGCGTCGGATCAAGTCGACTTGTGCCCGATTTGCCTCGTACGCGCGTGCCACTACAGGAGGCTAGCAGACCGATGCGAGCGTGTAGGCGGACTTCAAAAGTGATGACGACGTGCGCGACCTGCCGTGCAAGCATCTCTTCCACGTCGCGTGCATCGACGAGTGGCTGCGCAAAACAAGGTATCGCGATGGATGCATTTCGCTCGATGGCGCGACACCGCGTAGACGTGTCCCATGTGCAAACTCGACATTGAGGCCGTGTAATCAAGCGTCTACAACACGAATGACAGTTTTGATTCGATTGGGTTGATCTTTATTGTCGCCAGGTGCTAGTCGTCCCAGTCGGCGTGTGCAAAGTTGGCATCGGCGGCAACACCGCCTGTCTGACGCTCTGCTTTCATGGACGCCTTGACCGGCGCGTCGTCTTGGTCCCAATCCTCCGTGACAAAGTTGTTGTCGGCCGCGACCGCCGACGTCCTACATCTATTTGGCGTGATTCGTTGACAAGCACGTAGTTACCCCGGATGCGAGTGGGTCGTCGCAACGGGCGATGCCTTGCTCGGTCGCGCCTCGTCTTCCTCGTCTTCCTCGTCGTCAAAGTACGCAGACGCGCGCTTGTGGATCTGCGCGGGCGGCTCTTGGTTTCTGTCACCATCGTCGTCCTCGATGTCGTGCGCATCGTGCATCGCCACGTCGTCGGGATGCTTGCGAGTCGTGGTGCCGACAGAGTCGTCGTCGCCGTCGTCGTCGCTCTCGGCTTGGTCCGTCGTGGTCGGTGGCGCATTATTGCGTGCCTTCATCTCTGTTGAGAGGTGGCGCTCCGGGGCCCTACACGTATTGGTTCGACTTGTTTGCGTGCAGCACGGCGTACTCGGCGTCATGGAACCGGTCATTGTCGTCGTCATCGTCATCGCTGTCGTTGGCCGCGTCAACTTTGGCTACACGACCAGTATGACAACATTGCAGCACACGTCGAGACGTACGCGATGGCGCGGGCTCGTCGACGTCGCGCGCCAGCGACCGCCTACGCGCGTTCATTCAATATATCTGGCTTCATGGATTGCTGCGTACTTGGCCGGTAGACTCGCGTCGTCGTCATTTTCGTCCTCCGAGTCGGAAAACTGCAGCGGCTCCGTGGCCGTCAAATGCGCCTTCGGGCCCGCCCGCGGCTCGCTCGTGTGCTTGACCTCGGTACTATGTGTCCCGTCAGCGCTCAGCGTGGTGTTGCTCATCCACGTACGTGGATCTCGCAGGCGCAGCGACTTCCTTGGCGTCTGCTTCGTCTTCGTCGTCGGCTTCGGCCTCGTCGCCGCTGCTGTCCGAGTCGACCCCGGGAGGCGGCAGCGATCGCGCACTCGGTTTGACGTCGGCACTGTAGCTCTATACCTCCGCCGTACTGGCCCTGCTTCTGATCGACGACGGCAGTACCTTGCGCTCGCGGTCCACGAGCGGTTCTAAGCGCAGTTTGAGTCGATCGTTGCAAGAGGCAATGGTACCTGCGATTGACTTGCGCTCGGCCTTGGCGTCAATCTCCCCCTTGGCTTCTACATCAACGCGTGAGTTTGTGTCTCTCGAATCAAGTCGACCTCGTGGCGCCTTGGCCGCCGCTGCGAGCTCCTTGCTGGCGTCGTCGACGCGTTCTAGGACATGTTACAATGGACAAGACGCAGCGGGTGGTACCAAACGTGGCCATGAGCGACGACGGCACGATCGCAGTGGACTTGGGCAATACGGGCGGCGGCGGGAATCGAAGCGCTTGGAGGCTGTCGGCCCAGAGCTTGTGCTCGGCGGTCGTCTCGCCCTTGACCCGCAGCGTGCGCGACGGCGACGCAATCTCAATCAAGTTCTACCCATTGCTTTCGCTATCGCTGCATGGTCCATGGGACGTACGGGCTTGACGTTAATCTTGGTGACGTCTTCGAGGTAGATCCAGCCGCGCACCTCCTTGGCCTTTCTACGCCACGGCTAAACGAAAGGAGGTTGACGGCGAAACCATACTTGGCCTTGAAGTAGCTCAAAATGAGACGGTGCATCGAGACATGGTCTTCGGGATTGGCGACGTCGACCTTGAACCAGCGCTTGTTGCACGACGAACCAAAGAACTTTTCCTTGCTGTTGTACTTGACGAGCCAGCCTTCGAGCACGTTGATGTCGACGCCGTGGTCTACGCAATGGGTCGATGCTTATAGTTAGTAGATTTGGTTCGTACAGATTCGCTTCGTGGTCATGGCTCTCTCGTCGCACACGTAGATTCTTCAACTAAGTTCTTGTTGAGGAAACGAGGTGGCTTCGGTTTCGCCCGAAACCTATTCGTATCCGGACGTATTAACCGGATTTGAAAAATAGTGTAGATGGATCGACCCGATCCTGTGTTGGCGCGGGCCACGTACCATTCAAATCACGACAGGGCGCGCCAGAGATGGCTTGATGTGGTCTGTGCGCTATACCAAGGACATTATGTCCTTGGCTATACTGTTGTCTTGTTGGCTGTATAGAGAGCGTGGTAAATGGTGTGCGAGAGCGATGTCGTTTGGTATGACGGTGATGTAAAATAGTGTATGTTTAGTTGATGCAATGGACTGTACGACTAACTAAAATATTTTTTAAATTTGTTGAACCAGCGTTTGGTCATTTCGTTGCAACGGTGATGGAGGAAGAGCAGTTGATGGGCCGCGTCGCCGCCCTCTATGGCGGCGACGAGGGCCTCGCGGCCATCGGCAAGGACGTTGGCCTTGGCCACGACATCCTCACGCCCCGGAAGAAGGTGACGGTCATGATCATTGGCAACCACAGCGCGGGCAAGTCGTCGTTCATAAACTGGTACGTGGGCGAAGACATCCAGCGGACGGGCGTCGCGATCGAGACGCAAGGCTTCACGTTCATCACGAGCGGCTCGAAGCGAACGCTGGCGCCGATCAAGGGCGACTCGACGCTGCTCCTGTACCCGCACTTGATGCCGCTCTCCAAGGAGTACGGCAAGTCGCTCGTCGAGAACCTCACGACGCACGTGAGCACGTCGACGGCGCGCCACTTCAAGGTCGTCGACTTTTGCGATACGCCGGGTCTCGTCGACGGCGACATTGCGTACCCGTTTGACGTCAACGCGGCGATCGTGAGCATGGCCGCGTACGCCGACCTCATCTTTGTCTTCCTCGACCCGATGGGCCAAGGTAGATCCTCCTCGAAAAACGATAACGCATCCTTCTGCAAATAGCGCTCTGCAGTCGCACGATGAACGTGGTCAAGGCGCTCAATGCGAACGGCCAGTTTGCCGACAAGATGAAGTACTACCTGACCAAGGCCGACACGGTCACCGACTCGAAAGAGATGATGAAGCTCATGGTGCAAATCACGCAAAACATCAAGGCCAACATCCAGAACCAGCACGGCCTCGAGATCCCGTCGATTTGGATCCAGAAGCCGCACATGCCGACGCCGCCCGAGCATCTCGCGCAGCTCAACCAGATCAACACGGTCTGCGACGTCATTGAGCAGTCGATCCACCAGAAAGTGCAAGACAACCTGAGCCAGGTTGAGCGCGACTGCGACCGCGTCCGCGACACGATCCGCGCGTACACATTCTGGACCCACACCACTCTCCCATGTAAATCGTATCCGGATAGGCGCTTGCAGAACGACGAGCTGCAACGCGCGGCCAAGCGATCGCGCCAAGTCGTGGCCACGACCTTGACCGTCTCGGCGTGGGTCGTGCCCCTCGTGACCTTTTTCCTCCTCGTCGTACGTGCTTTGATTCTAGTCGATGTTTTTCATGGTGATTTTTCATTGATGGGGTTAGGGCGAGTACAAGACGTCGCTGCCGCGTGCAATCCTCGAGGCCGATGTCGTCATGGAGTTTGTCCAGAACGTGCACGGAGCGTTCCGCCCGCTTGTGCTCGACCCGTCGGCGCCCCTCGGGCTTTTGAGCACACTCAAGCTCGTTGGGTCGTCGGTGTTTTTGTTTGTGCTGCTCAATGCTGTCGCGCAGGTATGTGGTCTCGAGTGGGATCGCGACTCGATTCGTGTGGTATAGTTTGTCAAGGCCCGCGCCCGCAATTTTCAGACGCAGACCCGCGATACGGTCGCCCGTTGGACGTACAATGCAATTGTGTGGCAATGTACATGTTGTCATGTGGCATGCGTAGGAGCTACGACCGTGTGCTGGACGACATTCTGGCCAAGCGCCTCGAACTCTTCCGCGAATACGTCTCAGCGTACACGGCCGCGCAGTAATGGCGCAAGGCGATGCCGATTACCTAAGCGTCGCAAGGCGAAGATGGTAGTTCAAACCACATCCTTCTTGACGGGCTGCATCCAAACACGCCAAGTGGCTTTGCTTGCTTTGAAATGACCGGTGCAGGATGTGTCGGGAGCCGTCGATTCGCGCTGCCTCGCCACATACTACCCATGCACTCGCTCTGCACGATGGCAGCTCTCTAGGTGCATATGTCGTTTGGATCGAGGGCAAACGACTCTATTACGAAGTCCTCCCGCTCGTTTTCCAGCATGCATCGATGGACAGACGCGTACAAGATTGTCTGTTGAGAGAGATTACAAGAAAAAAAGGTGGTCCACGTCGTCCGGGACAGCAATGAGCTCGTACGTGTTCTTGCTGCGCGTCGTCTCCTCGGTGGAGCCATGCGTCGCTGGGAAGGCGTCACGCGTGGCGACCGCGTTGACCGCAGCGGTCGATGGATCGTCGACTGCGGTGGCAAGCGTGACGAGCTGAACGTACCAGTCCTGCGTCGAGTGCGGCGTCGAGCCATCAAACCGAGCCGTGCCATTCGACGTGCGACGGCAAAGGAGCGACGGGCGCCCGAGGTAGCGCATGCAATGGCCGGTGGTCTGACGAAGGAGTGACATGCTGCTGAAGGTTGATGTTGTTGATTGGCAAAAGCGAAAATGACTTTGTTGCGGGACGCTCGCGATCAATTTGCCCTTGAACCCGTTTCGCCTCCGCGTATCTTTTGGGTGATTGTCCTGGTTTGACCCATCATATCCGGACATAACGCAAATGCCTTGCTTTATCCGGACATTTGAGCTGGTTTCGCCCATTTTGTCCCATTTTGCCCGCCGGATGCGAGAGCCCACGGTAAATCCCAGAGGGTACACACCGACGGGAGTTGAAACGTGAGATTCTGCCGACCTCTTTGGTCCAGCGGCTTGGACACTGATTCCCCAATAATGCAAGGCTGGGTTCGATCCCACTCCTTGTCGATTCGACGCGGCCATCGCCACCTGTGCAGCGTTGGCAGGCGCATCGTGCAACGGGCTGCTGCTAGCCCAAAGCAACGTGCGCATCGCTTGTATTGAAACGAGATGCAAGGCGACGAGATGGCTTCAACCGATCCAGTAGAATTAAAACATGACGTTAGCAGTGGGAAGCCGATAAGCTACAGCGTCTTACCAGCCGCCGCCACAGCCGCAACCGCACCCGGGGCCATGGCCCCAGCCACCGCGACCTCCCCAGCCACCGCCCCAGCCACCACCCCAGCGGCCACCCCAGCGGCCACCCCAGCGGCCTCCACGACCATACCCACGTCCGTACCACTCGTGGTCCATCGCGTGGTAGGGCATGGCTTCGACAAAGTCTTCCTTGGTCGTCGTCGTTGATGCATCGGTACTCGTCGCAGGTGGCGCCGCCGCGGTCGCAAGCGTGCACATGGCTGCAAGGATCGTCGTCTTCATGATGGAGAGGTGGGCAATCGCAAAGTGCCATGCCAAGCGGACAACAGAGACGCGTAGTCGTCTTCTCTCACGTCGTTGGCTGCGCGGGTGCTTGATGGTCAAGAGACCGAAGTGACTGTTCGTAGTCCTGGTCGCATCAACAGCCACAGGCCTGTCTGCAGCTCAAGACACTGGCCTGTCGGCAGCTCCAGAAACCGCGCGTGAGGAGTTGATGGGACTTGTCTTTGGGGGACAAACGTCTCTCCAACGACGAGGCTGCTCGCGAGCACACAGAAGAATTCGTTGCAGACGTGGCTCATGGCGATCTGCGAGCAAGACGATTGCTGGAAATGGAGGGTCCATCAAACCCCTTCCTTGTTTTGAAGACAATCGCACTTATATATATATTAACCCACTGCTACCTTTTTATCACGGAAAAAATAGACAAAGTGTACATCGCCACCGTGGCTTTTGATGCGGGCGACGCTATGATCCGTCGTACCTGTCTTAGGCGCCATGCAGAGCGTTGCGCTCCGTATCGTCGTCATCGCTCTCGTCCGTGGTGCGGAAGAGCACGTACTCGTCGCGCGGGGCGGCTTGGTTTCGGAGGAAGACAAAGACGGCCGCGCCGCCAATCCCCAGCGACGCGCACATGTTGGCGACGCAGTAGTACATGCCGTCGCTAACGTCGAGGCCGTACGGAAAGACGCTGCTCGGCGCCAAGAGCGGGAACGTCACGAGGAGCATGCCAGCGTCAAAGCCGAGCTGCAGCGCGCGGAGTGCGAGGCACCAGAGCGGCAGTAGCAGCGCCGCGGCCGACGGAAACGGGTTGTACGCGATCGTCCGGTACCCGATATACAGCCCAGAGATGGACAGCGTGAGCGAGAGGAACCCGAGGCTCTGGAGCGAGCTCATCGCGTCGCAGACGGGCGAGTGATGCAAGTCGGCGTGGCGGCACGCCTCCTTCCACAGCGTGCAGATCGTCGTCGCGTTGGCGCCCATGTCTAATAGTGCATCATGTCGTCACGTGTACAAGGGTACGAGGGCACGTACGGGACGTGAGGCAGTACTCCCAGAACGAGAGCTCCCAGCGGACGCCGGTCGCGGTATTCAGGTGGCGTTCGCTACGCATGGCCGCGACCTCGGCAAAGGGCGTCGCCCGCCCGAGGTAGACGTCCTTCCGCAGCCATGTGCTCGACGCGCTGAGGTAGACAGTCACGAGCAGCAGTGACGAGACAGAGAGGACGAGCAGGAGCGCGCGCTCGGTCGCCCACGCAGTCGATTGCACCATGCTGCCACCGATCCACGATCAGCTGTCCGCAAGTGTGACACCACCGTATCCGGATACCCTTCTCTGGAATTGCCTCGTTCAGTACACGCCCATCAACGCCGACTTGGACCTAGATAGATAGATAGATAGATAGATAGATAGATAGATAGATAGATAGATAGATAGATAGATAGATAGATAGATAGATAGATAGATCGTTCCGCATCGCCACGCCAACACGCTAGATTGACCGCACAGTTTGGTGGTGCAGCGATAATGGATTAGGCCAACGCTTTTAGTTGTCGTACAAGTTGTCTCTAGTAACTAGGCAAGTGTAGACGGAACGCGGGGGCTGCAGAGGTAGAAAGATTGTCCACGTCGCTGCATCGTGACGCCAGCTTTTCTCGCCGTCGTGTCCGTGCTTAGCGAGTAGGAATGGCTTGCAGTCAGCCGACAAGACGATCGTAACCTTCTGGCAGGTCACCACCGCCTCGACGAGCGCACGCGTGGAGACAAGCGTCAAGGCGTTGCGCGCGAGGTTGATCTCGGTAGGCACATCCGCTTTCAACATGCAAAAGCGCTCGGCCAACGCATGGAGGCTCGGCGCACGGATGCCGCAGGCTTTCATGGCAATCTTGGGCACTTGTTCGGTAATGCAGTGCAGTACCGTGTCTGCCACGCAGTCCACGCTAGCTCCAATGATACTGCAGCGCTTCCAAGTGACCGCCTCGAGGTGGTCCGAGCCCAGGGCAAACAAGAGCACCGCTTCAAAGCTTTGCGTCGACAAGTCGACGCTGTCCAAGTGCACCGACCGAAGACACGAAGTTGTTGAAAGAGCACAGTTGGTCTCATCGAGCCTCGTGCGCTCAAGCCGGAGATGCTCGAGCGCCGTGAGCTGCGGTAGCTTGGACAGAAGGGCGCCGCCGAGATGGACGTATTCCACGTTCGAGATCGCAAGCGACTTCATGTGGGGCATGTACAGCAGCAAAATGAGGTGAGCTACATGATTGCCACCAAGCGAGTCGATGTCGAGCGCATCAAGCCACATGAGCGCACCGCCAGAAGCGACAAGGCTGCGTAGCAGTCCGTCCGACCGGCTCATTCAAAGTCCCGCAAGCGTGGACGACGATGATAGCGCTGCCGCCAATATCGCGGAAAAGTTGCGAAGGGTTACGTGACAGGCATGGCCAGAGGCGAGCCAGCGCTCGAGCACGGCGAGAGGTCGAGGTCCGCGACGCAGTGGGCAAGAGACGTCACGGCTTCGAGGAGGTCTGGCTCGGCCGGGATGCGCACGCGTCGGAGGCTCGTGCAACGCGCGAGCATGCGGCAAAGCTCCTCGCGGTGCGCCGGAACGACCATCGTCATCTTGGCCGCGTGCGCTACGACAAACTTGCAGTAGGGCAGGCGAAACGCGGGGTCGTCGCTCGCGGGCCACTGGGTGCTACAGCACACGCCGTCGATGCACACGCTGTTGAAGACGGGCATGGCCGCGCTGATGCAGTCGATCTCGGCGATCGTGGTGCTGTTGAGGTGCGGTTGCGGCCAGTGCTTGGCACCGCGCGGCAGCGTCAAGAGGCTGAGGAGGGCTGCGAGCACTGGCGTCCTCACGGACAGTGGCATCGCGCGCACGAGCGCTACTACGTCCTTGGGCGAGGCCGAGTACTGTACAACGGCGACGAGGATGTCGTCGACGTCCAGCACCGACGCCGATGCCAGCCGAGCACGTTGGGCCATCGTGGATGATGGCACGGTATCCGGATGGCAGCTGCCGACCGCCTGTGCTTCACAAGGCCACCGCCGAGTCCATAGACGCTGCGAGATTCGTGTCGTACAACGTATTGACGAGACAACTCATCTCACTGTGCACGCCACGCGGGCAGCATAGTATGGCAGAGCGAAGGTACTACGTGTGCGAATTGCTGGCAGCGTATCCGGAAGATATGGCTTGTCTTTGAAGAGCCACAACAGAAGCATGAAGGACGAGCGCAGCAGCTGTCGCAAGGAGTGCGACCTCCTCGTGCAGAACATTGCGCAGTCGCATGCGCGCCTCGCGCCCGGCATCCAAGCGGTGCTCGAGAATCAATGGGAGCTCACGTTTGCAGGTGCGGCAAGTAGGAGGGATGGCACCATGCACGACTGTAGACTGCCTGCGCCGGTACGCGGCCGAGAAGGAGGAAGGGATCCGCGACGTGTGCAGCTCACACTACATGGAGTTTGTCCAGTCGATTGAAGAGATCGTGCAGATCAAGTGCGACGCCAACCAGCTCCAGGTACTCGCATGGTCAGGTCAGCCCACTGGTCCCCAAAATGTCGGCGTAGGTGCACTTGGACCAGTATGCGCAGGACCTCGAGACCGCGACCGCCGACGTCCTGGAGGGCCACGCCATGCTACGCACGTGTCACGACGTGCGCCAGCACATTGACGTCTCGATCGAGCGCCTCACGCAGTGCCAGCGCATCGTCTGCCATCGCGTTCTTCTCCAAAAAAGCTCAGTTTGCACTAGGTGCACATGGCCGGTAAAGTCGACGCCTACTTGGGCCAGGCCAAGTTCTACCATGCGCTCAAGCTCCTCGACTCGATTCGTCGCGACGTCAACAGCTTCCACGTACGTTCGGCCATTATCCTCTTCCTCCTCCGCATCATGCTACTGCTACAGGGGCGCGTCTTTGCACGGCGCGTGCACGAGTGGACCGCCGCGACAATGCAGACGCTGCGCGACGAGACGACCAAGAAGACGTCGTCGTGGCTCGAAGAGATCCGGCACGCTGCGAGTCCGCTCGGGGCGCAGGCCATGCAGGCGTGCGAAGAGACGATTTTGCTCATGGCGCCGTCGTCGGCGCCGAGCACTGACGGCCTCAGCCTCCCGCTTCTCGACAACTTGGTCGACCAAGCCAACCGCATCCGCGCGCGCCAGGCCATCTACAGCGACTACGTGCAGAAGACGCTCGGGCTCCTCGCGCCGATGCTGCGCATTGTGCACGTCTACGACTGCCTCCACGAGACGCCCGTGCTCGCCGCGTTCTACCACACCAACCGCATGGTATCCTCCTCCTTCGTTTCTTGCTCGAGTGCCATGCTGATAAGCTGCTGTAGCCGCAGCTGCAGTTTTCAGCTTTTCTGGTCGGTGACATTGGCGCGATTTCGCCCGACAAGTTTGCAACCCAGGTGCACGATGGACAGTATTGTCTGTAAAGAGATCGACAATCATCGCTTAGCACGACGAGATCTTTAAACGGCTCGTGGGCACCTTCTGCTTGGAGAAGATGCTCGCCATCTACTCGAACGAGACGCTCCTCACCAAAGCCGAGGTACGCAGCGCCATGCGTGGTCGACAATCCCAATTGTGTCGGTGAGGTGCACGCGGCGTGTCTCTCGGTGCTGCAGAGCCTCTGCGGCCTCGTCGTGGCGCTCCTTATCAAGCTGCCGTCGCCCAAGGTCGTCCTCGACATCAAGCGCAACGCGATCTTGTGCGCCCGCGTCCTTGGCAACGACGTGCACCAGTTCAATACGTCGCTCGTTTTTGACGCCTTTCGCGGGACCGGTGATTTTTATCGTAAAAAGATGGCCGCCGACATGAAAACGTACCGAAGGACAGTTGTGTACACGACAAAAGTACGGTATTTGGCTAGAAAATTACGCGACATTCTCAAGCAAGACACCTTTCAGCAAGTCACGACGACGCGCGACCGCCTCCGTCCCGTGCGACGATCCAATCGATGGCGATCATCTTTCGAACAACGCATAGGACCTCGCCCTCTGCGGCCTCGAAAAGCGGCACGACGAGCTCCTCAAGACGGCAGATGCCAAGGGCAACGTGCTGCTGCCCTTCACGTCGGTCGTGCACCGCGGCTGCCGCGAAGTCCACGACATGGTGACGACCATGTTTGAATTCGAGTGGTATGTTTCTTTTTCATCATCGTGGAAAGATTGTCATACAAACGGTGTAGGCACTTGAACATTCCGGAATGGGGCTACTACGTTCGGGACGAGACATGGGACGCCATGAGTGAGCTCAGCGGCATCCTCAACGAGCACATTGAGCGCAACGACGAGCTTCAAATCTCACAGGTCGCTCGCTTTTCCTCGCCGAGAGTTTTGGGATGCAATATTGTATTAGGCGGTCATTACGGGCGCGAACGCTTCGTATCTCTCGAGCGCCTGCGACGTCTTGAGCGCCCTTGTGACCCAGCACGTTGAGGCGTGGGAGCAGCGCACTCGGTTCCCTCCCCATGTACATACATCTGCATATATTCACCAGGGGTATCTATCTCGTCCGAGGGTCTTCATGACAATTGTAGACAGCCAAGGCGCCACCGAAAGCGACCGCAGCGCTCGCCAAGAAAAAGTACATTGTACGACGTTGGTCGTGGGTTCGAGCCCGGTCCTGTAGGTTTGAAAATACGTCAACGAAGTCCCAAGACATGGTGTGCGAGCTCATGGTCAAGAAGATCGACGATCTCATCGGGTCCTTCTACTTTGTTAATTGGACAGCGACCGATGTCAACGCGCAAGCCGACCCGAGCATGTCGGACCTCATCCACTACCTCCAAGTTTTGCCTCCTCCATTCCCATTGCGATGATAGGTCATAGCGTAATCTGTAGGCATCGTTCTCGCAGCTGGGGACGCTGCCCGTGCCGATCCGAGAGGCGGTGCATTTCGCGTCGTGCATCCACATCAACAAGGCGCTCGAGCAGGTGCTCGTGGGTCCGACCATCAAGCGCATCACGATGCCGGCACTGATCCACTTTAAACGCAGCTTGGGTACGACACGTCTATCGTCGACTGCTATTCGATGGTTGCGTAGACGCCCTCATGCAATTTGCCAACACGTGCAATGTCACGCAGCTGCGCGAGTGTTTTCTACCGCTGACGCAGCTCGTCGACTTGATTGTCTCCAACGACATTGAGCGCGTCGATGCGAGCATGTTCAAGTACAATATTCGTCTTGTTTACGACAACAACCAAAATACGATGGATGGTGTGTGTCTAGTCGCAACGGCGGCAAGTACACGCATGTGATGCCGGACCAAGTGATTGCAGTGCTCGACAAGTACAAGGACTTGGCACCGGCCGCCAGCAAGTTCTTCAAGTCCAAGAAGGCGCCGACAACCGAAACGGGGCTCAAGAAGACCGTCGTGGACGCGGTCGTCAAGCAGCTTCGCACGATGAGTCCGCATGCGAAGTGAGTACGAGTAGTCTTTATCATTGCATCTTTATAGTCGTTGGTACCATTACATCCCATTACATCTCGACATGGCTTGTCAGGCACGCAGCTACAGCGCCGATCAACGGGATGCAGCATCGTGTTTGATGTACCTGGTGGAGTGTCATCGTGACAGATCGGTGGTGCACAATCGCAGCTTGAAACGCTTCGAGGTCCAACGTCATGGTGACGAATCGCGCCACGTCGCCCAAGGACGCTGGCATCGTCGCGGTCACGCTGCGCTTGAGGAGCTTGTCGGCAAAGTCCCGCTCGCCTTTGGACCGTGCGTGGAGGCGGAGCACCGACCAGAGGATCTCTTGCGCCCGACCCAGCGCCGCCGCATCGATCGGGTCGACGGCCCCGCCCAAGACGTCGTCGACACTGCGCCGTAAAACGCTGACCAGCGGTGGGCGCACGTCAAAGAGCGGCTCAGCGGCACGATGGGTAGGCGTCGGCGGCGGCGACACCACGAGCGCCGATGCGATGCCAGCGTTCGCCTTCCGCATCGAGAGATGCGCGTCCCGCCATGCAAGACACACTTGCAAACTGAGCGCGACGAGGTTCGAGACCTTGCTCGCCTCGATGGGCGACGTGGCGTCGTCGAGACGGTACAGGTTCGGAGCCCACACGATGCAGAGACTGTGGGCAGTCATGAGGTTCGTCCTGGTGTGCAGCACAATCTCGAGCCAGTGGTCGAGAAGCCACTCGAAAACACACCGCGTTTGAGTGTCCAGCGCCCGCAGAAGACCCAGCGCGCACTCGTTAACGGTCGCGCGGCCCGCCGTGATCGACGCGTCGCGCTTGTCGCTGTCGTCCAGTGTCGCGCAGGCCGCGAGCCGATCGAGGTGCGGTCGAAGTGTCGACGCGAGCAGCGGCGTGGGTAGCTCCCGGAACCAGAGCTTGAGAAGACTTGCGAGTACGAACGGGTCGCCGTGTTGCTTGACGTCAAAGCGACCGGCATTGAGGGCGGTCTTGGCGGCGTGGATCTCGCCGTGGTCGGGCGACGACCGGTAAATGTACTTGCTACTGACGCCGTTCCGCGCGACCAGCTCGCGACGCAGCATGTGCAGGAGGCACGGCACGAGGTCGTCCGGGTGCTTGCTACTGCACCGCATGGCGTGCAAGGGTAGCCCAAACTGGTCATGGAGCGCCACCAAGTGCGGTGGCACGCCTTCGTACTGCGCTCGGAGCGAGTTGTACTTGACGCACACGTCATGGGCAACTTGGAACGGGGCGCCGATAAAGTTTTCGGCCGGGGTTTCGGATGTTGACGTGATGGTTGCAACTGCGTGGGGACTTGCCGCGTCATCGGGCGTTGCATCCGTGCTCTCACTCGGCAGGATGGTCTCTTCCGTGCACGTGACGTAGGCCTGGTCGCCCTGCGACGGCACGGGTGCGGCGGTATTGCATCGCACCGAGCCCGTCGTCGTCGTCTGTGGCGCAACGGGCGTTGTCGTCGTTATCGTCGTCGCCGCGGCGAAGAGACCGCCGGGCAGCACGCGGACAACGTCTTGCCACTGGGTGATAAACGGATGCGCGAGGCAGTCGACGGCCGACGGCCGGTCCGCCGGTGCTTTCGTGAGGCAGTACTGTAAAAAGTCGGAAAAGACGGGTGACCACTCGTGGGGCTGGCGAAGCCGGGGCGCGGGGTTGCGCGGAATCTGGATCAAGACGCGCATCGGATGCTCTTCAAAGAGCGGCGGCTTCTGGTCGGCGAGTTCGATGGCGGTGATGCCGAGGCTCCAAATGTCCGCCTTGTAGTCGTAGTCGCAGTCTTGGATCATTTCAGGACTCATCCAATACGGGGTACCGACAAAGGTGCCGCTATCCACACGATGAAGCGAGCGTCTCGTCGTCTTAATTCGTACCGGCGCGAGAGCGTGTCACGAAGCTGCGCCGAGACGCCAAAGTCGGCGACCTTGACGTCGCCGTCCGCGGTCAGCAAGATGTTGCCGCCTACAAAGACGTCCATGGAGACATGGCCGCATCGGCGAACGGACCTTTGACGTCGCGATGGATCTTCTTCTTGGCGTGCAGATGGGCGAGGCCATGGAGCGCGCCGCGTACGATGACCGAGATCTCTTGCTCGACGAGGCGGCGCTGGCGCGAGATGTCGCCGACGGACCCGCCGCCGCAATACTCCATCGCAATCCAGAGCGCGCCGTCCTTGTAGTACGCGTCGTAGAAAGCGACGACATTCGGGTGGTCGCATTCGCGCAGAAACTCGATCTCGCGCCGGACGTTCTCGACGTCCTCGCCGTGCTGGCCCGGCTTGAGCGCAATCGGGATGACCTTGAGCGCGACTTCGCGCTGCGTGCTTCGGCAGGTCGCGCGGAAGACGCGGCCAAAGGCGCCAGCGCCTTCGCGCGAGTGAATGTCAAAACACGCTTCCGGGTCGCCCGGGCTCAAGCCCATCGTCGCGAGCACCTGTTCGATCCCCATCGTTGCCTCTTCGGAAGATCGCAAATCCGTTGGCTTCGAACTTCGTACAAACCGAAGATAGACAGTGTTGAAAACAGAATATCATTTGAAACAGTGTTTGATTGACAATCGGTACCGGTACCGTAGTGGCCAAGGGATAAAACTCGGTCTTTGCCCACGGAGCCGCCCAGCCCCGGAACCTAGAGCGCATTGCGTGGCCTACTGTTGACGGACGCCCGTGAAGGAACGGCGGTAAGATTGGCCTTTCTGTCGCCGAACGCACCACCGTCTCGATGACGCCGGTGCGTGGCTGCTAGTACGTCAAGCCCATTGTGGTGCCTTTACGTGGGCCAACCAGTCTCAACACGTCGGTCGACCGATGGCATCTTGCCCGCTGATCCTGACGAGGCGGCGTCTCACCATCCCACGCTCCGAGCGAACGCCAGCTGGCTACTCGCCGTCGCTCGAACCGGAGGCTAACAGGCACTGCTTGGTATGACACTTGCAGCGTCGACGCATTGGTGTCGTTGTCGCCACGTTCTTACGGTTGAAGTTGTGGTCGCCTCGTGGGCCGCTTGCATCGAGGAGTTCACTTTTCAACGGCGCCTCTCGGGATCCCATCATGCGCGGTGCTTCGCTTCTGCTGCTTCTGCTGCTGCTGCTGTCAGCGACGGCCATGCCCGCGCTCGATATCTCCGATGCCGAGCGACGGGAGCTCTTGCGGGACTTGTCGCTCTGGCAGCGCGAGTTTGGCAACGACGATCGTGTCCGCGAGTCGATGGTCGGCGCCGTGTCCCAGGACCACCTCCTCGCGCGCTTGAAGGCGTCCAAGGAGAAGGTGCCCGAGCTGCGCGTGTCCAACCCGTACGCGACCTTTAGCCACTTGACCAAGTTTGCGCTGCTCACCAACGCCGAGTTTACTCGGTACGTCTCGGGCCCGCTGTTAGCGGCGTCGCCGACGCCGGAGGCAAGCGCTGGCATTGCGAACGCCACCGACGCCATCGACTGGACGGCAGGCAACACGAAGACGTGCGTGCTCCCACCCAAGAACCAAGGCGCGTGCGGCAGCTGCTGGGCGTTTGCGGCGACCGGCGTCGTGGCGTCGGCGCACTGCATTGCAACCGGTGTTTTGCCCGACATCTCGGACCAGCACGTCACGAGCTGCTCGACGAACGACGGCTCGGACGGCTGCAACGGCGGGACCGTCGAGGGCGCGATCGACTGGATCGTGTCGCAGCAGCAACATCTGTGCTCGACGTCGGCGCTTCCATACACGTCGGGCCTCTCGGGCGACACTGGTACCTGCACCGCCACATGCAACTCGTCCGTGTCGTTGGCGGTCGGTGCGACGATCAACATTGCGGGCGAGTCGGCGCTCGAGGCGCAGCTGCGCGTGCAGCCCGTGAGTGTGACCGTCGCGGGCGAGAACGACGTGTGGCGCCTGTACCTCAGCGGCGTCATCTCGGCGTGCCCGGATGTGCGCTCGGACCACGCGGTTCTCGCGGTCGGCTATGGTCTCGACGACGACAGCGGGCTGCCCTACTTCAAGGTCCGCAACTCGTGGGGCGCCAACTGGGGCGAGGGCGGCGACATGCGACTCGAGCGCAGCGTCGGTGGCGCCGGCACGTGCAACGTTGCGGCGAGCGTATCGTTTCCGAAAATCGTGCGACCAACGAAGCCACCGACGCAGACCAAGACCGCACGCCCGACCACGAAAAGCCCGTTGCCAACGCGCCGCCCGCGCCCGCCGACACCGACGCCCAAGCCATCGACGAGCCACCCGCTGACGGTAACGCTGTCGCCGATCGTGCCCGAGTCGACGGACGGCAGTGACGTGGAGCTCGACGATGACATCGTCGGCGCGTTCTGGGGCTGAGCCGTCAACGCCGAGGCCATGTGTCACTGCCTGCGTTCGCGCTAACTTGATTGATAATGCGTCATATGTCGTTTGGCTCTAGCTGCTAGCTAAGGTAGACGTCGAGCGAACTCCTGGCACCACTGCAACGCCATGTAGCGCGTCCTCGTGCAGCCCATGATGTAGGCCGTGTCGGCCATGGCCTCGTGCATGAGCTGCGCATGGAATGGGCTTGAAACAGCTCTCGACGCACGGCTTCATGGAGCTCGGACGCGGCGCTGCCTTGCTACCCGCCGCAACGTCCGTGCCGGAGACGGTGGCGAGCGTCGGTCGGCGCTTTTGGTGAAATTTGATTGGCTAAAATGAGAGCAGCGGTTTTTTGAATTTTTGAACCGGAGTTTTCAACCTTGGACAAAGCACGTGAGCATGGCGACGTCCTCGAAGCGGCCGCGGGAGGCCATGGAGCCGCTCGTCATCGGAGACGCAGCTGGCGACGCCGGTAGCGCCGCTCCACCTGCCAAGAGCCCCAACCTCGGCAGCAGCGACGCGCGTCGTCGCCCGAGCGGCCTCAAGCCGCCACGCATGGCCAAGTCAGGCCTCCCGGTGCCATCCAAGGTTGCCAAGGCGCTCTCCAACCAGGACGAGAACGATCGCGCTGCCAACGCAGGTACCGTGTACTGAGACGTCAAGTCTTTGAAACGACGACCAGTTCTTATTGCATGTCGTAGCGGGCGAGGGCTCGATCAAGAAGAAGGCAGGGTCGTTGCAGCGACCACGGTCCTCCCTCAAGCCGCCCAGCGCAATGCCTGCGCCGTCGACACGCAGCGCTTCCAGAGGAGCGCTCGATGCGCCACCTGACGCGGTACCTGAAACGTCGACGAGTGCGTCTCTGCCGTCGGTGGCCGCGCGCTTCAACGAGGTCATGCAAGACCTCGGCCGTATCGACGATGTCGCCAAGCCTCGTCGCACCAAGCTAAAGCCGTTCGACTACAAGGGTCGCTGCGAAGAGCAGCGATCGACAGTAACAGAACTCCGTGGGCTGCTTCGGACCCTCGAAGAGCAGGTTCCATACACTCTCTCGTCGCCTCCAATCCCATCACATCGCGTTCTTCTCTGTAGGCCAAGAAATTTGAGCTCGAAGCTGTCCAGCTCGACCAAGCAATTGTGCTGCAGACAAGCTTGGCCAAGCAGGATTTGCTGCGGATCCGAGAGAACGAAGCGTCGCGCAGCGACATCGTCGCAAGTCTGCAAGCACAGATCGACGAACTCAAGCATGCGCTCGACGCCGCCATCAAGGAAAAGGACGCGTTCCAAAAGCAAGCCCACGATGTCAACGCCAAGCTCCAGGACGAGCTCGCGAGTAAAGTGACGCTGTCGACGCAGCGGTCGCAAGTCACCGCCCAGCTCGAGCAGCTCCGTGCCGAGCACGACCTCCGCGTCGCCGCCCTCCAGAACGACAAGGTCCAATTGGAGGCCCAGCGCGACGCGGCCGTGAACGAGCTCGCGCTCGTACGTGCGCAGCTGACGCGCAAGGAAGAGGATGCGTCGGGGACGCTCAAGAGCATGCGTGACATGCAGGCCTTTGCGATGAGCACGAACGAGCGCCTCGCCAACGAGAACAAAGCGCTCTCTGAGAAGCTCGCGTCGATCGAGTCCAAGAGCAAAGCGATCGAAGAGTCGTCGGCCGAGACGTCGGCCACGATCCAGCGCCTCACGAGCGAGCTCGAGGTAGTACACATTGTACCCTTCCAAGACAAACGACGATCGGATGCCGTCTATTCTAGGCGAGCGAAGCGGCCAAGCACGAAGCCGTCGCGCTCGCGAGAGAGTCGGCCGAGGCCTGCGCGATTGCGAAAGCCGAGCTCACTGAGCAAGAACGCATCGCGTTCGCAGAGAAGGGCGTCCGGCAGGTGCTCGAAGCGCAGCAGCGCGAGTCGCAGAAGGAGCTCATGGCCGTGTACGCCGAGTCCAAGGCCATTCGGTCCGAGATGGAACGCTTGCTCGCACAACACGGAAGCGACAAGGCCAAATTTGAAGCCGATCGACTGCAACTTGCATCCGAAAAGGCCAAGGCAGCGCATGCGCTCGCGATCGAGATGGAGGCGCTGCGCGAGGCCAACGTGAGCCTCGAGAGCGAGCTCCACACATGGAAGACCAAGTGGCATGAAACGCAGGAACACCAAAACATGGTCGAGATGGCCGCGCTCATTACGGCCCAGCGCGAAGCCGATGTGCTCAAGCTCCGGCTCAAAGAAGCGACGACGACCGGGCTTCAAACCATGGAGGCCAAGGACGCAGCGATCGCCGAGCTCACGGCCAAGGTCAAAGAGGGCGAGATGCTGCGGCGCAAGCTGCACAACACGATCCAAGAGCTTCGAGGCAACGTCCGAGTCTTTGCCCGTACGCGGCCGTTCTTGCCGTCGGACGGCCCCGCGACCGAGTCGGCGATTCAATGCGACGTGGACGGCGTGACGATGAAGATCAAGCGCGAGAAGGAGTCGCATAGTTTTACCTTTGACCGCGTCTTCCCCGCTGTGACGGGCCAGGAGGCGGTCTTTGACGAAGTCTCAGAATTCGTGCAGTCGGCCATTGACGGGTACCAAGTGTGCCTCTTCTCGTATGGCCAAACCGGGTCGGGCAAGACCCATACGGTACTGCATCAACGAACGCTTGACGATGGGTGTGGGTTGAGCACGAATGACGTGTACTAGATGCAAGGCAGTGGCAACGGCCAAATGCGTGGCATCATCCCGCGCTCGATCGAGAAAATCTTGGACGAATGCTCCAAGAACCAAGAAGCGGGCTGGCGCTATACGCTCCATGCGTCGTTCCTCGAGATTTACAACGAAGCTGTCCGAGACCTCCTCGCCAAGAAGGAAGACGCGCAAAAGTCGCTCACGATCAAGATGCTCGAAAAGCACGGCGGTGTGACCGTGCCCGACCTCACCCTCGTCGAGATCCACGCCGTGCGGGACGTCGAAGGCCTCATGGAGCGGGCGTCGCGCCTTCGGAGTGTCGCGGCTACCGACATGAACGAGCAGTCGTCGCGCTCGCACAGCGTCTTTTCGCTCTACCTCAAGGGTGCTTCGTCCATTCTCCTTAGAAGGAAGAGACGTATCGTCTGCGAGTAGGCACGAACGACGAGCAAGGTGTCGTGCTCGAAGGTCGTTTGAACCTCGTCGATTTGGCGGGCAGCGAGCGCATCTCGCGGTCGGGCGCGACCGGCGAGAGACTCAAGGAGGCGCAAGCCATCAACAAGAGCCTCAGTGCGCTCACCGACGTCTTCAATGCGATTGCACTCAAAAACAGCCACGTACGCCGACCAAACGCAATGTTTTTAGGTGGAATTGTGTGCGACTAGGTGCCATTTCGCAACTCCAAGCTGACGTATTTATTACAGAGCTGCTTGTCGGGCGACGGCAAGACGCTGATGATGGTACGACTGCCATAGAGAGGAAACGATATATCTATCTGTGTAGGTGAACCTCTCGCCGACGATCGAGTCAACGGGCGAGAGCCTCTGCTCGCTGCGGTTCGCCCACAACGTAAATATGTGCGAGCTCGGCAAAGCCAAGCGCCAATTCAAAAAGAAATCGGACGCCGACGCCTAACACCAATACCATCTTGAACGACGTCTTCCTCGTGCAGCTTGCCACCTTGGAGACAGCGCGATGCACACTGGCCTCGGCGCACGTGTCGTCGCTGGTCCTGGAGCTTTGCGGACCGTCCATGTCGCCTTGGCTGTCCGAGAGCGTGCCACGTGGCAGAAACCGACAAGGGCACGTCGTAGATCGCTCGTTGCTCGAGTGATGAAGGCGACTGTGGCTACATGGCCACTGCGCTGGCGTGCGAGATGGTATTCTGCTACGAGGAGTACTGTAGCGAGTCTTGCTTGCGGTGCTGGCGCACTTGGCGGCAAACTTTGGCCCGCATGTGTCACAAGGATACGCCAAAACTTCTTCCTCCAACGAGCATTACACGCATGCACGTGGTATGTCTATTCGCACGCCACTCAACACGCTTGTTGTCCCACGTTCCGCGGGCATACCTTGGGCTGCTGCAATATGCGAGATGGACCGCCTGGGCTTTGTCGTGTGCGTGCTTTCGTGCTGCCCTGTGCCTGGCTGCTGCGTACGAGGTCGAGTCGCGCTGCCGTGTGGTCGGTTAGTCGCCTTCTGTCGAAAATGGCGTGTTTTTAGTCGACGCCAGCTGGCCGCTAAGTGGTTCAGTTTGCCTTTTGCACGGTCATGGCACAGCAGCGGTCGACCAAGCTCCGCGGCGAGAAGCGCGCAACGCGCATCGACAAGGATGTCAAGAAGGTCTCGAACCTCAACCGCGCGCTCTCGTTCGCGTACGACATTCTCTGGAGCTACCGGTACTTCAAGTACATGGCCGCCTTTCTACTGCTGCTCGAAGCGGGCCTCGGCTACGCCATCATCCAAAAGATTCCGTGTACGTCGACGTCCATGAGGCTGGCGCTCGGATGGCTCATGCTGCGATGATAGACACGGAGATTGACTGGAAGGCCTACATGGAGCAGGTCGAGCTTTTCAAGGGCGGTGAGCGCGACTACGTCAAGATCCGCGGTGGCACGGGGCCGCTCGTGTACCCTGCTGGCCACGTGTACATCTTTTCGCTGCTGCACAGCGTGACCAACAACGGCGCCAACATCCGCCTCGGTACCATGGATTGCCTCGTCTTCGTCTTCGCTCATGCAATGTTGTCGCTGGCGTAGCGCAATATATCTTTCTCGGCTTCTACCTCGTCATGGTGGCCACGATTTTTGCGATCTTCTACCGCGCACGCATGTGTCCGCCGTGGACGGCCATGCTTGTCTGTACGTCCAAGCGCCTCCACTCGATCTACATGCTGCGCCTCTTCAACGACGGCGTGGCCATGATGTTCCTCTTTCTCGCTGTGTACCTCTTCTGCCGGCAGCAGTGGCGGTACGGCTGCGTGCTCTACAGCATCGCTGTCTCGATCAAGATGAACGTCCTCCTCTTCGCGCCCGGCGTCTTTTTCCTGCTGCTGCAGTCGTCCGGTGTCCTCCGCACCCTCGGGTACCTCTCGATCTGCGCCGCCGTCCAAGTCGCGCTCGCACTGCCGTTCCTCAACCACAACTGGTGGAGCTACGTCACAAAGGCGTTCGAGTTTAGCCGCGTCTTTACGTACGAGTGGACGGTCAACTGGCGCTTCGTCTCGGAAGAAGTCTTTGTCTCCAAGGGGCTCTCGATCGCGCTGCTCGCGTGCCACGTCCTTTTCTTGGCCCTCTTCTTGCAAAAGTACTTTTTTGCCGCGCCCAACAGCTGGCGCTACCTCTTTTACCAGCCCTTCTCGCTCACGTACGTCGCCTCTTGTCGCATCTACGCGTACGTAGCTGTGTGTGTAGCGACCGCCAGCCGATCCGCGCCGAGCGCATCGTCACGTCGCTCTTCGCCATCAACTTTGTCGGCATTTGCTTTGCGCGGACGCTCCACTACCAGTTTTACGCGTGGTACTACCCGACGCTGCCGTACTTGGTCTGGAAGACGAACGTGCCATTGATCTTCAAGGCCAAGATCCTCATCATGGTCGAGTTTGCCTTCAACACGTTCCCGTCGACCGACGCGTCGTCGCTCGTCTTGCAGCTCAGCCAGCTCATGCTGCTCGCGTCGCTCTACACGGCCAGCGACGAAGGTACGCACCACTCTGCGTCTTGCGGACTCATAAAGTGTAACTAGGCAAGTACCAGTCGTATTTGGACGCCGACGCCCGTGAAAACCTCGTGCGCTTCATGAACGAAGAAGCGTTTGACGGCTCGCGCCAGTTTGCCATGTACTACGGCAGCGTCACGGAAGACCTCGCGGAAGGCGCGTCCGTCGTCTCGGTATGGGCCTATCCCGAAGTGCATCATGTCTCATCGTCCATGCTTGCTAGATTGACGAGCAAGAGGTCGTCTTGCGACTCCCGAAAATGAACTTTACGCTCGCGATCGGCTTTGGGAGCTCGGCGCCCGTCACGAGCGAGGGGTACGCCAAGCGTGTGCTCTCGGGCATGCTCGCCGAAGCCGACGACGGTCTCCAACGCGGCATCAACATGGCCGACGTCGTCTCGCGCGAGATGGCCGAGATGAACAGCGGCGAGCTCCGCGCCCGCCTTCGCCCCCGCAAGCCCTAGATTGTCCTTCGTTTCTGGCCACAACGTATCAACAACATGCATGTGCTTGAGAAAACCATCGTTGGGTCGTGCCGTTAGTCGATCTGGCTACACCGGCTTGTCGCAGTAGCTCGGCAGGATCTGGCGCGTGACCAAGTCGTTGTGCAGGAGGTGGCTCATAATGCCGAGGTTGGGGCAGAAGACGTAGCCCGCGTGGTGGAGGGCCACGACCGAGTGGTCAAGGAACGAGAGCACCGGGGATCCGGACGACATCTTCTGCGTGTCGAGGTCGTAGCTCACCTGCGTATCCGAGCCCACGCGGAGGAGCGCCGTGCCGTTGGCGTCCTTGAACGCGATGCGCTTGCCCCATGCCATGGGGTGGGTTATAAGGTACGCGGGCTCGCCGAGGCGGGGCCCCGACGGTCGGAGTTTGAGGTACCCATACGTCGTCGCAACCGAAGTGTCGAGCTTGAGGAGCGTGTAGTCGAGCCGTGCGTTGGTCGTGACAAACGTGATGGCGCCCGTGTACTCTTGGCCGCGGCACGACAGCGCGCGGTTGCAGACTTCGGTGCCAGCGGGCCCGGGACAGCTTTTGGCCTGCGCTAGAAACTCGATTTTGGTGTTGCTCGCGTCCAAAGCGTCAAAGATGCAGTGGTGGTTGGTCATGAGGTGGCCCTCGCACCCGAGGAGCCAGCCCGTGCAGCCAAAGAGTTGGTTCTTGCGCCGAATAACGAGCCGAGCGATCGCTTTGGACCGTTGAAACACGACCGGGTTGCCCTCTAGGCAGATGGCGTCGACCGAGCGATCTTTCTTGCCGCAAATGCTCTCGCTGCGCGTTCGTTCGATCTCGGTGTTGTACGAGCCAAGACGGAAGCCGTAGCAATGGGTGCTCTCGTTGCTGCTTGTGAATGGGTGACGATGGGTCGTGAAGAGCTCGACGCGGAGGCTCGTCGTGGCAATCGCCGGCGCGTCAAACGACCCCGAGTAGTTGCGACCCGAGAGCACCAATGGACCCTCAGTGCTGTTGACTTCGAGCGACGAGAGGCGCACATAGTCGTTGGGTGGCAATGCAAACCCATCAAAACGCAGTCTCACGAACGTGGCGGTGGCGTTTGAGACGGTCCATACAAACGCGGGCGACCTCTTATCGTCCATCGGGCCGGGGTACGCGGTGGTAGAGTCGTAGACACAGCCGACGCCGACGTCGATTGGTACGTCGGTTGCGGCCACCGCGAGCGCAAAGGGAGCGAGCCAATACAGCGACGCGCGCATGGCGAATTGCGTTGTGGCAACTTGACGCTTCGAGCGCGTCGGTTGGCCGTTGGCGGAGAAGCCGCGAAGACGCTTTGCCTGCGAGAAAAGGCGTTGGCCGAGACATATCCGAGTTCTTAGTGTAGTGAGTCGCCCTCCTGAGACGGCCTGAGACGATGGCAACGTTCTTGGCGTTGGAAATCTCCGCGCTCGTTGGCTTGGTCGTTTGAGCTTTACCCTCTTCAAGTCTCAGCTTGAAAGATCGACGATACATTGATACTTTTAGTGCTCGTGGTCGTAGCCGCGCGCAATGCCAATAGCGCCTTGGACTGCAGCGTGCGGGGCGGTCTCTCCGAGGCGCGGCTCGAGGCCGCGGTACTCGCGCGTCTTGAGAAACTCGGCGGCTTCGCTCTTGTACACGGAGAGCTGATGGTTGTCCTTCGCAACCAGCGCCGTCGTCGCGGCGTCATTCTCTGCATCCTCATTCTCGTCGTCGTCGTCGGAGGCAGCGCCATGGCGGCTCGACATGTACGTGCCCGTGACGAGCGAAAAGTACGGCTCGTCCGAGACTGGTGCATCTTCGATCGTCGCGGCGGTGGCTTCGAGAGCCGGCAGCACTTCTTCAAAGTCCGACTTGTACTGCGCCGTCCACTCGGCGTCGTCGTCGAGTGCCAATTGCAGCTCGTACCTACGCTGTCTGCATGAGAAATGGCTAGAGATAGCGCTGGGTACGGCGTAATGATGGGTTTAAAATAGTCGGTGCTGTCGAAAAGCGAGTTTTCAGGGCACGCGACAAGCACAAAGAGGTCGATTTCCGCAAAGTTGGAGAGCTTGGGCACGTTGATCTTGCCAACGACAAAGGTATACGACTTGCGACCGCTCCTACAAGATTGGATGCATCCACTGGATACACGCGTTGGATAGATGTGTGTGTACTTGGCGATCAAGTCTTGCATCGTGTGCACCACGTCGAGGTACTTGGCAACACCGAGCGTTCCCATGAGGATGCCGATGATCTGCGCCTCCTTGGCGCGCTGCACGAGAAAGTACCTACTCGCCATGCGATCCCAGAATGAAGTGGACATGCAAGCACGTGCTAGCTACCGGCGGTTGAGCGTACGGTTGATCCCCGCGCCTTCGAGCCGCGCCAGCTGTGTCGTCGGGTTGTACGAGTAGCACGGCGTGTCGCCGCAGCGCAGCAAGATGTTGGTCAAGTGCGACGTCTCCTTGCCAATGTACAGGAGCGTCGTCGACGCGCTGAAGAGCTCGGTCGCTGCCATCGGCACCGTCATCCCGCCGATCGTCGTCGTCGTCTTGGCCGCCTCGTCGTCGGTCGTGGTGGCGCCTGCATCATGTAAGAATACTGTGCCATGGAAGCGATTGAAGGTGTACCTGGAATGTACATGGTACGCATGACGCTGCAGACAAACGATGTGGCGGCATGGCGCGCGGCCAGCGCCGACGTCATCGACGCGGCAATGTACGCGTAGCACGGCTCGTACATGAGGACGACCTGCGTCGGCTCCTCGAGGCTGCATAGCGTCGCGTTTAGGCCATCGCAGACCTGGTCAACCTCGCATGGCGCGTTGCCAAAGACGTAGATGACGGGCAGCGTCGACGTCGGGCTCAAGCACGCGCGACCATAGTGCACGACAACGTCCGCCTTGAGGTGCTGCGCGGCCACTTCGTCGACGCAGCAGCTGCCGTACGACGTGTCGCCAAGTACGAAGATGCGGCTCAGCTCATGGCCGCGCAGCGCGTCCTTGAGCAGCGACTGCACCTTTTGCGCGTCGGGCAGGAGCGCATCCGGGAACTGGAGCGCGATAGCGCGGTAGCCGTTGGCAGCGATGGTGGCGGCCGTGGCGCGGACGTCGTAGAAAGCAGCGACGTCGGCGGAGCTCAGGACGACGTCGTCGTAGTGGATCTCGATCGTCTGCTGCATGGCCCGCGACCCATCGTCGACGGCGAACCCGGTCGACGCCATCGAAAAGTATGATGCACGCACGTGATTGGATAAATATCCGCGCCGTGACCACCAATGAATGTCCTTTCCGTGTGGCTAAACCCACGCAACATTAGCCGTTGCCTTCAACAGCGTCGGGACACGTTGACGACTACGTCCATGGCGCTGCGTTCGTTGACGCCGCTTTCACTCGCTTTAGATACTGTAGGTCTGTAGGAGAGACGTTTACATGCATGGAAGATGCACGCGTTAGGCAATACCAACGCCAAAGTTGCAGTTCGATAATAAGTACATCCGCTTGTGGCGTTCGATTAGCCTGTCAATGGATTGAGTGGACCAATCAGCGCGCCAACCGATCAACAGATCTTGCGTTGCGAGCCGCTAGCAAGCAGCCATAATGGTCGGCCGACTTTGAGAAATGGCGTGCGTCGCGTCCCTCTGCGCAAGCGTCGCCTTCGCCTGTCGCTGGGTCATGGGCGGCCTTTGCCCTGCGCCCGTCGACCTCGGCGCCGACCGGACCGACGACGAGTGGCACGCGGCTCGGAAGCGGTCGCTCCTGACACTTCGCGGCTACGACCGCATTTCGCTGGCGGCAAATGGCGAAGCCATTACTCACCACCACGACATTCTCACACTCGAGCGCTCGCTCGTGCCAATGGTCGATAAGGCGACCAACACGGGCACGGCGAGCTCCAATACATGTACCACGACAAAGGCGACCAAGGGCCGGATGCCCAATCTCCATACGTCCGAGCGCGGCCAGCGGTATCGAGAGCGCTTCCAGGCCAAAGTCGAGGCGCTCCAGGTCATGGCGGCGCGGCAGCGTGTCTTCAAAGCCAAGCCGCTCCCGAAACACTACACGTACTCGGCAGTGCCGTCGACGACGACGCTGCTCGAGCAGGAGCGGCGCGCGATTGCGTCCGAGCGCCGACAGCTCTCTCTCGACATGCTCGCGCTGCTCGACACGCTGGCCAAGCGCCAAAGCGACCGCCGTCTCGTCTACGCACCCCTCGAAATAAGTTGATAGCTCGATACATTGAAACAATAGGACGAGAGCGTACACGAGTGTTACTCAAACTGCTCGGCATGGAATGAAAAGTGGGTCGTTGCATTGCTGTAGCTCGCGCACGCAGCTCGGACGTCGCGCGCCATCGTCTTGGCGCCGCAGTGGAAGACGCCGATCGTGTCATCGGCATGTGCAACCGATAGACGTTGAAAAACATGCGGCCACGACGGTCGGCCGCGGTGCACCACTTGGCGCGCGGTTGTCGTGACGGCCATGGCGTCACTGGCAGTCAGAAAGCACTGCACATCGACAATACCGTTGACGTCAAGTCGCGCAACGTCCTGCATCGTGTCGTGGAACCACTCGAACGACTCTTCTTCGCGCGCGACCCAGAACAAATGGACGCGCTGCGTCACGCACGACGGCGGGTGCACAAGGTGGTCACAGGCGACGCACTGGTGGCGGTTCCACACGTGGAGAAGGTCCCGAAGGATCGAGATGAACGGTGTGATCCCAATGCCGCCGCCAACGAGCACGATCGTCGCGTACTCGCGGTATGCGACTGCGGGCGCGCCGAGAGGTCCATCGAGAAACAGCATCTCGTTCGGAAGCAGGTCACGGTTGTAGAGCGCCAATGTCCAGTCGCCGGCGACACGAATGTGCAGCGAGAGCCACGCGTCGTCGGGGGCCGACGTGAGTGTGAACGGGTGCCACTCGCACGCCGCGAGGCTCGGGATGTTGACGTAGACAAACATGCCGGGTACGAAGGCAAAGCTCTTGGGCTTGACGAGGCGCAACCGCAGCGTGTCGCGGAAGCGAACCACGTCCGAGATACGCACCGCGTCGATCGCGCGCTTGGCGACGCGGACTCGCCGCTCGAGAAGGTACACACAAAGCGGCGGCCATATCCAGAGATACGATTGGGCCGTGCTGAACCATGACGTGGCGCCATGAAACGAGAGCAAGACGAGAAAGAGGAGGAACAAGAGGTGGCTGTACCAAAAGACGTTGAAGTGCCGCCGCCGAACGCATGGGAGGACGGCCAAAGGCACGGCGACGGTGACAATGACGAGCATGGCGCCGCCCGTCCAAAACGGCAGCGACGTGCACAGCATTCCTAGTGCTGGCCACGTTTTTGTAGCGTCTCGGAGCAGCGGGATCATGGCCTTGACGTACGACGCGTCCGCGTCCGCGGGTCGCGGGAGGGTGAAAAAGAAGGCAAGGTTGCCCACATGTGCGCCGACGTGAACGAGGCCCGCGAGAAGAAGCACGCTGCCCGAGAGCTTGTGGAACACCAAGGCTTGCTCGATCGGCACATAGTACGAGAGAACCGGCACGAGCCGCACGAGGGCAAAGACGGAGCGACAGAGCGGAAGCAGTACGAGGAGGCTGTTGAGCATGACGACCTGCGCACACCCGCGGGCAATCGTGAGTCCGTAGCCGACGACCGCGTCCTTGGGGTACTGGATCGTCTTGAAGCAAAAGGCGGCCGCGTTGCCCACCGTGTAGAGGAGGAGCCAGAGCAGTTGACGGCGGTGGCGGCGGTAGTAGGCGCGTACTGAGGCACACCGTGGTGGTGGTGGTGTTATCTGCGAGACAAGGCTTGGCCGGGCGTGGGAGCGTAGCGTCTGCACAACCTCGAGGTGGAGTGCGTCAGCCTCTTTTCGTGGCCACGGATCGTCGCCGCCAATGGACGACGACGTGGTGGTCCAGCAGAGTTGGCTACGCTGGTTCTCGCTCTTGCTGTGAAAGGCCGTGTACATTGCTTTTATGCGAGGCAAAGTGCAAAGTGGAGTAATGAATGAACTTGCTTCAATTCCTCGTCGAATGCGCGACCATCCGAGCCAGTGCTGGACGTTGGACCATGACGTACAGGCGTAAAAACGCACGATGCATCATGGTCCAACTCGTCGCCACCGATGGACAATCTCAGAATGACTCAGATCCACTCGGAAACTGCAACCATACGTGTGTGGGCGGGTGCCAACGGCGTACATCAAGGCCGTCTTTGACCCGTGGAAGGATGCGCGCGTCGCCTGATTCTACGCCCCATCGCGAGCTCGATTCGCGTACCCACCGCTTTCAGCCACGACAACCTTTGTTCGTCCGCTCTGTCTGATGTCGTCTGCACCAAAGAGACGGCGTGAACCGTACTAGTATGGCACGAAAGGCGTTGCAGCTCTTGTCAACCATCAACCCAAGATCCGCTGCCGTGGTGGCAATAGCTTCGTGGTAGTACACCATTCATTTCGGATGACTCGGCGCTAGCATCGCCTCGCTCTACGCCCTCCTCGTACGTGAAAGTAAAAGCTTCGCGGTTGTACACCATTCATTCAAGATGCCTCGGAGCTTGCATCGCATCGCTCTACGCCAGCAAGTGCTTGGTTTCGGCAATGGCCCAGTCGTAGTTGCCCCAGAAGCCCCAGCCCGCCATGAAGCGCACGTAGTCCAGGAGGCACCAATGGAAGTGCTCCTTGAGCTTGGCCAAGTTGTACCCGTGCGGGTCCTTCCCAAGCGTTGCCATCGCCGACAAGAACGTATCCAAGTAGCGCTGGAGGAGCGCATCGAGGTCGCGGAGCGCGGAGCGACTCGTGCTCGAGCAGAGAAGGTACGCGAGGTCGCGGGCGCCGAGGCCCTGGCCCACGTACTGGAAGTCGACCCACGCACACGTGATGCTGCCATCCGTTGCCTTTTTCCAGAGCATGTTGGCCGATTTGGCGTCGCCGTGCAAAAGCGTCTCGTACTGCGGGTCGCGCGTCTTGGCGTCAATCGCAGCAGCCTGCGCCTTGAGCTTGGTCGCGAGGCTGTCGGTGCCCATGGACGCGAGCTCCTCCTGGCGCGTCGCGAGGTACCAGTAGCCGCCATCGCGCCCGACGCCATCATCGTCGTTGGCGTGATTCCAGTACGAAGCGTGAAAGTTGGCCAGCCAGTCGAGCGCCGCGTCCAAGTAGACGCCTTGCAGCGAGTACGTGTTGTCGGGAAAGGGCGCCGAGAGGTCTTCAAGCACAAAGCAAAAGCTCGGACCGTCGTAGCGCTCGATCGCATGCACCATGGGCACCCGCGCGAGCGACTTGGGTGCGAGCTGCGCGTAAAAGTAGCCTTCGACTTCATACGACCGGAGCTTGCGTTGGTTCGAGACCGAGTTGGAGCGCGGTGGCGTGATCGACTTGACGATGACTGCATTGCCGTTTGAGAGGAACACCTGGTAGATGCTTCCGTAGCCAGCCCAGAGCGAGCAGAGCTCGCGCTTGCTCTGCACGGTCGCGCCGGGAAAGCTGGCCGCGATCGCCTCCGAGATCGCGTCCGACTGCTTCGCTGCCTTGCGGGCCATTTTGGTCTGTTGTGATTGGCGGATGCAAGGACTGGCGAAACAGCTTGGCATGTGTATACCATAGTGGATGTCATACTACACAGTAGTCGCCCCTACGCCTTGTCCGCCACACAGTGTGTGAGAGCTCATGCCGGGCAGCCTTTCACACGAATAGAGCGCAGTCCTTGGTCTATTACATCGAACGAACTGCGAACGACTAACGGCTCGCTCATGACGTGTCGTCATCACGTGCTGTCGACGGCCATCGGACGGTCCACATCGGCGGCGGTTTCGGGTTTTGCGCATGTCGCATGCGCTGAGCATACACATTGTCCACTCTCTCGTAGCATCGCAGCCTTTGGCCGATTCGCCGTCGAAGAATCGTCGTATCTTGGATCGACTACCATTGGTTCCGACCCTCTTCTCAACACGCATCAGGATGGAATGACTAACGTTGGCTGCAAGTTAGAGCCGACTGAGCGGAATCGCGCGCCGAATGCGCTCGTGCTTGCCGCTCGTGACCGTCGACAAGCGGACATGAAAGTAGCGCCACGACTTGACGTCCAAAATATGCAAATGGCCATAACGTTCGATCGCGACGATGCCGGCCATGAGCGCCGACGTCTTGTCCAAGTAGAACTCGTCTTGGACGACCCAGTCGGAAAAGTCCAGCATGTAGTAGCTCGAGGCGTTCAAGAGCGTTGTTGGCACGTCCCGCGGCGGCAAATGCGGCTGCCACAGCCGCTCCAAGCCGTAGCAAAGCACGACGCTACCCAGGCCAATGAGAAACCCCATCGCGAGCCGGCTCGCGTCGCCGATCTGCACGACTCCGCTTTCGCACGTGAGCTGCAAGTCCATGTCGACGTAGCGACATCTTCGATGGAGCGTGGCCACGTAGGCTTGCGGCGAAACCGTGTTCCAGATGGCAGCGACGGCCCACGCGACGAGCGAGCTCTTGAAGGCATACGCTGTTGTATACTGCAGCGTGACGCAACTGCACACGTCGTTGAGGACGTACACGAACCACGTCGTCTCGGCGCCCGCGAGCACTGTCTTGTACCACGGGAGTGGCGGCGACACGAAGCGCGTGCCGGCGCCGACTTGCACGAGCTGAAGCGTGCTCGTATTGAGAAGCCAGAACGCCGTGATGCTGCGGATGAGGAGAAAGAAGCGGCCGACCCAGACATGCCCCACGATCCGGTTGAGCTCGAGGAGGTTCAGCCCCTCAATGTGGCCCCGTTCATGGACCCCGGAGACGACGAGGAGGCCGGCGAGCGCGATGAAGACGAGCGTGATGTAGCGCACGCACCATTGAAATAGGAACGAGAGCGTCTCGGGGATTTCGCCCGGCACCGGCGCCATCGTCAGCGGCGACGACCGTGACGAGATGGTCGTGACGCTGCTCTCGTCGCCTTGGAACGACACGACTTCGCGGAGCCCTGCCATCCAATCGAAGACGTAGCTCCAGCCGTAGAAATGCCAACCAGGATCGTCGTCCATTGGCAAAAGCGGTTGCTGGTAGAGCTGCAGGGGCGCCATGGGCTGAAAGCGAAGGTACTGAATGATGCGAATGCGGAGCGACCGCACGTCGGGCACGGCGGCCAGAAGGCGCGGGCCGAGCTGCGCATCGATCCCCGTGTCTTTTAAAAAGGTTTGGATTGCATGGTAGTTGTCGGCGCAGACGGACCGTTTGTACATGTCGAGATCGCACACGAGCTGGAACGACGTGTTCGGAAACACCTGCGAGTATGCCAAGGTCGCAAAGAGCAGCTGACGCGGCGTGGGCTTGAGGCTGTCGAAGAACGATGCGTGGCACATGTTTTGGACGCCAAAAAAGCAGTCGAGGCCGTACGAGAGCGTGTACGTGGGCTGGTCGTCGCCGCAGAGGAGGTTGCCGCCGTGCGTCGTCACATTCGGTGCCGAGAGGAGTGCGAGGGGCACACCGCTCATACTCGGCGCCACCGGCAGGGCCCAGTACGCGGTTTGTAGCGTCATATTGGACATGACAAGCTCCGTCACAAGGGCGGATAAGGCGCCATAGATCGCACGAAGCCGCGCGGGCACTTGCACATACTGCATGTCGATGGCATTGAAAGGCCCGAGGGTCGCCTGGAGCAACCCTAGCCCCATCGTCAACGGCGCCGGCAGTGTGTGGTTGCTGAGAAGGAGCGACTCGCTCGTGCAATTGGCAAAGGCAAAACGAGGGCTCGATGCGAGCAAGCTCGCGCCAACAATCGCGGTGGCGTTGCACCCGACAGCCCAGAGATCGCTGGCGAAGCCCCAGTACATCTTGCGCGACGTCTGCTGCGTGAGGTGCAACGAGCCCATGGACGCGCTCAAGCTCAGCGGAAACGTCCATCCGAGCGCCGTGACAATCGAGAGCGAGTCGAGAAGCCCGACGGTCTTGAAGTTTTGCCATTGGAGCGTAAAGTGGTCAATTTGCGAGGCGCGCCAGAACGCGACCTCGTCGTCGACGCTGTAGCTATTCCCTGTCGTGCGCACGAGCCACGCCTGACCACTGCTCGTGCTTGCGAGGTCGCTGGCGATGCCAAACTCGAACGACGCACCCCAGCAGTCGTGAAAAGCGGCCCAGTTGTTGAGATTGCGAAGCGGTGCCTCGAGGTACGCTGCCCCGTTGCTTTTTTGAGACGCGAGACATCGGGCTTGGCGCTGGCTCGTACTAGCGAGCGCATACTCGCGCTCAAAGTCGAGCCAGCAGTACTGGGTAAACATCCACGGCAAATTACACGGACTCATGTCGCGAAGGCCTTGGACGATGCTCGCAAGCGGCACGTCTCGTCGGTAGAGCTCCCGGCGCGCCAGCGTTTCGCTCCATTCGATTGACGACACGGACCCGTTGTAGACGCGATCGAGGTCGCCGCACGAAGCCGCATCGAGCTCAAGGTCCCCCGACGTGGTCACGAGGAGCTGTTCGTTGAAGATGTTGGCAAGGAAGGTGCGTGTGCCACTCGAGTTAAAGTTGGCCCACCCATAGTCGTTGGCCAAGTACGTAGTCGCGACGTCCAAGTACATGACATTGCCAGCAAGCGAGAGGACGAGGTAGAGAAACCCGACCGCGAGGACTACGTAGCTCAAGCGCGGATGCTGACGCCTTTGCAGCCCAAGCACCGACGCTTGGCGCTGCAATGACCCGCGCCGCGCGTGGCGAAAGCCATCGGGTAGCACGATCGCCGCCTGCGACGACTGGAGCGTAAAGTCGCTCTTGTAAAAGAGGAGCCAGAGCTTCGTGTCAAAGAGCCATCGATGCGAGCTGGTTTGAAACACGAAGAGGCCGGCCATGCTAGCCGTCGTGCGGTCGAGGGCGAGACCGCCGCTCGCGCAGCGCAAGTCGCGGGATGATGCAAACGCTAAAAGCGCGGGGGGAAGGAGCAGGTTGGGGACGCCGATCGTTGGGGGCGGCTCGGGCGTGAGAAACACGTGCCCGAGGCCAAAGCAGATAAGGACGCTCGCGACATTGAGGCTGACAATCGTCATCGTCCGTGGCAGCGCACCGATGCCCACAAAGCCGCTGGCGCAGTAGATCATTTCGTCCATGTTCACCGTGTAACAAGATCGGTGGACGGACGCGGTGACGGCAATGGGCGACGCCACGTCCAAGATGGCAATCACCAGCCACGCGAGGTGCGAACTGATGGAGGCGTACCGGCTCGATCCCGCGACCGGTTGCAGAATGTCGTGCAGCAGATACGTGATCCACGTCGTCTCGGCCGCGAGCGCCGTTGATGCCATCACCGAGCGCGGTGCTGAGGCAAAGTGCATGAGGCCGCTGCTATCCAGGTGCACATCGACCGACGCTGTCGCGAGGCAGAGCGTCGCCACGAGACTCCGAAGACCGAGGACGCCGCGGTTGAGCCACACTGCGCTTGTGATGCGGTTAAAGAGGAACCAGTGGCAATGCCTCGGCCGCAAACACACAAAGAGGCAGAGCGAGAGACCCCCGACAAGTGCCAGCGTTCCGCTGCACACGTACGCGCAGAGACGCAGGTAGTTGGCCCATGTGAGCGACAGGGACTTGGCGCGCGGCGACGCCAAGCACGTATAGACGTGCGAGAGAAGGTTCAATGTGCGCACGTCGCCTTGGAACGAGATCGCCTCGCGCTCGTTGAAGAGCCAGTCGTAGACCATACTCCAGCCGTGAAAGGCAATGTCAGAGTCGAGCAGTCGCAACTCTTCGATGCGAAGAGCGGAGCCGTTGATATCGCCGACAAACTGCATGAGCGAGAGGTTGAGCGCGTGCGTTGCCGCGACGACCGACGCGTCGAGCTCGGGCAGCGCTGGCAGCTCGTGGTAGGTGCTATTGAGGAGCGCCAAGGTCGCATAGCACGTGGCGCGCGCATAAGTGGGCTCCAGTGCGCACGGTGCACCGATGTCTCCGCGCAGCGCGCTCCACGCAAAGAGGCCATTGAACGCATTCAAGGGCACGTTAAAGCGTGTTTGACTCGAGCACGCGTCGTCAAAACCAAACGCGTTTTGCACAAATCCGAGCGGCTCGCCAAAGCCGCACATGGGGTTGCCGCCGTAGAAGGCCAGCGATGGACGTGCCCACTGTTGCGGCGTGGGCGCGAGAGTCATGTCGCCAACCGTCGCCATCGCCGTGCTCCAATTCGCATTCGCATGCAGGTATTCAAGCAGCGTGACGCGCCACGTGGCCAGGTGCGTCACGAGCGTCGACGGCGGCGCAATCCACTTGAGGTCAATGTTGGCGAGCGGTCCGACTTGGTCGTGCACGACTTGAAAGAGCTTGCTCAGCGGGTACCCGACGTCAAATACTTCGATTTGGGTCGGATCAATGTCGCCAAAGTAGTTGAACGTGCCGCGGACCAGGCTCTGGTTGGCGCCAATCGCGTCAAAGTCGTTGGCGAGGCACATGCTCATGTACGTCGACGTCCAGAGCGGCACGCGTGTCGCGGCCGGAATCGCTTTCACCTCGAGCCACGTCCCCGTGCCCAGGGCGTTCTCGATGAGGATGGACTCTTGGAGGCCGAGTTGGATGCGGTTGGTGTACTGCAGCGTAAAGCGGTGCAGGCCGTGCGCTCGCCACACGTCGACTTCGTCGTTTGTCGAGAGCCACTCGTGCTGACGCAAGGCGGCGACCCACGCCGCGCCACCCGGCGTGCGGGCAATCGGATCGGCCACGTGCACCGCAAATCGGTTCTGGACCACCTCGAGCCAGTCGTGAAATGCAATGTTGCGCAAAACAGCTTCGAGAACGACGGCCGCGTTTTCAAAGTCGTTGCGTTCGCAGCGCAATTGCCGTGCGCTTGTGTGCGCGAGTTCCCAGCGCCGGTTCAAGTCCACCCAGCAGTACAGCGTGGCCATGGACGCGACCTTGTCCGCATCCAGGTGACGAAGACCCGTGACGGCATCGACCAAGCCCGTGAGACGCTCGTAGAGCAGCTTGCGCGGGTACGACGGCGCCGCGCACACGGTTTGTGTGTCGACGACCGCGGCCACCGGCATCATCAGCGCCACCGATATGGCGGTGGCATTCATCGGCAGGAGCGCCAGCTGCACGTTAAAAATCTCCGAGACCAGTGTCGACACGTTGAGCGTGTGAAAGTTGGGCCAAAAGTAGTCGCTCGCAAGGTACGGGTCCATGACGAGAACACAGTAGAAGCTAAGGCCCACGGACGAGAGCATATAAAGGATACCAACCACGTCATAGTACGCGCAGTGCTGTCGCGGTGCGATCGGTATCAAGTCGGCCGTTGGATGGCGGGCGGGCGCGACGCTCATGCTCGGTGGCGCGGCAGTTGCAGCTTGGACAACTGGCGCTGTAACCGCGCCGGTTACGTCCTGTCCCGAGCCACATTAAGTCCCTGCGATGTGCGCGCATCCCAGTTCACCGCCTCGTACCCGCGGTGCCGCATCATCTGCAGATATATGTCTGCGTGTGGTCTCGCTGCAAAGAGACGGCGTTCGTCATCAGTGTCTGTGTTGCGCCACTTCGCAGGTCGTGGAGCCACGGCTAGGTCTGCCATGTCGTCCGCTTGTCGGCGTCCAGTAGCGTGGCTTCTCAACTGCACTGGATTGAAATATACTACGATACTTCGGGCGAGTGCCTTTGTGTATTGTATTGTTGGACAGCCACCACTGAGTCGAACGGTGAAACCCACGCTTGAAGGTTTCTACCTGGTTTTCACTGTGGGGCGTTCTGGGAAGGCGGCTGACACCAATTCTTACGCTGGGATCGTCGCGGGGCTTCTTTTCCCTGGAAATTGGAACGCGTGGCACACTATTGGATCTAGAAGGCTGCGAGAAACGAGTGGCCGTCGAGCTCGTTGTCGCGCCCAAGGTGGCTTCAACTCGGGCGTCGGGCGAGTATTTTTCGGATCGGAATTGAATTTAAAAAAAGATGGCGACCGTCGCGCACGACAAGATCGTGGGTTTTTGGCTCCTGACTTGATGTTTGTATGCGCCGTCACGTTACGCGCGTGCCTAGAGTCTGCGAGGAATGCTGAAATCCCAATTTAATACCGAAAAGAAATAAAGAAAAGCACGCGGAAGCCGCCGCTTTCTTTATCGAGGACCACGATGGCAGGGACGACGCAGAGCAAAGCGACGACCCTAAAGTGTGTACACGCCCCACTGCTTACGATAGCTCTTCATTGAACGACGACAAAAATATACTTTGAGCTCTTACTCGGTTCAGGGCTCGGTTCTCGGTCGACGGAGAAGAGCACAACCGACGACTCGGGGCTAATTTAAATGCCACCCAGGTGAGTCACACCCCTAAGTGACGCCCACCCTGGTGGGGCGTCCCAATTATAGAATCCTCGGACATCACTGGATGGCATACAAATACCAAGGTCGCTTTAAATACCGGCTTTAAATGATCGGCTACACTTGACATTTGTATGCGTCGTTTCTGCGTTTTCATTGGTCCCCATTTTTTCGTGGAGGTCAGGGTGGTGGTTTCACGTGACCGGGATCCTCGGAGACTATAATTTGACTTGTAGTTTGTATACTAGTGGTACAATCACTCTGGTTCGGATTTGCGAGCCAACTCTGCCGCAGCAACCTCACTTGCCATTTGGCTGCCTAACGCTCAAGAAAGCTCTTCCGTCGCCGTCGCACACCCGCGCCGTCGCCGCAAGACCTTGACTGTTCAGCTCGTTGGACCCGCCCAAGATCCGCCCAGCGTCGCCACCGACAAAGTTCCTAGGGACCAGCACGTCCCTACGCTTAGTGTTTGATTTCAACGTTGAACCTGAGTGGTTCCCGTGCCGATAGCACCGCTTGACACAATACCATGCTGCGCACGTCTCTGCCTTTTGCCCGCCTCCCGGCTTTGGTGACGCGGGCCGCCTTCAAGTTCAAGACCGGCCACCGCGCCGGCCTTGCCACGCACGCCACCGCACGGTCTGCCCGTGCTGGGGTGGCCGTACACGGCAGTATGAAGACTCCACAACAACAACAACAACGTGGCCTCGCCTCGATGGCCCTCGCGGCCGTCGAAGAGCCCGAGCACATGGTGTGCGCGTCGACGGCGGCGGCCAAGGACGCGATCCTGCACCGCATGTGGGCCCACATCCAGTCGACGGGCGAAGAAAACGCGTTCTACGTCGTCGACACGGCGGCGATCGAAGAGCGCTACAACCTCTGGATGCAGCACCTGCCGTTCGTCAAGCCGTACTATGCGGTCAAGTGCAACCCGGACCAGCGCATTCTCTCGACGCTTGCGCGCCTCGGCACGGGCTTCGACTGCGCAAGCATGGCCGAGGTCAACGACGTGCTCTGCGCCGGTGTCGACGCCAGCAACATCATTTACGCCAACCCGTGCAAGCAACCGTCGCACATTTCGTTCGCGGCGACCACCGGCGTCAACGTCATGACGTTTGACGGCTGCGACGAGCTCACCAAGATGAAGAAGCTCCACCCGGACGCCAAGGTCGTCCTGCGCCTCTTTGTCGACGACTCGCACTCGCAGTGCCCGCTTGGCACGAAGTTTGGCGCTGTTCTCAACGACGTGCCCGCGATTCTGCGCCACGCCAAGGCCATCGGCTCCAACGTGGTCGGCGTCTCGTTCCACGTCGGCAGTGGCTGCTTCAACGTCTCGGCCTACTCGGACGCGGTGCTCCGCGCGCGCAAGGCGTTCGACATTGGGGCGAGCCTTGGCTTCAACTTTGAGCTGCTTGACATCGGCGGTGGCTTTCCCGGCGACGAAACGGCGCCGGTCGCCTTTGAAGACATTGGTCGCGAGCTCAACAAGTCGCTGAGCGAGCACTTTCCCGTCTCGTCGGGCGTCCGCATCATCTCGGAGCCAGGTCGCTTCTTTGCGGCCGCCAGCCACACGCTCGCCGTGAACGTGATTGCGCGCAAGCTCGCACCAAACTCGCTCGCGGCGCTGACGCCGTCGGGGTCGTCGCCGCTCAAGGCGTCGCAAGGCAAGCGCGGGCTCCACGGCAGCGTCGACCCGTACTACATGTACTTTGTCAACGACGGCCTCTACGGGTCGTTCAACTGCCTCTTGTACGACCACGCGGTCGTGCATCCCAAGGCGCTCACGACCGTCGACGACAGCTCGTCGTTCACGTCAAGCATTTGGGGCCCGACGTGCGACGGCCTCGACTGCATCGCCAAGGCATCAAGATGCCGGTCATGGACATTGGCGACTGGATGTACTTTGCCAACATGGGCGCGTACACGTCGGCTGCCGGCTCGCACTTTAACGGCTTTGTGCCGCCCCAAAAGGTCTACTTCGACTCGACCGCCAACGACGACGAGTAGCAACCATCACTAGGACTCCTGCATATGCAGTCGAGCTGCATTTATTACATAATCTCGTTAAAATGATGTCCTTCATGTAAATATGGACAAGTTGTCTTATGAACGTTAGTTTGAACGCAAGCAGCTCCAGCCATCCCGACAGATGTATAGTTGCATTAGGGTTGAGGGAGTCGGATTCGGGTCGGGGGATACCTAGGGCGACAAGACCTAGGGAGTCAATCAATGCTGATAGTCGACGATACGACATTGAGGTATATCGACAAGATAGTGGCGACAAGGACAGATGCTTGGGAATGTACATATTGTCTTGTGGAGACATGTTGTCTTTTGGACGACGTTTGGTAGACAGAAACGTGTTGATGCAAGAAGGTTAGGCAAAGGGCAGCGCCTTGTAGCGCGTCTCGTTGGAGGGCGTGTAGTACTCGGTGCACTTGCAGAGGTCGCGCGGGTACTTGGCGCCAACGAGAAACTCGATCGATGGCACCGCCGTCTCAATGTCGTAAATCTAGTTTCACTTGCACCATCGTATCCAAACAAATAGACTACCGTGTAATTGCCCCACTTGATCGAGCCCGAGATGGTCGTGTTGATTTGGAAGACGAGCGTGCCAGCCTGAAAGTCTCGCAAAAGCCCGTACGCCTCCGTGTAGCCCGGATCGATGCGCACGTCGGCCATCATCTAGCGCATCATGTGAGCAGCTACAGAGCGAGAGGCAGAGCGTACGTCGGTGACGGCACCCGCCTCGGCTGTCCAGTTGCGAATGGTCCACGTGCCGACTTTGGTGCCACGATGATGAATGTCGGCGTCGCCGGCCTTGAGGAAGAACGCAAACCGATTCTCGTTCGAGACGCTGGTCAAGATCTAGTTGGCACAAGGGTCACGCACGAAGCGCAAGACCGGATTCTGGCACCTGGTAGTTGATCTTGGGGTGTACGCTGACAAGACTTTGAAAGATCGACGCCCAGTCAAACTAGCACGAGTGGCAACGAGCGCGTCGGGACGTCGTGGGACGTACCTGTTGGTTGCAGATTTGGTACTCTGGGATGCGCGGGTAGTACATGAGCGAGAACGTCTACTCGCAAACGACCTTGTCGCTAACAGGGAAGAGGTGACGACGACGATGGAGCGTACCGTGAGCACGGCGAAGAGCGCAAGCCAGATCATCGAGTAGCCGCAGGAACGGAGACTAGACGAGGGCGATGACATTCCATCTGCATCTCATCGGTGATGGAAATAACCTCGAGCTGCTGCCGGATGGACGCGCCGTCCGCGACTCTTCAAGGCTTTCGTCGGCTTGAAACTCGTCGTCGTCGATTTGGCTCAAGAGCGATTGTTGGGACGCATCCTCGGCGATGACCTCGAGCTTGTAGCGCTTCTTCCTAGATGACACGCTGCGTGGCATGCACGTATCGCACGAGCGGACGCACGTTTGGGGTTTGGGGCGCTTGCGGCAGCACTTGCACAACATGGTGGTCAGAATCGAGCAGCCGCAGCAGCAGGCCATGATCGTCGCCACGAGGCAGAGAACGGCGAGCACGACCGCCGGCGGGGGCCCATACCCGATGGCCTGCGGCTCCTTGCGGATGCAATCTAGTACGCGTGGCCATGAGCGAAATCCCACCGGCGGCCGTACCTTCGATGTGGTGGCAGGCCGACATGCCCTTGACGCAGCCGCTCGGCGACCCGATCACATGGCACTGCAGGTCTTTCTCGCAGAAGTGGCAGGTCATGCTCGCCGCGATGCACTCGTCGCACGTCGTGTACGCGGCGCAGGGCTCCGTCCAGGACGCGTTGACCGCACTCATCGGGAGGTCGTTGACCAAGCTGCTCGCAGCCATGCCCAAGTTGTATCTTTGACTAACCGGCTGCGGCGCGAACGAGGCTAAGTGCGACCAGCTGCTACGAAGAAGAGTTTGAGCATTCAATATTTGTAAAGGATATGTTAAGTGCGCATCGATAGGTGGCGTACATACGCGGACAACCGTATCCGGATGCAACCGGCAAGATTCGCATCTCAGAAAGGGAGGGCAAGACGCCACAGTCGCAGGCCCTCATCACGGGCAAGGCCGCGATGACCGCCCGGAAGCTCCGCCGGGATGAGGACCTTAGTGGCACACTCCACACATTAATAATACTGTTACAATGAGTGCGTGCTCATTGAAACCAGATCGTATTAGTATAAGGGAACGAGGCTCCACGAGGGACCGATCTGATCCTGTTAGCCTGGGATGTGCGGTACTGGAAACTCCCTTTCATTCACGCACGAGGTACAGATCGATACCGTCGGCATTGCATAACCATTGATTCGAGTGCTAGAACGTAGTACAAGCAATCGAGGAATGAATCCAACCGTCGAGCTCTTCGTGTCGCAACATCTACCTTGCTGCGTACGTAGGCCAAGAAGAAAAAAACACTTGTATCTTTGCGAATGGGTTCGATCGTGTTCTAGGCTACGCCCGGAAGAGACGGTCGGCTTCGTCGATTGGAATGTCGTTGCCGCTCATGTCGCGGTGCTGCATGTAGCCAAAGTCGTCAAACTGCCAGAGCTCGTTGCCGTGGCAGCGAAACCACTGGCCGTCCGCCACGCGCTGAAACTCGTACGTAAATCGGACAGCAATGCGGTTCGTGTCGTGGCACCAGAGATGCTTGACGAGCTTGTAGTTGGTCTCGAGCGCCCACTTGTCTTGCAAGAACGCAACGACGGCGTCGCGCCCGACAAAGATGTGGTCGCGGTTGCGCCAGACAGTGTCGGGCGTGTACGCAAGGGCCACTTTGTTGGCATCGCGCGAGTTCCATCCGTTCTCGGCCGCCTTGACTTTGGCGAGCGCCGAGGCCTCCGTGAACGGCGGCACCGGGCCGCGGGCCTCGGCGGCGTGGGCAGCAAAACCTTGCAACGCGCCCTTGGCCGTCTCGGCTGTGTACAGCGTCGACTTTTTCCCGGCCGACGACAAGGCGTTGAGGCCCTGGAGCACCTTGAAGCGACCTTGACTCGCCATGGTGATGGCAACGGCAAACTGCAACTGGCGATCTTCCAAGAAAGGCCGCGGGTGGCGGCGTTTGATTGGCCAAATACATGTGGCGTCGAAGGGTGTGATTGGCGAAACGACACATCAATCTTGAGAGTGTTTTCGGCGCGGTTCGCGGCCCGCCGACATGGCGTACCGGTACGTACACTAGTCCATCGACGCCGCTCGATCAATTTACTAAAAAACGTGACGAAGACAACTTGTGCACATCCACCGACTACTATCATGTCGGAGGTGTCAGCGCGGTAGAGTGTCGACACCGACGTCAGATTTCGGCGGCCTCGGATTGGCTACGGCGCTGAACCGTGCACTTGGCGGCATACAAAAAGCAAGTGTAGAAATGGCGCCGTTTTAAAAAGGACTGGGATTCCAGCCAATCCGCGTCGAGCGGGTGACGGCCGCACGCTCGAAGTTCGCACTTTTGCAGGTGCAACATGATGGCGCTGGCCGCGATCTTGGCCGTCGGGACGAGCCTCGGCGCCGGCCTCCGCGTGCTCTGCCTTCCCGACGACGACGCCCGCTACGACCTGACGACGACCACGAAGCGCGAGCGGCAGCTAAAGACGACGGCGAGCTGCTCCGTGTGCTCGGCGTCGATCGACCCGACGCTCGTCGCGCTCTCGTCCGGGCTCTGCGTTCCGTGCAGCTACAAGACGATTCCGATGCTGGACGACGATACGACCGAGCAAGGCGAGTACTCGGACCCGGGTGGGATGGACGTCGACCTCGCCGACATTGTCGACCCAGCGTGCGACGCGGCGGACGAAGCCTTGGCGCTGCTCCAGGACGTGCTCGACGTCGTGGAGCGCGTGCCCGCGATGGGTGCCGACGTCGATAGCCTCCTCGCGAGTGTTCGCGACTTGTTGCGCTTGATAGAATCCGACCACCGCGCTGTCGTTGGGACGCTCCACGATATCTCGCAGGCGCTGGCGTCGCTCGCCGAATGCGTTCCGGTCGAGTGGCAAGACCATGTCGAGATGCTCGAGATGAAGTTTGATGCGCTCGAACACCGGTGTCAAGCGACAGCGATGGCCGTCGGCGGCTTTGCTTGGCCGGCACGCTCCACCACCTCGTGGCCTGCGCCAAGCGGTATGGCCTCGAGAGCCACCGGTCGTCCGTGATCATGAACGACCTCGAAATCATCGCCGAGACCATTGAAGAGGCGCCAAGCGAACTCGTACACGGGCTCGACTACTTTGCCAAGACGCTGGATGCGCTGCACGAGTACGAAGCCGCGCTCACCGAGGCCGGGCAGTGGCCCAGCGTCCTCGAGTGTACGGACGCGCTCGAGTCCCTTACGCTCGACGTGGGCATTCTCTACGGTGACTGGCCCGTGTGAGCGTACGATGCGATTCTGTATACAGCCTATTTAACACGACGGACTGTCGCGCGATCGAAGCGCCGTACACAACACTAGGGCTGGCTCGGCACCCGACACCACAGACAGCCACGGCAAATTTGGTGTTTTACTGAAGTCCATAGTGCTTCAAAAGCGCGTCCGTGCTCTGGGGACGACCACGGAACGCTTCAAAGACCTGGAGCGGGTGGCGCGAGCCGCCGAGCGCAAGCACCGTGTCGCGGAACTCGCGGCCCGTCTTGGCGAGCGCGGCTTCGTCGTTGAGGCCGGCTTCTTCAAACTTGCTGAACGCGTCGCACGAGAGCACCTCGGCCCACTTGTAGCTGTAATAGCCGGCCGCGTACCCGCCCGCAAAGATGTGCGAGAACGAGCACAGGAACCGGTCTTCCGGCAGCGGCTTCATGACGGCAAAGCTAAGCGTCCCGTAAATGTCAGATCCACCATCCGATTGGATTGGACGTACTCGTTGGCGATTTTACGCTGCACGTCAAAGATGGTCTCATTGCCCGACGGGTCAAACGTGTGGTGGAGGTGCATGTCGAGGGCGCCAAAGTTGAGCTGGCGCAGCATCCCGGACGCGGCCATGTACTTGCGCGCGTCGCAGATCTTCTCAAAGAGCTCAGCCGGCAGCGGCTCGTTGGTCTCGTAGTGGCCGCTAATGTCGTTGATCGTGCCGCGGTGGTAGCAAAAGTTTTCCATAAACTGCGACGGAAGCTCGACCGCGTCCCACTCGACGCCGTTGATGCCAGCCGCGCCTTCATAGTCGACAGTTGTCAGCATGTGCTGGAGGCCGTGGCCAAACTCGTGGAAGAGGGTCTCGACCTCGCGGAAGTTCATCAAGCTCGGCTTGTCGCCGACGGGCGGCGACTGGTTGCAGATGAGGTACGCCACCGGAATGCGGATCGCGCCGTTGACACCAAGGAGCTTGGAGCGGCCGACGCACGTGTTCATCCACGCACCGCCGTTCTTCTCGGCTGGGCGCGCGTACGGGTCGAGGAAGAAGCTGGCGACGATCTCCTTCTCGCCGTCGGCGCGGCGAACATTGAAGAACCGCACGTCGTCGTGCCACGTTTCGACCGACGCATCGGCGGCCTACACAGCGCGTCGTGCTTGGAAGCTGACCGAGTCGATTGTGTACCTCGATCGTGACACCAAAGAGGCGCGCTGTCAAGTCAAACAGGCCCTCCAGCACCTACGATGGCAATAAGAGATCACTTGTGAGGGCTTCGTATCATGCACCTTGGGCAACGGAAAGTAGGGCTTGATGATTTCATCGTCGAGCGTGTACAGGTCCGCCCGCATCTTCTCCGTCCTGTGTCGAGCCCCATGAGAGGACGAATAATCGCCATGTCATGCATGAGACAAACCAGTAGGCCACGTCCCAGAGTGCCAGCGGCGTCGTCTGACCGTGCGTCGTGGCGTAGGCGGCGAGCTGGTCGAGCTCGGCGACAGCGATCGGGTGGCACTTGGCGCGGAGCTCGTTGTGCATGCGGTTGACATCGTCGACGCTCGGCGCCATCTTGGTCGCCAAACTCAGCTCAGCGTACGAGGAGAACCCGAGGAGCTTCGCGCGTTCTTGCCGCAGCCGCAGCGTCTCGTTGATGATCTCGGTATTGTCGTGTGGCACGACACTGGCCTTGGTTGCGTTGGCGCGGTAGAGCGTCTCGCGCAGCGTCCGGTTCGTGCAGTACTTGAGCATGGGCAGCAGCACGGGCATGTCAAGCGAGAGCTTCCACGGCCCGTTCTCGGCCGTCGCGCCGTCATGCCCGTCGGCAGCGGCGTTCTAGCGCACGAGGTGACCATGGTGGCCGCTGTGCGGCATGCAGTACCTGGGCCAAGAGCGGAAGGAGCGAGGCCGGGACGCCGTCAAGCTCATCTTTGTTCGTGACGATGAGCGAGAACGCCTTGGTCGCATCGAGCACGTTATTGGAGAATTTCGTTTTCTACCACGCAATGAGGCGCGAGATCGTGCATGGCTCGTTGGTACCAGTTCGGCCGACCGCAGCTGCAACTGGTTGAAGCGGTCCTTCTCCTCGCCCTCGAGGCCGACGCCGCTCAGTGTCGCGCCGCGAATCGACGAGTCGATGATGCGCTAGTGTCGTCCCACGAGTTGACACCACAGAAAGAAGAGCGGGTATGTGTAGTACCTGCTGGGCCTCGCTAAACGTGGCCCACGACGCACTGCTTCGAAGCTCCTTGTACGCTGCAAAGATCTCGGGGCTCTGCGAAAACCGCGTAAAGATCGTGACGACTTCGGTCTGCATCGCAGCGTGGACTTCGCGCAGCGCCGGCGAGTTCTGAACGCTCATGAGGTGACCAACGATGCCCCAGAGCCGCTGGAGCGCGTCGCCTTGGATTTCGAGCGGGTCCATGATTGTCTGCCACTCGACGGGCTGCGTCTTGGCGCGCAACGTGGCTTCAATCGTGCTCACGTCCGCCTCAAAGGCCTTGATGGCCTCGCGGAGCGCGGGTGCCATCTCGGCCACTGCCAGCGAACGGAACGGAGGCAGCTTGCGCTCGCGTACAGCTTGCGTGAGCGAGTTGGTCGCAAAGGCTCGGCGCAGGAGGCCATGCGAGGCTGCACCGCGCTGGAATCGGCCGAGCATGCTTGTCCAGAAACTTATGTGGGATGCATCGCGAACATGGCCCATTATCCGGATATCGGGACGCTAATAAAACGCAACTACGGTAAACTTTGACCACCGATGCGTCAAAGGCCATGTCTACCCCTTTTTGACAAGAGAGACCCTTGTTGGCATGTCATGCCGAAGCCGTGCTGTGATTGGTTTATAAGACATCCATTTTGGCCAATCTGACAGTGGAAAATGGGGGGCAGAGTGATGGTAATGGATCGATCGACGTGGGAGTGAGCGAGAGCGAGCGATTCGTGCTCTGTCCTGTATGGCAACGAGAGTTTACTCGAGCGCTACACTACGTTCAAGCTACTTGCAGTTGCCGAGATGTCGTCGTGGCGTCGATAGAGGACGATGGAGGTCAAGTTCTAGTATACAACGAGAGCTTCCCATGAACACGCGTGCAGTGTACTAGTACTACCGGTGGTTGCCGTGTAGGGTACCCATGGCTGCGCTGGCGCTGAGGCAGGACACACCCAAGTGGACGGACTTCCGTCGCGCCCCTCGAGTCTGATTACAGGCCATGTGGTTTCCTTCGTGGTCAACCTCTTTCTTTGCATGCCCTACCCCTATAACATACACTATTTTAGGCTCCTTGGTCCGATCTTCGCTTTCTACAAATATCAAGCAATAAAGATGACACTATTTGTGTTTACATATTAGCCGCCGCCAAAACCTCTGACAATGCATAGAAAGGCCATCACGATGAAACCAGCTGGCGGCGCGGGTTGCCGCCTGCGGTCATTTCCGAATTTGCCCCAACCGCAAATGACTGCTACCAACTCGCTCCTGCGCTGTGTCGAGGAGCGCACGCTTCCGCCCTTCGAAGACCTCACGGTCGAAGAGATGGCGCCGGCGGTCCGCACCGCCCTGGCCAAGCTCGAGGCCGACATCGCGGCTTTTGAAGAGGACCTCCGCGAGCCCAACGCCGACGTGCGCTATGAGACGATCTTGGATCGCCTCGAAGTCGAGGCCGATGGGCTGGACCGTATCTGGGGCATTGTCGGCCACCTCATGAGCGTCAAGAACTCCCCGGCACTGCGCGAAGTGCACTCGGAGCTCCAGAACCAAGTCGTGACGATCCTCACCCGCGTCGCGCAGAGCGTCGAGATCTTCCAGGCGCTCAAGGAGCTCCGCGAAGGCAAGGAGTGGGAAACGTACTCGGGTGCGCAGCAGGTACTCGTCGTCGCGTCCACCTCTCTGTGCTGATCATCTTACGTAGCGTATCATTGAGTCCTCGCTGCGGTCGGCGACGCTCAGTGGTGTCGGCCTCTCGGGCAACGAGAAGGAGCGCTTCAACGAGATCCAGCTCCGCGCCGCCGAGCTCGTATGTATCGATTGATATATGCATTGGATGGCTTATGGTATTGTTCTCTAGTCGACAAAATTTTCCAACAACGCGCTCGATGCGACCAAGGCGTTCTCGCTCATCGTCACGGACAAGGCCGAGCTCGACGGTCTCCCTGCGTCACTCTTGCAGATGCTGGCGCAGAACGCTGCCGCTGACGGCCACGAGGGCGCGACGGCCGAGGCGGGTCCGTGGAAGCTCTCGCTCGACATGCCCGTGTACCTGCCCGTGCTCAAGTACTGCACCAACCGGGCATTGCGTGAGACGCTGTACCGCGCCAACTCGTCCAAGGCGAGCACCGACCCGTTTGACAATGTCGCGATCATCAACGAGACGCTGCGTCTTCGCCAAGAGAAGGCCCAGCTGCTCGGCTTTGCGACGTTTGCCGAGCTGAGTTTGGCCAAGAAGATGGCGCCGTCTGTCGAGGCCGTCGAGCAAATGACCAACGAGCTCCACGCCAAGTGCTTTACCATCGCCGAGTCGGAGCTCGCGCAGCTCAACGCGTATGCGGCCACCCACGGCGTGAACGAGCCGCTCGCCAACTGGGACGTGCCCTTCTGGTACCGCCGTCTCGGATCCCTGATTTATCATCTCACGACAATATGCATAGGACGGAAAAGATGCGCCTCGAGCTCTACTCGCTCGACGACGAAGCGATCAAGCCGTACTTTCCGCTGCACAAGGTCCTTGACGGCCTCTTCGCGCTCGCGTCCCGCCTCTTTGGCATTGTCATTGAAGCCGCCGACGGCCAAGCGCAGGTGTGGCACAAGGACGTTCGCTTCTTCAACATTCGGTCGGCCGAGTCGAACGAGATCATTGCGCGG